CTTTTAGGGGGAAAAGGGGGGGAGGTTTAAAAAAAAAACACGGGTGGGATTCGAACCCACGCTTTTGTATAAAAAGATACGTATTTTGACTTTTTTCTCGAAAGTGGGGAATCTGGTAAGACCCGTTGTTTTGGGAGGATGCACCCAATAAAAACGCTCCAGATCTGCGCACGGACGAACTTCCTATCTCGAAAAATGGCCAGGCAAAAAGATCGTCTGACAATATCCCTCGTAAACTCGGGCATAAGTGGCAATATTATAGCGTCTATGAGCAAGTTCTTTTGTAGCACAACGGTGCTTACTATTTTTTATACATCTATTACCTAAGCCTTTTATTTTTATTTTTATTGCTAACCTGAACAGTGACCTGGCAACAAATCATAACAGATCCATTGCGAAGAGAGAGGACCAATTATTCCTCCAGTGTCGGATGCAGAATCTCGATATGGCCAATGATTTAGTTTCCGTCCACCAGAGTTAATCCATACTTCGTACCGCATATAGGTGGCCAGTCAGTTTGAACCTGAATTCGGTTCTATTTACGAAATCCTAAGTATGCATCATCTGTAGTCCATCCTGTTCAACCGTATACGTTTAACCACGTTGGTCGGCATGAACCTTCTACAATTGTGTGAGGTACATATTACCCCTGATGTAGTGCATAGTCGGTTTCCATCCGGATCGTCCTTATTCGCGTCTTTAGAGCTTAGTACCGACCAGGAGTTCCATGGAACCTCATGACGCGGCATTTGACATCGTTTCGGCCCTGGTCTCCAGGCCGTTCAGCTTTCTAGTAGATGCCCTACTTCTCCGAAGTAGCCGAGTCTCTGACCGCTCAATAATAGTATTGATACCTGTGTGGCAGCTAACCCGAGTCATCGCCATTCCATTGGGTAGCTCGGAGATTTTAGATTTGTAAGATCTTCCGGCCAGGTACCATCATGTTCAGGCAGCCTCTGGGCAGGAGATCTGACCCCTTCGGCATAGAGCTCATGCATGGCTATGACATGCAATCATCAGCTAGGAGGTCGATATACGTAAGAGGCGCCAAATACTTCTAAATACGGAATACGTCAACGCTGTGATTAATACGAGGTACCTGCAGCAAAAGGTAAGCGACTTATCGTACAACAACCGGGGAAACGAGGTTCTACCACGAAGAGGCGTCCTTTGAATCACCCTCCAACACGGCCTTCGTTAACCAATCTTATTTCAGGTACTCATAGCACAGCGAGTAGAATACGGTAGCGAGCATCGACGTGGAGCTACTTATTGGAAGTATAGGCATCGTGTCTACTTCTGATCTCTCATCGTTGTTAAGCTATCACTTCACTTGACTTGGAACAATATACCAGGTCCCAAATTTTCACGGATGAGGGATCGAGCCGATCTTACTTATGCCGAACCGACGGGCAGGAGATCAAGATGCCTTTAGCCTAATGGAGGTCTTACTTCCGGCTCTAGAATCGTAGCGGTTGTGTTACATGTAAGGTACGCGTGATCCGTGATTGGCCAGTATCTTTTGCAAAGGGATAAATAGGGCTTGAGCTACTAGTCCGAAGTCAATCAGTCGAGACCTATCCATGTTTACTCTAGAATGCAACGAATGTGTTGATAAGGCATACTTCCTATGATATCGAATGTAGTAGGGGTGAACCTACAATGTGTTAAAACCGCCCGTGCTAGTACAAGGAGTGTCATATCCCGCTATAAGAAATCTGTTCGCAGAAAATAAAGAATCGAAACCGACGAGACTTGGTATGGAATAGTATATTACGAGGGACGAAAGTATCATGAGTATAGTATAACACCACTATATTAAGACGATAGCAGGGGATAACGGATCCAGAATATGCGCAAAGAGGCCTTCACTATGTAGAAACGCAAGAGCTACCACCAGGGAAATGGCCAGCCATGGACAACTTAGAGAAGTAATGAGAAATGCCGAATAGTATACGTGAATAGGCCACCAAATAAATCGATTTACATCCACTTAGATTATAAAATCCTTTTGTAATTTATTTATTTATCATTACAACACAGACATACTCAGCAATACGCCCACCCCATCAGGTATCTCACCTCATTTTATCATATATCTACCTACCTATCTACCAACTTAGGTATCTCCTACTTAACCTTACCCATAATAGTCTCCGCGCCCCTAACGACATCCATCTGCGCCGCGCGCGCCTTAACCGCATTCAACATGCCCCTCTCGAAGTCGTCGCGGGACCTAAGCACCGCCTCGACCCACGTGATCTGAAGGTCCCAGTACTTGGTCTTGAAGTCCTGGAACACGTCGGGCACGCTCTCCTTCGGGGCGGTGAGCAGGCCTAGGAAGTCCTCGGTTACGCGCCAGCTCTGCGTGATGTCGTTGCTTAGGTCCGCGTTGGGGAGGGAGCGGAAGTACTCGAAGGCCGTGGACACGTCGTTGAAGATCTTGTCTTGGAAGGGGTCTGTCCGTCGGAATTTGGCGCCTTTGTTGCGCACGCTCATTAGGTACTGTGCTAGGAGCTCGTCCGCTAGGATTTGGATGAAGACGTCGACGAGGGAGTGGTGCAGCACTTGTTGGTAGTCCCCGATGTACTCTTCGATTGTGATTATCATTTGTTTCATCGCGGTCGTCTCGTACCATCGCGGCGTGAAGAACGTCGGCATCACGGCCTTGAAGTCGACTGATATGACGAGCTGGGCAAATTTGTTGAGACACCAGGTACTTAGGTCGATGTAACTCTCACTGAGCGAAGCTATCTCGTTCTCGGCACGCTCCATGTATTGCGGCGTGACTAGCGGTTCGAACTTCTGCTTGAAGCTCGAAAGGTAAGCAAACCGGCCCTCTTCTTCGTTATCATCGATACACGCCATCTGGTCGTTGGCAGTTGCGATGAGCCAATCCTGTAATGCCTGGAAACCCTCTAACTCGGGTATCTTGTCTGCCTCGTATATTGCGGCTTCATCCTCGAGCATCTTCTGGAAAGACTGCTGGCGGCCGCGCAGCCGGAGGAACATGGCGTCAATAACACCCTCGGCGACATCTGTTCTCTGCGAGTTCGCAGCCGCGTCGACCTGTTCCCGTAACATGCGCCACATGTCGACCAGATTCTTGGTTCGGAAATAGCCATACTCATCCGTATCCAAGTTCGAGCCCTCCACGTTTCGGTCCGCAAAGTCGCGCCTCTCCTGCGCGAAAATCCGCTCGATCCACTCGTCGAGGAATTTGATGATGAGCTGGCGGAAGTCTTTAACCAACTCTTGCTCCCGGTTGTCGATCACGTGGGGTCTGAGATCGCTCTCCGAGAAACCGAGTTTCCGCATCTTCTTGTAGTACTTCTCGGGCCAGTTGATGATCTCGAGCGTGTTTGCCGAGCTCGATTCGGGGTCGTCTATCATGCCGACCAGGAAGTCGTGCATTAGTTGGTGGTATATATCGCCATACGTCTTGAGTATCTTCCACTTCTTGGGCATCAGGGGCACCATTCCTTGCTTAACGGCATTGAGGTCGTTGAAGAACCACTTCAGTATTTTGTCTAGCTTCGTGGGATCATCCAGGAACTCGCCCCTAGCTTCAGCAAATTGTCCTTCGCAGTTGACAGAAATCGCCTTTAAGAATTTCTCCTTATATCCTCTGACCTTCTTGGCGCCATCCGTAATACTTTGGAATCGCGTGGCCATTTCCTTGTGGTCTTTTAACGCTTCCTGTAAAGCTTCGACTCGTTGATCGCTTTTCTCCTCGGCCTCGACGATGACTGCTAGACGGACCACGAGGCTATTGTTGTCGGCGATCAAGAGGTTGATCATGTTCAACGCAATGAGACCGACGTGCTCGTCGAACCAGTCTATTGCGTCGTCTAACCTCGAAAAGTAGTCTTCTAGTGTGGATTGTAGGCTAGGGTCGTCGGCTCGTTGTATCTGTTCCATAGCATCGTCTCGAATATTTCGTAGCTGCGTTAATTCGTAATGAACTGAAAGGAGATTCGGCATGTTCTCCTTGTCCTCCTCGTCTTCTCTCAACATACTCTCAACCCTATTAAGGCGATCGTTAAATGTCTGGAGATTTTCCACCATGAGTTCTACCGCACCAAAATTCCTATGGGCCTGTGATACTAAATTTATGCTAGTAAAGTCTTTAATCATGTCCTGCGACTCGGAGCAAAGCTTGTCGATCTTCATCATCTCGTCCCTAATCGCTTGTAACGTCTTTTGGCCATCGGTAATGCCACTCATACCAGTTTGTGTCATCTCTAATTGATCCCGCAGTCCTCCCCTTAACTGCGAGTCGACGGCAGCCTTCTTGCGCGTGAATTCCAGCTTCAACGCGGGGATCTTGTCGAGGTCATCTGGATGTCGGAGGAGCTCCGAGAGCTTGACTGGCGGCGCGTCCATGGTGAAGTCGGCGGGGCACCGCTGCGACCGTCATGCGGGTTTTCGTATTTCAGATCATTCCGCAGTAAATCTACGGATTCGCCACGTTAAGAAAATCAGTTGCGTTCGCTGTTGCTGTTGCTGTCGTCGCTTGTGGTATAGAAGGATTCGCTAGATTACGTGGAAAGTAATCGCTAATTGGCTGTGATGCGCCTTCAGCCTGCGAATTGACGTTAAGATGAACCCTGGTATTTTATTGAATAAGCGCATAGCCGTTAGTAATATGCAATAATCCGATTTAAGTACATTACCTAGGTACCTACCCTACTAACCACCACTGGTCATGACGTTTGTCCCCCCCTATTCACAAAAGCATAACAAAGTCAACTTTGCTCTATCCTAGTGAATTGGGTTGTCTCATTATATAGAATATATTATAACAGGTACACGTGGTATATCCTACTTAGGTTGGCAATAGCTTCGTTTCATCAAAATCTCAATTATCCTACTTCGACTAAAAGAATCAAGGCCATGGTCAAACCAGAATGTCCATTCCGGAAGTATCACACTACAATCCCCAACGCCTTGCAAAATTCGTATAGCAATAGATCATTATTTAGATATCATTAAATAAATTAGACGGAGCTATTTTTTGAACGCCGTGACCAACCCATATCACCGCCGCCCTTTAGTAAAGAGTCGCTGCGATCTAGTCTTTCCGTTATACTCCTTAGCTCATCGTGATGCGGCATCAGTGCCTCGTTAAATGCTTTTGTATTCTCCTCCCCATCCTCTACGCGGTGTTTGACTTCCGTCGTGACCGTAATAGCACCCATCTGATCGCTCTTATGCGGGAATATCTCGTCCTGGCTGCCGTTCTCGCTGATCGCGTCCATCCCTGTGGCCGTCACCCGGCTTGTCGTCCCGAACGCTTTCGACCTATGCTGACTTCTCGTCTTCGACTTCTGTGATTGTATGTACTCTTTGCGGCTCCGACTCTTGAGTGGTATCGAGAGGTTCTTATGTCCGGAGTGGCCATGCGAGCCCCCGCCGGATGAGAGCCCGAGGGCGCTGTTGAGCCCAGGGATAAATGCTGCGACTTGTCTGAGCGAGGGGATGCAGGAGCATATTATGAGCGCGCATATCTCCACCATCGACCATATAAGGGGCTCTGCAAGTTGGTCTGTTATACTGTTACTAACCGTCTATCTGCCATAGCTATTGAGGTACTTACATGTATCATCGTCGGCTATGGATGTAACGTAGACAATACGAATTATAGATATGGACGTCACCCTAGACCCATGTTTAGCAGAAGTTTACGAGCGCTCCAAGTTCAGTTACTCACAGTACGCCCAGTGAAAGCATACAGATTAGTCCTAGTCTTTTGACAAGAGGTAGTTGAAGCTTCCACGCCGAGGGTATAGGTTCAAGAAATAGGGTGAGATCAGTGATTAGGTTGAAGATGAACTAATCGGTCGAAGGCATACCTCTCAGCACTTTTAACACAGCGAGTCGGATTTGAACTACTTACAGTAGAATACCAAAGCGGATGAAGACTGAAGCACGAGCCCTCCAGCTTGAAGTCCCATGATTTTCGAACAGGACTGCATTTGAATAGGACAACACACGTTTCCTCGGTGGCCTGCGCAAAGAGAAACGCGATCAAAAACTTGTTAACAACCCTGAACCCGCCTTCGGGGAATATTCTGAGGTATAGCACCGCAAAGCTGGCCTTCGCTGCTACAACACCCCAGCTAAACGTAATCGAGCTAGCGATTTGAAGCTAGAAGGAGTCAGTTTAGGTGTGAGCGACAGGATTATCAATTGGCTTCCCACCTGAAGATATTTGTTATAATCGTCGTCGCCGACTTCATCACGATGGACCCCGAGTCCGTATCGCGTAGCTTTGTTACGGTTAGCCTGAAGCTATATAGAGGAAATAGATCTATGCCATACCAAGCATTACGGAAGAACATATCCCTATTGATAACATCTACAATGGTTAGCTAGTGGTCCATTAAGGAGCCTTGTATATGGTTTAAATCCCCAGGAAGTGACATACCCAACTCAGGAAAATTAGAACTGCGAGAGGTAAGTAGATATCCATCAGAGAATTTTAGAAGTTATAGAAAAACTAACCATCATCCACTCCCATAGTCTTATGAAGCCATCGAGCCGTAATCCTCGAGGCCATAGATACCGCCGTAATCGCAACCAACGCCGCTCCGACGCTGACGATTGAATGTGCCTTGGAAGCGGCCATTATCGCCGATGTCAAACGCGGGTCGTCGCCGGGGAAGGTATCTTCGACCCAGAGTCGTAGGTCGATAGAATAGATGCCACACTTATTATAATACACAGTAGGTAAAACTAAGATCTCCCTGGGTAAATACACTACTTAGAGCACGTTATATTCTCTGTAACAATCCTTCTTTATTATGCGAGCTAGTTAAGTACATGGGAGCACACGCTAGACCCTCGATTGGGCTTTTCGTTCCAGAAGCTTGAGACTAGGGCTGGGGCCTGAGGCTTGGATTATGCTAATATATGCCAGGTACCATGAACAATCCTGCCGGTAGACCGGTGCTAAGTTGTAGCTGAAGACTAGCATTGGTTTAAGGCATAGGATTACTCCTGGGGAAACATGTTCTTCCATGTAATTCGGGGGTGTCTAAGTTAGGTGAGTTCGACTCGGCGGACTCCCTATTTAACATGACGGCGTTCCCACATACTTGTGCACTTGTATGCGCCTCTGTTTTGGCGATGCCTTTAGAGTGAACTCGATCTATTCGGGTCAAGACGGTAATAGGAGACTAGGACGTCCTAGATGGGTTATTTCCCAGCTTGCCACCTACAGTCAGTTACAGAGTAGAACACGTGAGTAACACGTTCAACATAGATGGACCTTGGGGAAAGATCACTAGATTAAGTTATTCGGGTTGCTCAAAGACACTGCCCACATGTATAGACCCAAGAGTATCTCTTAGAGACCCAAACAGGGGCCTGTAAACTAGCGCCGCTCGCTACCAGCTGTTCTATCTGCTTTCTCCATCAAAATTACATATTTCTAAGATTAACCTTCGAACTGGCGACTTATAGAAATAGATCACTTACTATGTAGATCTATATAAAAACGGTTGGTAGCGAACAATGCTAGTTTACAGGCCCCTGTTTGGGTCTCTAAGAGATAGTTAAGCCAAGACGACCCGATCTACCTACATAGACGAGATCGAGGAACAACTAAGTAACTGATCAATTCTGAGGGTTTACCTACATGTCTGACCACATACCATTCCGAACCCCACAGCCTGTCTTTCTCCAAGGGCAACCATATCGTGCATGCAGCCGATGCACCGCAACCTCAACATTCATATCATCTGGACCCAGAGCCATACATAGTAGGCGAGAACCAGGATGCCGCTGACCAGCCAGGGATGAACCGGGGAAGCGTTTAGTCGCTGCGCTAGTGCCTGACTGGCAACCCCGAGTCCCCGACATACACTATGTGATCTGCAGTTGATGTAGTTTCATCATTACCTAATGGCTGACGACTACCTATCTTATGGTCTGGGTATAATTAGCCGGGAGATAGTAATGTAGGTATGGCCCTTTAGCGATGATATAGGGAACCTATTCGCAGTTCTATAATATAGCCTAACACGTGCAATTGCTCTCATGTATAATACAGCTTCGTATACATAGATCCCCATGTGGGCCTCAAATGCACGTTGTATAGCTAGGTAATAATAGGTTATACTAGCTCGAGTGGAAAAAGAAGGAAACCCGAGACTAAAAAAGTGAAGACCGAACTGAATTCTAGTCGCGTACATAGACTACGAACGGCTTCAAGCCAAGAATAGACAGGTACCTTACCCATCCCCATAAATCAAGCTGCTAACTCTCCCACGAACGAACTATCTTCATCCTCGCTTATTTATCTCTAAACACCATACTATTACATAAATGCGTAGTGAGCTGAGCACTCCAGCTAAACTCCAAAGCGCCTAGGCACTTCCATCGCGACAAACCGGCTATCTTCCGCGCCGTCTAAGCGCTCCTCCCAAATTGCCCCTTAAAGCATAGCGCTATGTATTACATATTTCGAAGAGAGATCAGCCTTTCTATACGGATAGTGTATCTTTATTTGGTCAAAGACGAAACTTGTTTGATATTACACTAGGTAGTTGTCATTTGCATCGGCGTAAATAATGTGACGCTTCATTTTCTGGGGTAGATGCCACACAGACGCGAACTAGAGTACCTAGCAGAAGCGAATTTCGAGAAGCGCCGAAGGAGGTCTTATTTTAGAAGCAGGTATGGTTTATGGCGGTGAGTGGATGGCGACGGCAAGCTAGTACCTATGAGATGATAGTAGTTGGCTAGGCCCGTTTCCCAGCTTCAACTAACTACTACGTAAAAGAACTAAAATCAAAATTACAATCACGGCACTTGAACTCATGGATCTAGGAGTACAAGTTTATTGTCTATGGTCAAACGATAGTGTCAAGTTATGTTATTGAAACTAAATACTAGGCTTAGTCAATATCATCTCATCATTATACTATAGGTTACTTCAAGCTGGATCTAGGTAGGTACGGATTACTCTGTTGCAAGTAAGACATCATATTCTACACATCCACCTCTCAATCAGCCTCCAGCCTCGCAACCGGTGCGTTATCATTAACCTGTATCCCACCACGCTTCTTCTCATCCGAGTCCCAAAACGGCAACCTCCACCCCCCTTCGTCCTGCGGCACAGCCAGCCACAGCCTCAGCAGATGCCGTCTCGGCTTGCCACTATCGGGCCCGAAGTCGCGGTACGCCGTTCTAGCGTGCAGCGTGTGCGAGTTAGCCACGAACTGGATATCGCCGACAGCCAGTATCATGTGCAGCTTTACTCGTTCGCACGTCTCCTCGAGAACCCGCGTGGCTTCCTGCTGCGCGGGCGACAGCGGCGGGATAATGCCCTGGTCCGAGAACCGCGTTAGGCTGCGCACGTAGTACGGATCCCACTTGCAGTAGACGCGCTGCTCGCGCTCGGGGTGGGCCGGGTCCGGCGTCTCGAGGTAGAACACGGACGTCCGGATATACGGCTCCTCGCCCTCCGAGACCTCGCCTTTGCGGTCGAAGTACCAGATCGGCTGCGTGAGCAGCTCCGCGACATCTGGGCGCTCCACTTGCAGGATGTTCCAGACGTTGTGGATGGACGCGACGTCTGACTCGCCGCCAAACTCGGCTTTGTGGAGACATAATAAGCCTACGATGTCGCAGTCGTCGGCGTGGAAGAACTGCCGCGCGTTGGTCCGGTATATTCGCACTTTGTCGATCTGTGTGCTGTCTTCGCCGAGATCTTTGACGTGCCCTAGGATGTGGCCGTGGCCGTTTTGCGATACCGGGTAGCCGATGTAGACGCCCAGGCCCATGTAGGCGACGGCTGATTTGGGGATGCCCCATTCGTCGACGGGGAAGCCTTTGTATAGGATGAATCCCTTTCCGTTTAGTAGCTCTCGACGCATAGTCTCTAACGATGGTTCTAAACCTGGAAGTCGGAAGTTTTCTTTCGAGATTCCAGTTAAGGGTAGACCTAATTGGATGAAACTATCCGCGGCCTTGGATATCTCATCGAGTTCATCTTCGGCGAATTGGTGAACCCATCTCTCCGGGTTGTTGGCATAATCCTCTGCCTTCCATTCCGTAGGTCCCTCAATGTGCTTAGGAAAAGCGCTGTAAGGGTAGAGCTTATCATACAGCGGTGGATGTTGACCTATATAGCAATGAGTAACTAACTCGGTATAGAGATTTGGCAAATAGAGATTGCTCTAACCTGTTGTCTTTAGTCCATCTGGAAAGATCGAGTGATCAACTTGCTTAGCCTTGGCCTTTAGGCCCTGAATGACATCAGCCGGTGTCTCAATATCTACGGCGGGAGCCATGACTAGGGAGTCTTTCTCTGGTCTATCCCGATATGTCCAAGGGTGAGGTAGGTCAGGGTGTCTGGGTTGGAGGATGCAGGAGGGTGACTGATTAAGAGATAAGGTATAAATTCATTCCGTGTGGTTAAATAGCTACCTCGGTGTACTACCGTCACCTTTATCATCTACAAGATAGCCGAATAATGGCATCATATATTATCTCTTACCGCCGTCTTAGCCGTAAGGGGGAATCAAGATTAGGTTAAAGGCACTGTAACCTTTTCCTTTCTCCCTATCTTCCCCTCTACGGTCTACCTATCGCGGGGCTTCGATCACGCAATACCTAGCACGCAATCCTAGGCAAGGTTGCACCATTGTGTATCATTCGTATGTGTTTACTATACGCAAGATACAGCAGTGATTGGCCAATTCCTTCTGCTTTCGTGTATGTATTCCGAAGTCCAAGCATCGAAGCATCCATCTACATGCGTGTCGTCGGCCTTGGCATCATCATGTCGAAGATGATTTGCATTTCTCGGAGCGATCCGAGTTATAAAACAAGCAATTTTGCTATTGTCTCGAATTAATAGAGTAATATGTGGCCCGGTTGTTTCTAGAAGTCTTGGAACAATAGAATTCTCCAGCACGCAATCGCGGGCCAAGATAGCAGAAACGCATTAGTAGGAAAATATCTCGATGAAGTCCGACGACATCGGAGTAAGGGGATAATCAATCGGCCACAATACCTTTTTTTTTATAGCTCGAGGCGCTTATTAGCTTTATAGAGTTAAGTGTTATTAAAGATTTCCCCTTGACGTCTCACGATAGCTTCTCATTTCGTAATCAGTCCAGGATTCTATTCGACAATAAATAAGAAGTTAATTATTCTGCAACAATATCTCCAATAACAATACATAGGTTAGGTAGCTTCAGGCACGTAAATCCAATTCGCTCCTCAAAGTCTACTTGATCCGACGTTGCCTTTGTCAAACTAGGTGATATAATGTAAAGCACTAGCATTGCATTCTTCGAAGCTGGCGATATTTAATAACTAAAATGGATTAAAGAAATTCACAAGTCCCCTCCAACCTGTGCTGTCATAGGTATGGATATAATATGTCACTTAGACGTAAGTAAATATTTAATAGATTATGTTATTAGATATAAGTCGCGGGCTCATCATTCCAAGACGGCCCATAAGAGACAAGAAATATAAAATATAAAAGGGGAAACCCGATATTATCTATTCATTCGCGTAAGGGGTATCTCTCATCTCGCTCATCAAGCGTAAAAAATCATATGCCAGCATTCTCATTCTCTCTCCTTTTCTTCTTTCCTTTCCCTTCCCTTTCAGTTCTTCTCTTCTCCTCCCATTCCTCCTATTACTTCTTATGCAAAAGACTCGACACCGACCTCGAAAGCGGACTCGGCTGGAACCCCGGGCATTCCTGGGCCTGCAAATCCGACTTTAACTCCCGCGTCTCCCCTTGTTCTTGCCCCTGCCCCTGCTCCTCCTCATCCAACAACCGACCCTTCCCCTCATCATCTCCATCGCTCTCCGGCGGCGCGCACTTAATCTCGCCCCTTAGGATCTCGACGACCGTCGCCAGCGGCAACAGCAACATGCCCACCGAAAGCAACTGTCCGAAACTCCACTCCCGCTCGCCGCCGTCGCTCAGCCGGATAGGCGTCGAGTGCGCGAACGCATCGGCGAGGTACGCCACGCGGACCGTCGCTCCGACCGCAAACGCCGCCATGAGGACCAAGCCGACCGCTTGCACGGCGGCGTAGAAGCGCCGCGTGCGCGCGTGCAGATACCATATCGCCAGCGCGAAGATAGCCACGTTCCCCGCTATCACGGCCCCGGTGCCTACGTACGAGACCGCCGCGTTGCCGGCCGGTGGCCCGTTCTGCGTCTCGGGCCGCCATGCGCATTCGACGGGGAACGTGGCGTCGTTGATGCCGCGCTGCACGGAGCGCAGGATGAATATCCCGTATGTACACGACAGGACCAGGTTAACAAGCATAAGCAGCTCGCGCATCCAGCGGAGCACCCAGTCGCGGCGGAAGTCGCGCGCGAGAGCGAGCAGGGTGGCGTTATGTACGGCCATAGATAGTAACGAGAGCATCCACACGAGGAAGAAGTGGTACGGGACCAGGCTCGTTCGTTTGGCCAGGCCGACGGATTGGATGCCGATGCCGGTGAGGATCTGCTGGTCCGAGTACGAGTTGAGCAGTTTGCGGCGGAGGATGGAGGGTTTCTGGACGTTGCGCATTTCTTGGAAGACTAGGGAGGCGCTGATGAGGAGGGATATTGCGGCGGTGACTATGAAGGAGAGGAGCACGCCGATGCCTGCGATGCCGGCGTCGCTGGGGACGGCGGCGGGCGCGTTGGTGCAGTTCATTGTGAGTAGTGGACGATTACGAGATGCACTACGGATTCCTATCGAATCGTCGAAACAGGTAGGTATAAAAAAAAAGAAAGAAAGAAAAAGTAACTTCAAAAATCGTAGTAACACTCCCTCGCAACGCAGCGACTTTCGAGGGCGGTGGTAAATATATCAACACCAAGCCCACAAACAATAACCACGTTTCAGAAAGAACCAACAAGAAAGCGAACAAAGAATACTTTCCATTAACCTACCTAACCAATTGTTCTGGAATCCCTCCCGCCCTTTGTAGCTATGTAAATAATGACTTGCGCCCCTCCGTTAGAATGTACAAGCCTCCCCCTCCCCCCTCCCCCCTCCCCTTGTCTTACACAGTGACGTCGCCCTCGATGCCAATATAAGCGCCCCGGATGAAACGTCGCGCAGATCGCTTGGACCCCTGTTTTTGGTTAATCGACTGGATGGGAGAAGTTCGTCGACATGTCTAAGTGCGGCTGTGCTTTTCAGGCTTCAGTTTCGCCTCTGCGGCTATGTATTTCCAGGACAACTTTTTCTTTAACGTTCTGATTACCATCATTAGGTACTTTATCTACCTAACGTGACATAAGTGAGTTGAGTTAGGAATACACATACAAATAGTACATATCAGATATCAAGCGACGAGAACGCATATGTAAGAAAACAAGTCATGGATTCAACCTCCAAGTTGAATCTGTCCAATAACATCAACTATAACTACCTAACCTCCTAGGAAAGTATCGCGAGCCCGCGAGTCTAAAATCTATTAAAATGTCGTAGCTTAGCTCGTGTCATCAATTTCTCCGCCGTATCTGTTCCTCGTATCGACGAGGCCTTTTGTCTTTACGATCAAGAAAAAGGGAAAGACCCGTTGGGATATCAATGAAAATAAACGATTGCTGCCTCCAACTCCGTCCAACTCCGACCACCCCGCGACGCCGAGACCTTGCTTTAAGCAGCAGGGGCGTGCCCTCAAACCTCCGTCCGTGTTAAAGCCTCCCGAAGAGCTGGCTCTGCTAGAGCGTTTTGTTAAAATTGTAAATACTCTAATGCACCCCCTTTTTCTTTTTTTCGCTTGGTTAGACTTTTGTGAATTCGTAACATGCCGTTTGTCCGCCAATGTAGTATCATGCCTTCCTTTGCCTTTTGGCAGCTCGGCCAGGGCTATCGTCTAAATCATTTCGCAATATCTCCTCAGTGCCGCTCGGACTTGGCGACTTGTGGCTTGGCGAGTTTGTCTCTACAACCCGTCCAGTGTTCAGACCATCCGTGACAGGAAACTCGCTGCCGTCGGCATTCCAGTCAAAATTCGTGCCGTCGTTGAAGGTTGTGGTATCAAAGTTGAAGTCGTTTCCGGATGCGTCAGCGGTATATGCATTTGGGTCTAGGTATTGGTTCAGGTCGATGTTATCATCAAAATAGGCACTTGAATCGTCCAGGCCAGGTATCCGGCCTGATGGGCTCAGGGGACCTAGCAGGTGGTTGAGATCATCTAGCTTCTGGGCCTGTTCACTTTGTAGGCGTTGAAGTTGTTCGAGCTCTTCCTCTGTTTGCGATATCTGTTGGATCGACGGTGGAGGGTTTGACGATAAGATAGGGGCTGGTGAATTGCGCCCGTTCACGGCTGGCATACCTCCAGCTAATGGAATTCCTACCGAGGATGGACTTGTGGCTGTCGGTATTGGGGGCGAAGAGGCCGAGGAGAGAGGAGTGGAGGTAGCGCTGTGATGACCGCCAGACATGATGCTTAACATGCGGTTCCGCTGGTCATTTGTCAGAGTTGCTGACGTATGAGCAGCAACATTGGGTAGGTCAACGGAAACATTGCCCGCATTCGTGTTCGCGTCTTGAATGATCTTCATCATGCCCTCCTGAGGATTCGACTCGAGTTCTTGTTTGAGGTAAGCGGGAGTAGACGACTCTATCGGAGTGTCAAGGACTTCCGTGACATGCCCCATCTGTGGTGATTGCTGCTGATTCGAATAGTTTGAAAACGGCGCGGGAGTGCCGGTAGTGGGAGTCACCACTGGGGGTGTTTTAATGCCTTGGTTCTGAGGAATGGGAGGCAAAAGGCGGTGCTGTCTCTTCGGTGTACCCGCCTGTGCCGAGTTGTTGGGCACCTGCTGTTGCACCCAATCTCCTAGATCAACCACACTACCTTGGCCTTGCGCCGTTGGCATCTGAACATTGGGTATGATGCTGGCTAGTAGGTCATTCACATTCTGCACGCCTCCTTGCTCCTCGAGCGACTTTCTAAAGACGTTCGCTAGGAAATTTAGGATGGCATTGATGGAGTTCTCGTGACGATCATGCATGTTCTGGAACATAATTGCTTGTTGATAAAGCTGGTTATGCTCCTGTCGGAGCCGCTGGATAGCTTCGCTAATTTGCTTCTGCCGCGTCTGCAGTGCCGCCATCTGATCTCTGACGACCGCCAACTCCTTCTTTTGGAGGGGCCCTGTCTCTGGCGCTGGCAGTGCTCGGTTCTGCGCACTTTGCTGAGGAAAAGGGTGGCCGATGGCTTCATCTACCACGGTAGCATCCTCGTCGCTCTCACCCTCACCTTCATTTTGTTTCTTGATAGGCTTCTTGGGGCCACCGCTTTTCGGCTTGTTGATTAGCCAGAGCAGATTCGGGTGACCACGCTTGAAGTAAGGGTTGTAGTATTCGCTTGGGCTCTTGTTCTTACGTTCGCTAGCCTTCATAGAATTATCTGAAAGACCAACTTTCTTGTGGAATCCGTACATGTTGAGTTGCCGAACAAAGGATGCGTAGTTATTGTGCTTAAAGAGCTCAGGAATTAAGGACTTAGCAAACTCATCTTCGTCGAGAACAATAAAAGAGTCACCCTTCTCTGACCACCTAATCAGATCTGTATTCTTCGATTCTTCCAAGAAGCTGTTGAGAATGTTAGCAGTGTAAGTATGGCGCTGGGGGGACATCATGCGTACCTGTTCAACTTTTGCACGAAAGGAGGGATCTGCTTCCGCTTCGCCTGAGCCTCCCTCTTTGCCCTCTGGGCCTTCTCCTCAAGTAACTCTATGTTGTCGTGTTCGTCGACAGTCCCACTAGGCTGGCTTGCAATCAAGTTCTCGTCAAAGCCCGGCCATGTGTCGTTCTGTTGCGGGGTGAATGCGCGATTAGTGGCAACGAGAGCATTGTTCATGCCTCGTCTCGCAAGGACGTTCGAAGGGGCAGCTTGAGGGTACTGTGATGGTGTCGAGGGCGGCATAACGCCGTAAGAGTTTACTCCATTCGAAGTGTTATCAACGAAGGTCCCCGGGTTATTCCCATTCCACCTCAACAACTGGTCTGGTGTACTATACGGTGTCGCCATTGGGTGCTGTATCGGTATACTACCGGGTGCTGGCCTTTTTCGAGGATTCGGTGATGACATAGGGTGGTAGTAACTGTACATGAACCACGACCAAGGGAAGTGGTTATGTGAGCGCGGGTAAGTGTAGCTACCGGTCTACTTCGCCAGAAGACGATTATCAGTACCGTATATCCCGTAGACGAGTAGCTCGTAGTACTATATGCCGCTAGATCTAATAAGATTGGAATACAACTATGGCGGGGATGGTCGACGTGGGCCAAAGTTGGGTGTCAAAGAGGGGAAATCGTAAGAGCGGGGAGTTGGAAGTTGGAAGTTGGGAGAGGGCGAAGATTGGGAGAGCGGTGGCAGGACCGTGTATGAAGCCGCAAGGCTATCGAGAGAAGGTAGGCGGTCGGTTTAGGCGACTAGGCTGGGCGCGCAGGTTTTTTTCTGCCGAATAGTTGTCGCCGCGCAAGGCTGTGATATCGTTTCGGTGAAAAGGAACGCGATGGTTAGGTATGGATCAAGGCGACCAATCAGACGTGAAAAGGTTATGCGCGCAGATTTTCAGATTTCGTGGCAGATTTCGTAGCAGATTTCGTAGGCAATGTCAGGTTCTGGCAGATTTCAATTCCGATGGAGTAAAATGGTGGGTTCCAGGCTTTCCTGCGCATTCATAGCTCTGCCTATATACCGGCCGAGCTTCATAAAGAGCTTGAACGACAACAGAAGGAATTGAGACAGCACTAGAAGCTGTAAAGAGCCTTCAAGACCCCCGATTAAGCTGTCTCTAGTAGTTGCGACAGCAATCAAGTGAACAGCCTGAGAGGTGGGAGTCAGTCAAGGGTAGAAAACAAGGGTAAATGGTAAAGCCCGTTGTTCTCGAAGTCGCAAAAGAACAGTTCGATGTCCCAGATTGTCTAAGATAGATTAAATAAATTGCCGGCATGTATCTGGCCTAACATTCTGGAGACGTGTATTCAAGGTGACGTAGCTGGGCGGAGTTGAACAAAGTTGAATGTGCAGACGCCAGCGTGGTCGTGGTCGTGGTCGAGGGGACGGGAATGTAAATGGGAATGTAAAATGGGAATGTAAGTTTTTGATGGGATTTTTAGAATTGACCGGCCTTCCGGCTCACAAGCCGTGACACACCCAAGACAGAAGAATTCGTTCTTTCCGTGTCTTGGCTTAGTTCTTTCTAGGTACTATGCACACTGGCACGGAACCGAACCGAGAATTGAGGAAACGACCTCCTAAGAGCAATTAGCCGTACCGGCGGGACAAGGGAGCAATCGGAAGAAGGTTCAAAACAATTTAAGCCAAGCTTCAATTATAGTAACTGGCATCGATGTTTATTGTACGGAATAGATGCTCAAGTATAACACAAATATAACACGAACTGTATGTAGGTAAAAGGTAAAATATATATTTATGAAATCTCGATATAGCGTCAGCTTACATAGCATATACACTAACTTAGGTACCTAACAGACTTGCGCTAAGTACCGTACCTTTGCTAAAAATTTGATGGATGCATGTGCGTTGTTGTTTAGAAATGGGCTTAACAGAATTAACATGGCCCACTAGCATGTCCCTGGTTAGTAAGTCGACGGGACATGCGCTACAAGCCGACATCGTGGTCTACAAATCGCTACTGCATACGCTAGTACATACATACAGCTATCTGGCCAATCAGTAGTGAAAATGATAAGATATTCTTGTATAAGACTACCATCATCATTCATACGATCGGATGATTCTCTCGTCATAAAGTGTCTAGCTTATACACTATGCATGTTCTATAGATTCATCTTATTGGATATCAGGACCCTCGGCTCTTTATACTTATATCTCTTAAAGACCCAAACAAGGGTCCGGAATCTGACCCATAAAGCTAAGCCTCGCTACCAGCCATATTTATTAAAATCTTATTCGGAAAATGGCATGAGTAGCTTTTTTCTATAGTTGATCTTAAGCATAGACATATTTGATGGAGAAGCTATTAAACATGGCCTTTTAATACGTCCCGCAACACTATAGAGCAGGATAGACGCTAGTCCCGGACCCCTGTTTGGGTCTCTAAGAGATACTATCACGATGTCTATCGCCTTACGGTCTTCAAGTTTATTGATGCTGTTTAGACTGCGGATAATTGTACAACTATAAGGATACCATACATTAGTACGAAGTATGGTACGGAGCATTATGAGCGAAACCATACCCAAAGCTGTCAAACTGTGGAGTTATTAATAAGAACCATGTCCCGAACACAGGTCCGGACCATCATCTCCAGTCGATGCGACGCTGGACGCCAAGCCGAAGTGCTGGAAACTTGCAGGATTCAATCTGACCAATCACAAATGTCCAGACGCACCATAGCTCTCCCCATATTCTACCCAAGTAGGATGAAACTTCGATTCTCAGCGTTATGCACGATTGTATCGCAATATCTAAGAAGCTTAGCAAAACATAGACCTTCACATTTGTACATGTGTTTGTAGGACCCACGCAGCTTGTCAAAATGCAAACCTCCTTTTTTAAACGAAGACCAAGAGGAAAATACCCATGCCAGCTTCAACCTCGGAAGGGGATAGACCTTTCTAAAATCAAGGGGTATCAATGGTCATTTCAAGCCTCAAGAGATACGGGGGAAAGGTTCCTATGGTTAACGTGTTACTTAGCTCCTCTGCCAGCCAGCGCCGATGCTCTCGCTAATTTGGCATTCCTCGCTTGGTCCCATTCCCTTCCGGAGTTTCCAGCCTGTGCCTCTCTTTGCGCCCTCTTCTCCTCCTTAAGCGTCCGGGCCTTTTCTCTCGGATCAATGACAACCAATTCCTCTTCGGCCTTCTTCCGGTATGATAAGTCTTTACCGAGCTTGTCGGCTGCAAAGCTCAAGACGTGGGACATCCAACCCTCATCGTCGCTCTCTTCCTTTTCAGCCTTGTCCCACGAGTTGCAGCTTTGGCAGTTGGCAATAAAGTGTAGATCGCATAGTTCCGCCTCGTCGTCGTGCTCGCCCGAACCTTGCTCAGCGCCGCTCTCCTCCGTAGGCACGTTTGGTTGTTCTTTCTCGGGTCCTGCTTGGCTGAGCTTGGAGCGAAAGGCTTGAAGCTTTAGTAAATCATCGTTTACGGCAGGTCCCTCGCCTCCTCTTCTCCTTTTCCGGCCCCGCGTAGAAGTCTCTGGTATTAATTGCTCCAGTGCTGTTTTCTTAACCTCCTTGATCGGCTCAGAATGAATAGTCCGTTTCATAGATGCCTTCAAGGCTGCGATCTCTTCATTTGCTTGCTCTAGTGCGGATTTCTTTGGCGGCTCTGGCTCTGGAGATGATTCATCCCGAATGGGGATAGGTACGCTCTTCGTAGGTGGTGAGGATGGTTTTGTCTCCAATTTCGAGTCAGTCCGAAGTTCACGAACCGGTATAGAAGACCCAGTCGCCTTGGCCTCCTGCTTACCACTACTCTTCGGCGGCTTGGCGACGGGTGTTGGCTCTTCGTCTACCTCCATGACAATACGCGAGTCGAATTTTGCCTTTTTTAAGACCGGCGCGTCATCATCGCCTTCTTCGTCTCCAAAACTCAATAACTTCTTCCCCGCTTTAGATTTGGGTTTCTTCTTTTTCTCAGTAGCAGGTGCCTCGTGGGTTCGTTTAGCAATCCTTTCTCGCTTTTTCATATCATCGAAAGGATTGACAAGAATCTCCACGCTCGTAATCCTTATAGGGTAGAGAGGCCGCTCGGTTCCTTCTGCTATTTCTGCCTCACCCATGCGGGCCAAGTTGTAAATTGTATCGCCCACTACTCTCCCAAACACTGTATTCTTGTTGTTCAGCTCCTCGGCTTTTTCCAGTGTAAAGAAGAATTGGCTGGCGTTTGTATCCGGTTTGCTCTCGTTGGCCATACCCAACAGTCCCCTTCGGTTGAACTTTAGTCGCGAATGAAACTCGTCTTTGAAGTTTACACCCGTAGGTCCAGCATTCTTCCCACGGCGCTGATCCATGGGCCACGGATCCAGATCGCCGCTATATGCGCCGCCATCATAAATGGATTCTCCCCCGTTTCCTGTCCCAGTGGGATCACCTCCTTGTATGATAAAACCGGGAACTAGGCGATGAAATATCGTATTATCGTAATATCCATCGAGACATAGCTGGAGGAAGTTTCGCGATGTAAGCGGGGTCTGTTTTGCGAATAGCTCGACCGATAAGTCGCCCAGTGTCGTATGGAGAATCAGCGAAGCGGTAGGCTGAGGCTCGAGATTGTAGATGGAGGACATATTGCGCAGCGACCTCAAATAACGGTCAATGGAGAATTTGAGCTGCTAGAGGAAAAGCAGACTTAAATTTGGCGAAGCTGTTTTTAACGTTGAAATAAAAACATGGAGTCTGGAAGCTTGATTAGATGTAGCCAACGTGCGAGTAACTTCCTCGCCTACTCGATACAGCGCGTTTCTGTTTAGGTAGTAACCTACCTGTAGGTACATACCTTGAACTTTGAAGGTAGGTTCCTTGGCACTTAAGCTCCCGGTCTACTGCTGCCGACAAAATAAACCTTATCTTATCAGGTTCTTGCCTGCAATCTACAAGGTACATGTACATAGGTACCTCTCGTGCGAAAAGAAAGTTCAAACTCTCCACCCGTAGGGCAATCAAACAGGGGTTCTATTATGTACCTAACCTATTCGCCTCAACGTGCCATCGAAAAGGTTTTTAGATGCTAACATAAATACATACATCGGCCATATGGCCCAAATTTATAATAAGTCGTCAAGGGGGAATTATATCTCATCGCACATAAGGCGATTTTATCCAAGGTTGGCTACCAAGCCGTGAGAGTCAACTACTTAACCCTCTGAACGACTTACACCCACAAACCGGTTGGGCTTGGTGTATAGATAATTGTCACTAGACCCTCTAAAAACTAAAAGCTTTCTACTACACAAAGAATACGTGAAAGCGCTACTTGATAATATGGCGGCGCAGGAGCCAAACCCGAATTTACCGCCTTCGGAGGCAACAAACGCTGTTCTTGTTCCATCCGATGAACTACCAGAAGGAGCTCAGAAGGTTGAGGAGATCGATTTTAATGCTTTCAAGGGACGACCGATTACTGTGGATGATGTGCTTGGAGGCATGAAGCATATGGGCTTCCAGGCATCTTCTATGGCCGAGGCAGTACGGATTATCAATGACATGGTTAGCAAAAGGAAAGTATTCATCTCTTGGCATTTAACTGACAAATCTCGAAGCGAGCATGGCGTGACCCGGAGACGGGCGACAAGACGACGATATTTCTTGGCTACACGTCTAATATGATTTCATCTGGACTAAGAGGCATATTTCGGTACCTGGTAGAGAACAAGCACGTCTCATGCATTGTCACGTCTGCAGGTGGTATTGAAGAAGATTTCATCAAGTGCCTCGGCGACACATACATGTCTTCCTTCAGCGCTAGGGGGGCCGAGCTAAGAGCTAAAGGTCTCAACCGAATAGGCAATCTGATGGTTCCCAATGCGAACTACTGTGCATTCGAAGACTGGGTCGTGCCCATTCTAGACAAGATGCTCGAAGAACAAGAAGCAAGCAAGGGAACTGAAAAGGAAATCAACTGGACGCCATCCAAGGTTATTCACCGGCTCGGAAAGGAGATCAACGACGAGAGATCAGTATATTACTGGGCCTACAAGAATGACATTCCCGTGTTCTGTCCAGCTTTGACAGATGGTAGTCTAGGTGATATGCTATACTTCCACACGTTTAAAGCCTCACCACTGCAGCTGAAGATCGATATAGTGGAAGACATTCGACGCATCAACACCATCTCCGTACGGGCAAAGCGGGCTGGAATGATTATATTGGGCGGTGGAGTTATCAAGCATCATATCGCAAACGCCTGCTTGATGAGAAACGGAGCCGAGTCTGCCGTTTATATCAACACTGCCCAAGAGTTTGATGGTAGCGACGCGGGTGCGCGGCCAGATGAAGCGGTCTCCTGGGGAAAGATTAAAGTGGGAGCAGATCACGTCAAGGTAAGGAACTAAATTTCTTGAAAAGCTTTCTTCTAGACTCATCCGGTCTAATATTTGTCCTAGGTCTACCTCGAGGCTTCTGCGTGCTTCCCTTTTATTGTAGCCAGCACTTTTGCCAAGGACGGCTAGGTAGAAGATGTGATACAAGGAGTCAATGATATTGGCATACAGCTAAGAAAGCTCAACTTTATCTAACAATCACATGGCTCGTATCCTCCCAACTATTGTGCTTAAGTGCCTAGTTTGGCAGTAAAGTTTACTGCTAAAAGCAGCCATTGGTAAGAGGCCTCCCAATTTAAGTGTGTCTGAGGGGGTGTCCTTGCGAATAAAAAATTAGGTTAGTCAAAGCATTCTTGTTTCTACTTGATGAAATCGTCCCCGTCGAGGATTGCCAACAGATCGGAATTGAATGCAGCTTTAGTAGTCGAACTTCGGCTTTCAACAGATAGTACAGACTCGGTATACCAAGCAACGCTTTATAGCCCAGGTTCTCCCGCCATTTTTAAAGGACTGCCCTCAGCGTGCATGGGTATTGAAAGATGTTCTGTTGTAATAACCACCAATTCGACTTGAAGTTGGAAACGGATGATATTAGTCACTTTAAGAATCCTAACAGGATCTTCGGACGAGCCCCCTTTCACTACTAACCCTGGCAAGGACATGCTTTGGGCACCTTTCTTTACCATTCTTCATTCAACTTGCCCCCTATACTATTATCCTATACTAGAAGAAGGTCCCGACCGTTCCCTACAGGCCGTCTAGATGTTTCTAGTGAGGATCTCCGGAAAATCTCGCTCCCTGTACGCGACTGCTCCTTTTTAAAGAGCCATCTAACAACATTCTATCTAATGGGATTTCACCATGCTTCCCCTTTTTGATACAGTCCTACAGATGAACAAGGGTGAATTAGGTATAGTACCAGCCTTGTCAAGACATGCACCAAACTCTATAACTATCCCTCCTGGGTTAAATCGTCCCCTATCTCGCCCCGAGTCACCAAATAATCGTATGCACGTCCCGTACCAGTCTATGGAATCAAATAGCGACCCCAACGCGTCCCGTGCAACAACATCAATGCCTGCGTTATCATCTACACAGTCACGGTCGGATCGTCCACATATTTGTCGGGTCCAATTTCGGGCTGCACAAACTCTCCTCCGCTTAAAACATGCAAAGACTGAGGAAGGTGCTCGGGCGGTAATGCCTTGCCTGGAAAGCGCAGCCAATATTAACGTAGCTGTGAATGACAATTTCAAACCATCTCTTTCCTCTTCTTCAGGTAACAACGTCTCCCAGTAAGTTGAAATTTCCTATACTAAAGTCCTCATTATAATGCACTTTCATCGTAACATCACAACCTTTTTATAGTAAGTGTTTTACTGCTGTTGTTGAATTCCTTAAACTTCATACCGTGATTAAGTTTAACAATAACTATCGCATTGTTCAACTAAACTGAATAAAATCCATAGAACTCTCGGCTTTGTTCCTATTGGCAAGAAAACAAGCTTGTTTCGTCGGCAAGTAGGTCGACGGAGTAGACAAGAATACGCCGCAGGCTTGGAATTTGAAGCCTCGATAGTCACCATGAGTCCACGCAATGACCAAGTAGACTTACCAAAGCCGAGAGCCAGAAACAGGAGCGATGCCAGGTCATCAGTAGATAAGCTTATGGACGAAGTTAACGATACAGTGGGAGGTGAGCCAGCTGACGATGCTACGAAGGAGGAATGGGATCGCTACTTGAGCACTTACATAAATGAACTGGATCGGAGAGCGGGGTCGAGCTCATGGCCTCAACTTGAAAAGGCTGAACGGTTTGTCAAGAGAATGGAACAAGCACCTTTTAGAAGGATGGACTATAGCAGTGACGAAGACGACGCGCCCAAAGCTGGCGGATCGACAGCACTAGGCCAACAGAAAGTTCAGACTGGAAAAAGCCATCATAGGGCCACGGCTACGAATGGCAAGCCTCGGGAAAGACGTCGCGAGACAACAGAGTCGAGAAAGAACGAGGTGCAGGCAGCTTCCGCGGGAAAGCAAGCAGCAAAGGATCTTCATGAGTTGGAAGGCGCAGAACAGTCAAGCAGCGGCAATGGAGTGAAGGCTTCCACACCAAACATTATTCCACCAGGCCCGAGCCCGATGACGGATCAGGATAGTCCGCAACATAAAAAAAGATGCCGGAGAGCAGTAGAATCCCTAATGTCGGAATTGGGCAAGAACTGGCAACCTCATGCTGACGAACAAGGACGTAGGCCAGTCAGGGGGAGAGCTAACAAGAATTGATTAGTTACCTCTTAGATATGTTCACGAAGTACATTTATATTATCTAGCAGAGCTCTAGGGTACGGGGACCTATCATGACGGGGAAAGGTGTATTCTGTGCATAGCGAAGGTTATCTTACGTACTGAGATATGTTCATGTACGTTGAGCAGCTATTTCTAGCAACTATTTCCAGTGATAAAATGGAAAAAGTTCGGAGTAACCAGAGTTCTGAAAACAGGTACCTAGGTACTTTATTTCAGCATCTAGCAACATGTATTTCTAGCCGGCATTGAGTTTCGCTGTTCTCGAAAGAGCTAGCGCAAAGACTATTTACAGGCTTAGTTTTAGTTTGTATTACAACTGCTCTAATCCGTATGTACATGTAAATACTAAATACAAACACCAAATTATGTATCCATTGTGCCCTAAAGTTTTAAACTGGATTATCCATAAAAGTACCCGCAGAGACTTCCAGTCAATCGCATTATTGATATGAATTGAATTATGGAAATTGCCGCACGTTGTACTATACTATACTATATCAACCTTAGTGTACGTAACCCTCCGTACATAGTACAAGGACAATTAATTTTTTTTGTTTATTGAATAGTGCGTTTTGACTGTTTGTACATATACGAGAGTTGCACGCGGAGGATCTTCGTGCTACATATATACATGTACATAGGTAGTACAGATAAACTTGATCATGCATGTCTGTAGCTGGTTAACTTGGCAGTCTCAAAATGCGCGGGTAGTCATGATGGGAACAGGTGATTGGATGTTTAAGAGGCAGGTGCAAGGCTTGGGACAAGTTGTAGATTGAAGATGGACCCCGATTGGGTCTTCATGGGGGGGGCCTAGCATCTTTAATGCCAAATGCTTAACAGGCGTTGCAGGCCTACATTAACTAGCGGCTTATGAGTTCCGGGCGTCCTGCATCCCTGCTCGGGGTTCGGTTTAGTCTAGCCTGTCCTGGATTTCTCTGGTCATCGTCCCAGCAGGTGCCACGCGAAGTTTGTGTTTTCGAGGGTCTCCAATTTCAGCCTCTTCAACCCTTCTCGTCTTCAACGTTCCTATCGAATACAGCGTTTCAACTCATCTGTCATCCTAAGCATTTGACACGCGCCTGTCGCATAGCAACATCCGAGTTTACAGGGCTCTAGACAACCAATCAAATTTAAGTTAAGAGCACAAGGGAGGGGCTGTGGTTGTAGCGTCTTCTAATTCAGAGTGCCGTCTGTCCGCATCCTATCCTCGCCAAAACTCCAACCGTATTGAAATCCCGTGCTTGCTAAGCTCTCATGATCATCCGAGCCCATTTCCAGCCTATGACTCTATGACAAGTTCATAGACTACTTAAAGGCGGGCCTGTTCTGCCTCGTGCCAGACATGTAAGTCGAATTTCTCTCTCCAGCGACCCGTCGAATATTCGATATCGACACAAATTCCGTTAAGAAAATTCCGTTAAGCACTCATCTCGCACTAAATACTAAGAATCTACCACTTCTGCTTTACACGGCACGAAAAATACGGTAGAGGTGCCGCAAGATTACAACATGTTTAAAATGTTATGCAATTTCGTTATAGACCTAAGAGTGATGGGGGAGGTTGTCCTAAACCTATGGCGACCTCCGAATTTTCCGATAATTATCTAATTCCTTCGCGTAGGGCTTCCCGCTATAATGGATCGCGGTATGATGGCGATTCGCGCCGCTCTAGGTCTCGAGATCGCTCGCCAGATCGGAGATCATTGTATAGTGACGGCGGACCGCGACGCTCTTCTGCCGAATCTCGAGTGAATACCTCTGCGTTTCAGACCAACCGGGATAATTTTCGCGATGCCCCCCTATCAAGAGACCCCCCTCGGGGCCCGAAAGCCTTACTCGATGCGCCTAGCGGGCCTCGCGGAGGGGGATACTCTGGAGATTTCCGCGGTAGAGGTCGCGGAAGGGGTAGAGGTTGGCGAGATGATAGCCGGGACCGCGGGAGGGATAGAGATATTGATTTCAGAGATCGGAGAGACAACTCTTACCGTGATGAACGCAGCCGAGAACGTGATCGCGGTGATTGGCGGGATCGTGATCGAGACAGCTTCAGAGGACGGCGACCATCACCCCGTGGACGATCGCCCCCCGGCAGGGATTTTCGGGATTCGAGAGACTTAAGAGATGCTCCACTAGGCGTCGATGCGGAGCGCGCTCGACGTGGATCGAGGGACGGACCACTTTCGGCTGGATCATCTTCATCTGATCCTCCTTTTGGGCCTTCGTCCTATCGCGGTGGATACAGTAATCGGGGTCGCGGGAGAGGTCGTGGCGACTGGGATAGAGGCCGCGGACGGGGGTTTTACGACGATCGTGATAGATACGGCCCGGCTTTTAGGTCGCGTTCTCAAGAGGGACGATACCGAGATCGAGACGACCGCGATCGCGATAATAGATATCTCGATCCCGACTTGCGCCCACGTGATCATCGAGATGACCGCGATGTACGAGACCGCGAGGTTCGGCCCAAACTCGAGAGAGCATCGCACGAGCCGCCCCCATTACCGCCAAAAGACGTTTCGCCCCCTCCAGTCGCTCCAGCCGCGCCATCCTTTGGATCGGTACCTAACAGAACTGCATCAACGACTGAGGTCGGACCGGCCACGGGCAAGGCGCCGCCAACAGGACCAAGAGCACTCAAAGAAGAGCGACCAACAGCGCCTGGCCCTGTGCCTAATACAGATTCAAGACTACCACCTATCGGTCCATCTAGATCGTCCTTCCTGGAAATGAGCCCTACTACTATTCCTTCTGGTCCACGCTCCCAAACACGGCCGGGACCCTCGAGCAAGCAATGGATCAACCCTAATATTAAGAATCGGGTCCCTGAGTCGCCGAAGCTAAGTAGATCTCAGAGTTTAGCTCAACCGCGACCTGCCGGATTCCGTCCGGACGGAACGCATTCGGATCAACCGGTGGATAATGACCAACGACCGCCCAGTGGCGATGCAAAAGCAGACCCACAGCCGGCCTCGGTAGACAAACATGTTCATGACTCCCATACCGCCGACCTAGGTGAGGCGGCTGTTAGACATGACCAGCCACCTCGGTCTGATAGGTCGTCTTTAGACCGAGAACGTCCGTCTCAGGAGCGACCTGGTAGCAGAGGCAAGAATGAAGACGGCGAGATAGACGAGAGCGGTCGCTCTGTGGAAGAGGCGCCCACTGTGGAACTGAAGGCCATACCGGTGACAGACGTGGCAAAGCCAAAACCAGAGCGAAAGCCTATCCTCAAGGTCTCCTTGAGACACGTTTCCTTACCTCAGAAGGAAGTGAAGTTGCCCATTTTAGATCAGTCGTCGGAGTCAGACGATGAGGAGTTTGGCGATGTCATTGAATCGCAAATGGCTGAAGTAGAAGCGAAGTTAAAGCGGCTTGAGGGGATTGAGGAATCTATACCAATGACCGCTATAATGCGACATGCGGTGGTGTCACTCGAGGCTATTACGAAAATTCTGAACGAACCTGAAAGCTTAGGAGAGATGGTTGGCCGTGTTCCGGATGATGTTTCTCCGCCTGGTAAAATATCTGCGGAACCAGAACCCCAGGTTGAGAAGGCTCCGGTGGTCGAAGATACTAAGGATGTTAGTGATGCTAAGGAAGTTGTTAAGGAGAAGACGCCTCAGCCGGCAGTGGAAGAACCGACCCCAGCGATTGCAGCTCCAAGCGCAGAGCTTCCTCAGCCATCTATCGAGCACGATATCGATGTACCCACGACTCAGGAGGCGTCCCTCGACGAACACAGACCAAGGAATGACGATGGAGATGTACCTATGGAAGATGTATCAGACGTCGCCCAGGTCGATTCTGAATTACAGGCCCCGCTCCGAACTCAACTATCAGTTCCTCATAAGCAATCTATTGAACCGCCGTTCGAGGAAGTTCATATACAATCGCAAGAAATCAGCAAAAGGGGCTCTAGCACGCCATCTCCAGGGGAGGACGAAGACGAAACGGATATCGAGGATGTCGACCTTCAGACGATCGAGATTGTCCGTGAGCATATGGCAACTCCTCCAATTGAGAGTCTACCCTACTTTGATGAGAAACCGTGGTTTAAGGACGCGGCTTTTCTAAAGTCGATGGACGCTCAGCAGTCAAGCCTCGATTCATTCATCTTGGAAAGGCTAAGAGACCAAGCACAGCACCGGTTCGTAGAGGAGACGCGGATGAAGTCGATCTACGACGTAAACTACAACAACTATCTACGATTCACCATGTCTAATGATCCTGTTGCTGTTAAGAGCCGGGAGAAGTTTACTTGCATCACTGGAGTGGAGACCAATGGCCACAAGCCTGGTTTCCACGAGTCGAAGCCTGAAGGGACAAGGCGTAGCAGATACGCATCAGAACGTGATCTGGAACGAATCTTGGAGGAGTCGCGACGCGTAGAGGATGAAAAAAGGGAACGGCAAATGCAGGCAGAAAGAGAAAGATACAGGACTGAGAAGGAAGCAGTATTGCCTCGTCAGTATCAGGCACCTACAGAGCGAGAGAACGATTTCTACCGAGATGTGACTGGGTTTATTCAACCCGAGAAAATCGTAGCAGCTTGGCAAACTTTACCCCCTGTGGATAATTTCACCGAGGAAGAAACCGCAATATTCGAAAAGGCTTATCTTGAGTTTCCTAAGCAGTGGGGTCGCGTCTCTGACCCGTTAGCGAATAGGGACTTTGGAACTAGTATCCAGTTCTATTACCTCAAGAAGGAGAAGAATGAACTCAACCTAAAGGAGAAGTTGAAGAAGCGTCCGAGGCAGCGTAAGAAGGGCGGACGCGGCAAACAACGGTCTAGTGCACTGGTCTCCGAACTTGGTAATGGTGATAACGAGAACGAAGAAAACCAGGAGACGGGCGAAAATGGCGAGCGGCGCAGACCTAGGCGTGCGGCCGCTCCTACTTTTAACTCAGAGGCCACACCGGCCACGGACGGCGAAGGAACACCGGTCGGTACTCCTGGACGCAGAGGGGCTGGCTCTAAGGGAGACGGAAGCTCCGAGAAGCCAGAACGCAAGCCTAGAGGGCGCCGGGCTGCTAAGGACAGAGAAGCGAAACAACCCCGGGTCAACCAGACACTTGCAGCAGCTCCGCCTGCGGTGGTTAAAGGTAACCGCTCGCGATCCAGCTCTCGGGTTCATGGTCCGGAATGGACCTCTCAGCAAGTACCGAACGAAGCAGGTAGGGTTCCAACTCAGTACGAGTTGGCTCCAAGCACTACGGCCGTTCCACCGGTTACCATTCCCGCGCCATTCCCACACGCGCAGCCGATACTCAGTCCCGAAAGGGGTATTCCTCCTCCGCCTCCACCACCAGTCTCGATGTCGATGGACGCGATGGGTCCTCCGCCTTTGCGCCCCGAGCCGCCGCAACAACCCTCAGTTGCTATGCTTGACCTTGGCACTCCTACAGTATCCGATCGTAGAACCGGCACGCAGGCATCTAGTTACTGGAGCGTACCTGAAGCGACTGATTTCCCCCAGTTGCTTCGTTCCTTCGGAAGCGATTGGGCAGCTATTGCCACGCACATGCGGACCAAGACTCCAGTCATGGTGAGCTCCCAATCAATATCTGACTTGGTACCATTACTAACTCCGACAGGTAAAAAACTTTTATACTCGAAAGAAAGACACTAACGATTGGCAAGACATCGTTAAGGAGGCGGATGCTAAGAAACAGCGAGGAGAGAAGAGGCCCGCGCCTCCAGCACCTAGCTCTGGTGTCAAGAAGCGCTACGAAACGTCTAGCAATCGACCACTCGCGGCCGCTGATGCGGTCATGGAAGATAGTCCTGGTGCAAAAGTCGAGCATCCTCAACCTCCACAGCCGACGACAGGTCGTTTCAACGTTCCAATCGCAGCCCAACCGCAGCCCACGCTCTTGCAGGCATCGTTCGTGCCGCCTCAGCCTTCGATGGCTCAGAGCCACGGCGCTACCCCGCCTGGATCCCAGCCTCTAGCTCAGCCAGTAACGCAGACCATGTCTCCTCGGCCTATGAGGGCACCTTTTTCATTCGCCGAAAGAGAACGGGAAATGCCGCCTCAGCAGACTCCTCGCGTTCCATTAATTCAGAAGACGGCCCAGCAAGGGCCTCCGGCGGCACCCGAACCTCCTATGGGGAGGCATCCTTTGCCTACGTCCCTTATCGAGCCTCAGTCGGAACGGCCTAAGGTTGAACATAAAATTCCAAAGGAACAGCCTCGTCACCAGGATCGCCAACACCTGCGTGTGAAGCAGGAACCGGACCTTATCCACCAATATGACCCGTATGCTTCCCAGGCCCACCAAAGTATTCGAATGGCATCATCTCGTCCGGATAGCGTATCCATGTCTCGTCCTCCAGACCCTCCTCGTGCCGTAGCGCCAGCACCAGCGCCGGCCCCACAGGCGCCTTTTGCCACCATTCTTCAGCATCACGGCCGAGCATTATCAGGCGAGGGTATTCCATCTCCACGCTCTCGTCCTATGCCAAACCTTTCACGGCCGACATCTGGGGCTAGCAGTGGGACGGAGCCGTTCAGCGCTCCGCCAGCGCAACCTACGCCGTCTGCTGTTGTCTCTGCGCCCACCCGCCCACCAGAGCGTAAGACATCTAGCTTGATGGCACTTCTAAATGACGACCCGCCTCCGCCTCCCCCCAAACGGGTGACCGAGGTACCTGCAGCCGCGAAGCCGTCCTCAACACCTCCACCTCAATCCAGTCTATCGCGCCCTCCTCCTCCTCCGCCGCCGCCGTCTCATGTTCGGAGAGAATCAGAGCAGAGTTACGGATACGGTCGGAATCCGCCACCAGCACCGTCCGCAATGCCCCCTCTCAAGCCATATGCATCCGCGTCGCCTCAAGCGCAGTCCTTAAATGCTCCCCGACATATGCCGTTAGATACGGCAGCGGAGCGAGAGTATTATGGTGGCCGACCGCGATCTTTTCCCACTGGGCACCAGCCTCCAGCGACAAATTCGCCCCAGAACACACATCACTATCCACCTCCGAATCAGCCGCCTCAAATGCAGTACCAACCACAACCATCGTACCAATATGGTGCGCAAGTTCAGCCGCCTAATATAGCATCTCCCCCACCTCAATACGGAGGTCATCCTGCTCCCAGAGGCCACGAGTCACAGTCCAGTCGGGATATGGGTCGGGATATGGGTCGGGATATGGGTCGGGATATGGGTCGAGATATGGGTCGAGATATGGGTCGAGATATGGGCTGGCCCGGAACACATCAAGGCCACCCGCTGCAACAGCAACAGCAGCCGCCGCCGCAGCCGCAGCCAACTTGGGTATCACACCCTCCCCAACCACCAAAGTCCACGCAACCCCCGCCAACCCAGTCGGCATGGGCTGCACAACATGCTCCTACGCCAAAACCGCCTCCGCCTAGCAGTTCCGTTCCACCGCAACCTTCTTGGGCTTCTGCTCCGCCACCGCCGAGAGGTCATGATCCCATGGCTCTGCGTGATGTTCGAGACGTCTACCCGCCGCATAGGATGCAACCTCCCCTACAGCAATATGCACCTGCTTCACGTGCCCCTGAACCACCTCCCCCGCAAGCACCGGCGGCATACCCCCGCTATGCAAATACACCGGTGCCCGGGCGAGATCCTCGCGATCCTGGTCCCCCGAGGAGTTATACACCTGTAAACGCCTACGACAATAGAGGTTATCCACAGCCTTCAGCTCAAGACATCCGCGAAGCGCAGTTGCGCGAGCAGCAACAACAACAACAGTCAATGCTGCAGCAGTCGTTGAGACCTCAGGATAGACATAGTCTATACGACCGCCCACCACCTGCGCCCGATAGGTATGGGAGGTAGGAGTACCCATATTCACGAGAGCTGGCGCTGTTACCCAACCGCGAAGATATAGAAGTAGGTAGGATCCAGCCCGAACAGGGAGGAACCGGAGTCCTTCGTCCCACAGATACTGGAGACCCGAACAAGAACCGTTGAAGGCTGCCAACCTGTTCCTTTTTCTTTCGACGAATTCCAAGGTTTTTGGCTATGCGGACATGCCAATGCTTATTGCAGCGTGGCATATTAGCAGGGTATAGTTCGATGCTCGGGCTTACCTAGTTGTCGCTCAGAGGAAGTCGGCATCTTTTCATGTCGTGCAGACCGCTCGTCTATCTCCTACTAGGTGTTCGTTACCAAAAATATTAAGATTAGACTAGAGCATGTTGGTTGTTTGCTGAAATTTTTTCGTCTTCGGTCCGCATTCGATTCTTCATCTTATCATCACACGACCATCTGACGTAGGCGGGACTTTGTTTTTTTTTTAATGCAATGTGACGATCTGACGTCCACCGGAGGGAATGGATGGCACATGTTTTGTCGGCGGAGGAGGGAACGAGGGAGGAATAGGAAGCTGGCTTGTTCATCGGATCGGTAGGCTGGTCGTGAGAGAGAGCGCGTATAGCATAGGGAGCATCACGAAGGCAGACAGCCCTTTTTTTTACTTTTCTGAGAAAATCACTTGTTAGCTTGTTGTACATATATGAGTTCCCGCGATGTGCGAGCCTGTCTGTATCGATGTGCTGTAGTCGCTGGAGTGGAAGTATATATGCTGAATCCTCTTCGATGAATTGACATCTTGGCTTTTTAAATGTGCGTCGTCTCTGTGATTTGTTAGTTGTTGTAGTGATCCTTAAAGGTGGGCAAGTGATAACGTAGCTATAAATAATAGGTGTGTCCCGATGTGTAAGTGTATATTCGGACATAGATTAGTATATATAGATGGATGGATAGAAAGGAATAGCTATGTGTTGATCAGAATTGTATGTGGTATAGGAAGATTGAAGATTTACAGGTTCGACCTTCGGGTGGCCCGGCTAATTAATGAGTTTATACTCGGACTTCGATTCGAAAGGGCTCGGATCATGGACAAAGTAACAGTGAGTCATTCTAATGTATAGCCACAAACCTCAAACCAGACTATACTCTTCAGGTAGTAACTTGTATAGAAACTAAGGTTATAGGATGTTAGGCACGCGACATATACTAATTTACTCAAACAGTCTAAGATAGAGACTGACCGAGAATCGAATGATGTTTTGTATAGATTCTGAATCCGACTATGTCAAAAGCCCTCTCTATAGAATATCAATTACTCTAGAGATCATATACTATGAAAAGTCAACTCGATAGACACCAGACATAAAAAGCTAGGTGGATAGGTACGTATAGGGGTGGGTATCCATTAAATTCACTCGCAGCATAGGCTTTCCAAGCCCGTCCGTCAAGCTATGACATCTAACCATCTCTTCTGTTTCTTCGACTACCTATTCGACCTATAGAATGTCCATCCAACCCGCTAGGACGACGATGATACCACAACAGCCCTCCCCGCAACCGCCAACACAGCCCCCAAAACACCCACGGCCCCCAGCCCAAGCGCCGCTGCTGTCGGCCTCCACGACCATTTCCGAGGTGCGGCCAGCATTTGTGCCACGATGTCGTCTAGCCGTTTCGCCATGTGCGCTTCGCCGAAATTCTCTTTTACCCGGGAAATGCCCGCCTTTGATAAAGCGGCGAGTTCGCTGGGAGATAGGTGATTGAGCACTTTGTCCATGACCTCGGTCCACGACGCCACGTCGGCAGGCGATCTGAGCCACCCTGTCACGCCCTCGACAACGGTCTCGGTCGGCCCGCCTGTGTCGGCGGCTAGAACTGGGACGCCTGCGAGCATGGCTTCTAGGGGCACGATGCCGAAGTGTTCGTTCGCGGGGGTGTACACGAGTAGACGAGCTGAAGCAAGTAGCGCTGCTTTCAGCAGATTCGGCACTGAGTGTAGGAACAAGACTTCTACGTCGTCGGGGATCTCGAGGGCGGTAACGTGCGTCTTGGCCGTCATGCAGCGCAACCCGAGAGACTCAGATAGCTCAACAAGTTCCTTATGGTAGCCCACGTTCTCCGCAACACGCGGATCATACCCTCCCGCCACAACCAACCGCACATCTTTACGGGCTTGCGGGGACAAGCCAGCGAAAGCGCGTATAGCAAGCGCGATATCCTTCTTGCGCTCGAAGCGGTTTATACTAAGAAGGAATTTCTTGCCGTTCCACAGGGGCTTCCCATGTTCCCGCATATCTTTCTCCTTGGTATCAACACACGGATACACAACCTGCAACTCCATGCCCCCCTCCACCAACGCCGGCCAAGTCCTTCCCACGACGCCCTTCGTAAACGCGGAGTTGACAGCGACCGCGTCGGCAAAGCTCATGCTCCACTGCTCCCACGCGTCGAACGGCACGCGGTACGCGCGCTTCCACCAGCGCCGCCGGCCCTGCGCCAGCAGCAGGTCGGGGAAGTGGCAGTAGAAGAGGACGCGGGCGCGCGGGTACACGAGTTGCAGGAGGGGGACGCCGGCGCTGAGCTGGTCGACGAAGAAGGCGTCGGGGGAGAGGGAGTGCAGCTCGGAGGAGAGGAAGATCTGGATGATGAGGTGGAGTTGTCGCAGGATGGAGCATAGGATGCTGAAGCGCGAGAGGATGGACGGCGGGACGATGGTGTTGCCGCGGACGCGGACGTCGAGGGTTCCTATTTTTGGGGGGGTGGACTGTTAGATTTCATTCTATTTCTCATTCTCCTCTCCTCGACTTCAATACCGTGCGTGGAGAGAGAGTATATAAGCATCTCCTCAAACAAACATACCATCTCTCGCCTCATCAAAGCAATGTTTCGGATCGCAATGACTAGTAAAAATAACCACCTTATGCCCTCGATTCTGCAATCCAACCGCCGCATCAACAACTAATCTCTCCGCGCCGCCAATCCCCAGGTCAGGGTGGAGGAAGACGATAGTCTTAGCCGCCCTTGTCTTTTCCGTCATGTCGGATGATGTTTGTTGACACCATCGGGTGAAGTTGAGGGAAAGTTGCGGCTCTGGGACTTTGTCGATTTTTAAGGGTCGGAGCTTGACATTCCTTCCTGCCGCCGACCCCCAGTACCTACCTCAGCCCTACCAGGTTACGTATGTATGTAATACCCCACTATTTACCCACCTGCCGTCCCCGCAATGACAGTCACTTGCATTGGTCAATATGTCATTTCATGTGATAGAGAAGTACATGCATATTCTCATTTATAGTCGAGTTGATACAGCAGACATCTATTCAAAAATAGACAATCTGCATGAAGAAGCCATGAAGGAGTCGTGAAAAATATACAAGACACAAACACAAAGGACTAAGTCATAAACTCATTATTTATTTTATCTACTACTCTTAATACCATACCATACCATACCATACCAAACCCTCTAAACACAAACCAGCAGCTACATAAAACAAATAACATCGTGGGTAGCGTAAGCCAGCTTTATCTCATTCTCATTCTGATATCAACTCTCCCGAGACCCCATCAACCAACTGACAGCCTTGTTCTTGCTATCATTCAAGGCTGGTGGAAAATTAGCCACTATCAAACCCCTCCCTCCGGCTTTGTCTCCGTTGCTTTTCTCGTATCGCAAGACGCCTCAAACATGCGGGTATGTTAAAAAGTAAAAGTAACAAAAAAGAGGTAAAAATAAAAATAAAATAAAATAAAAACATCATGACTATACTTAGCCCGACCAAAAAAAAAAAAGGCGCCAGTTTGCGGACCGATGACCTAGCACACCGGTGCGCCATTCTAGGAAATCCATCCGAAAACTATAAACAGAGAAGCGAAGTATATGATCGCTAAGTTGTTGATGTGCCCCCCTAGCGGGTTGCATGCAGCATTGCTCGATAATCCACATTCTCACTCGCTAACGGAGTCCTCCTCATAGTCGTCCCTTTCAATTTCGTCTCCGACTTCGCTTTGCCTACGTGGCGTGGCTAATCCCAACTCGTTGCGTACGTCTTTCTGTATCTTTAAGAAGTATTTTCTAAGAGTTTCAAGACCACGGAGAAATCCCCGGTCTGGTTCGTTTGGGTGCTTTGGTGGGCATGGTTTGTTTTCGGCCAGGTCTCCAGCCGTGACGCTGTTGGCAAAGTCGGCCATCTTGAAGTCGATCTCCTTCTTGTTGATCCGACGTTTTCTAGTATCCCACACATCTTCGGTGTCTGTTGGGAAGTCGGTAGTGGACTCGTCAGCACCCGTATCGTAGCCCTCGTCCGAGTTGTCGGCATCATAAAACATTAGTAAGCTAGCTGCGTAGAACCGATAACCACGCAGCCTACGGATGGTCATCTCAAGTTGGTTTAGTTTCTGTAGGATTGCTGGAATATGTTTCAGGACGCTGCTATAATCTACGCCGTCGTAGAGGAACATAGTTAGAGCATTTTGAAACTCTGCACCCGCCTTGAGACTACGTCCGTAGTATTTGTCTTTGAAGACGTAAGTCTGGGATTTGGCGTCCCAAGCCTGTAGTCCACAAACCCTAACGCCCAGCTCTCTGGATGTCGTGTTGGCGCATTTACGCTGCTGCGACTCACGCTTCTTTGGGTTGGCATCTACACCATACTGCCGAGTACCCATCTTCAAATCCATGATGCAGGGCCGTTTCATACCAGCAGTAAGGTCCTCCAATAGTAAGAAATATTCTACCCTCGAGTCGCGCTGCGTCTGCGCTTCTTTGGGGTTGATAGGCCGTGGGATTTTCTTAAGTTCCATCGTTGGGCTCGGAAGAGCTAAAGGTGCATCTGATGAAAGATTTGACTGAAATACAGAGCCATCTCCATTTCCATTCTCGATAGTGTCGACTTCGTGCTTGCGCCCATTTGTTTTATGTACATGATTCCGCAATTCTGCCTGAGGTTCGCTATCCCTCCTATATTCAACTTCGTCTGGGTCTTCGAAGTACTTAAGATGCCCACGCGGGTCTGTGACGTCCTCAGGCTTCCGCCTAAGTTTGCTTCCTGAGTTGCGCCGCTTCCGCCTTTGAGGAAACTTTTCTGACAAAATTTCAGGTTCTGGAGCACTGGTTCCTGTAACATCTTTCATATGGTCCATACCTTCAACTCCCGAACAAACCAAGTCGGCGCTAGCATCACTTCGAGTCTGTACAAGGTGCGGAAGAGGCTTTGGCGGATTTGCTTCGTGAGAATGTCGAGCTTGGCTATTAGTCTTGTCTCGACTAGGTAGAGCACCCTCGGCAGTCATCGGCCGCTCGACTTGCTGTATTGAGCGACGAGGGATCGACCGCTGCTGGGACGCCGGTCTCCGGTGTTTATGTATTGCGATAGGCTGCTTCAAAAAAGCATCGTTAAAGACTTCATTTCGTAATCTCTTATTAACAGTCGTAGCACCCCAGCTGTGAGCATGCCGATCCTCCAGAGATGGCCGGTTCGGTAATATCCCCATTTGGAGATTTTTATCACGCAAATATTGCTGGCCTACGGCGGCGGAAGCGCTCTTTGGGCGACCGTCGTCGCTAGCTGCAGATATTGCAGGTCGGAGTAAACTTCGAGGCAGAATGTGACGGTTATCAACGAAAGTGACTGTTGGTATCGGGTTCTGTGACGATTGGAGGGATTGGCTGACAATCCTGCGATGATGGCGCAGATCTTCTCTATCCGATGCGTCAAATCCCTGCAGGACCCCTAGGCTAGCCGTTCCCTTATGCCCGTTTGGCTGCTCATCTTGCTCGCCCGTTTTCTTTTCTGGTGCATGGTTGTCATCTTTTTTGACCGTCGACTTTCGCCGTGGTTGTTTCTGAAAGGTGACATTAAGAACACCAATATACCTAAAGAAACGTTAGCTTCTCCCAACAAGCTTGCGGTCTGCCCCGTAAAAGCCGTGGTGGATATAGGGCGAGGGCAACAGAAGTGGCAATAACACACCTGGGCAGGAAGGGCAGAAGATCACGATGATATCGCTCAATTTTCTCATAAAACTCGTTCTCTCGGTTGTTTAATTGCTTGCACACAGCTCTCTTGGAAAATCTCCAGATAGTTGTATGACCACCGACCTGATGCTTATAAGGTATAAGTTCAATTGCATCAAGGGGTAATTTTGGTTCATTTTGATGATCTTGCACCATGTCCTCGAAATACTGGGAGGGCGGTCGAGATGGTCTAGTAGATATATCACGAGATTTTTGGGGGGACTCGATCTCATCCTCGATAGCACATTCATCATCTATTCGCGGGAAGTCTTGAACATGAGAGGCTGGCTCATTATTACGGTTGACATTACCACCGTCCGGTCCATCAGCCCTCGTCCCATCTTCAGCTTCAGGCTCATCTGCTTTTACCAACCAAGGGTGAAAATCCTCACCGTGGGTTTTGCGAGAGATAGGCTGCGAGATCTTGAAATCCTTCTGGATAACATCCCTGTTTTCCGGACTCTGGGTCAGGCCCTGATGCGGTAGAAACACAGCCGAAGATATCTTTTCTTCGGATGACTCGTCGCCCTCTTCGGCTGCATCTCCAACTTCCGTCGTGTCACTTGATTCGCGATGAATATCTCCAACGCCCTCATCGGGTATGATAGCAGAGCCGTTGTGTACACTGTAAGTCCGCTGTTTTGCAGTAAGAGGCTCTCGGGAAGATGCTCTGGCAGAGTCGGCAATGTGCTTCGGCGGTAATTGCAGGCCAAAGTAATCGAGTTCGGTAGTTTCACAAGGCACAGGCTTGGCGTCTGAGATACCCCAAGGAAAAGACTGCACACTCGATACATGAGAAGGAGACTGGTCGCCTTCAATAGATTGGGGCGAGGGTACTGGCGACTGAAAGGCATTATTATCATCGGAGCATTTGTGATAATTCGCATCTGCGGCCAAGCCCTTGGCGAGCAACGACTTGTCTCGCTGATGCCCTACTGATTTTGACTCCCTCCGCCTGCCTTTCTCTTCTGGGAGACCCTCCTTGAAGAAGCGTAGACTGTGACTTGCTTTCCGGCTCCGTGTCGGCTCGACACCGGCTAGCACCTCCGTAATAGATTTTTCAACCTGTCCATCTTGGTGGCCGATTATATCGTCGGTGCCAATGGACCAGGCTTTCTCTGGGCCCATGGAGAGCGTACGGTCGACTCTCCAAGCCCTGTATTGGGCCCGCGGGTCAGAAATGAATTCCGGCTTATCGCCAGTAGAAGGTGCGATATCGGTAGCACCGACTGCATGGGAAAACGCAGTGTCCCCAACGTTATCGGAAAACGTTTTAGGGCGGTTCAACAATCTTAAATAAATTTCCCTGTCTGTACGTTCCAATGAGCGCCCCCTACCAATACCCAAATCAAAATCCCTGTTCCCTATAAGCGTCGTAGTTGAGCTTATGGTTCCGGGCATGGCGATAGGTGACGGTGTTGCAGCTTGTCCTAGAGGGGTAATCGAAGAGAGTAACGGTACGGATGTCGCTATGGAGGGCTCAGCAAGCCCCGGTTGGTTAATTGGTGTCAGAAAGCCATGCTCGCTCCGTTCGTGATAGTCATCTTGTGGTGCGACTATGGCGTGTCCAGTAGGTGCATCAGATACGTTTCTCGGCTGGCTAAGTCGGTTCGGTGCATTGGAATATACAGGCTTCTGCTCGGGACGTCGCTGGTCTGTCTGAGTCTGGGAGGCGTGCGAAGGGGGGATTCCACGAGCAGAAGCCAGAGCTTGCGAGAGTAGGGACGGGCCATTGGACCTCTGGGAGACCGAGGGCGGCCGTGATTTATTATTGTTGTGGTCGACATGGTTAGCAGCGAGGGATGAGGGAAAGGTGGATGCGGATGGCACATGGGAACCGGGGGGTGCTGATACGGATGCTGGTGCTGGTGCTGGTGCTGGTGCTGGTGCTGGTGCTGGTACGGCAGGCAAGACACTTGCAGATGGCCGTGCATGGTCAGATACGGAGGGCGAACCAGTCACAGTAACGGAAGAGGAGGATGGGCTGACAGTCGCTGTCCCAGTGGTAGCGGCAGCATTAGCAGCATTGGGACTCCCAGAGGCCACACCTTGGGGGCTCACCGGTGCGGCAGTTGCGGCATTTTCGGGCTTGCGATGCGGGCTGGACATGAGGTAAACATCTGGCGAATACCATGGCAGTGTGGGAGGAATGATTCGCAGGAGATTGAGCGGCAGAGCAGGTGGTATTCGGGATCGTAGGTAGTGGTAAAAGTTGAGTTATGATGAAAAGGTACAAGCCTAGATACAAAGCCTAGAAAGCCTAGAAAGCCTAGAAAGCTACAAGTTTAATTCTGGTGGCGGTTTCGGCCAAAGTGGGGACCAGCCTACCACATAGCCTACCAGCCCGTACCTCCCCTAAAAATGCCCAAAGCCGGGTAACCTTAGGGAGGGGTCCCCCGGATTCCAAGACCTAAATTAACGTATGTAGTGCGTCCAACGCCTCCGATACCTGAGCAGTACCTACCTGTTTGTAGTATATCGCGTACCTAACCCTTAGGTACCTGGTTCTACAGGTTCTAGCACCATGTAAACCTTTCGGTATCTTGCACCTTTAAGTATTCTCTAGGTACCTCTTAATATAGGTACTAAACCATTAAAACCAATACGGCTCCTTTTATATCAATGACGATCCGAACGCTAGAACACCCACGTGCTACCGAACCAGTGACTTTCGAAATATACCAAACCGAATTAAAACCGGCCAAATTCATACCAAAGCATTCCAATCCCCAAGAGCGCCCCAAGAGTCCCCAAGAGTCCCCAAGAAGTCCCCAAGAGCCGTGAATCGATTTTCCTAGATTCTATCGAGCCCATCCTTCGCTTGATACGACCTCGCTACATTAGGAATCGTTCTTTTTAATACCAGAGTCATCACGCCTCACGTCTATTGGACCAGCAAAATAACCACTCGTAGCACTAAAGCTTGGTAGATCGAGATGTCCAATTAATGCCTAGTCTCCGGATGCTATCGACTGACCGCTTGACACCCAAGAAGCAGACCTTCATCGCGATGGGGACGATGATGCAATCTACAAAACTTCGATCCCGAGGTTTCGGCGCTCCTGACCGCTTCAATAGGAGTCGAAGTCAGGCAATCCTATAGAGCTTAGACTTCCGCTTTGACGTGTTGTTGTTACTGTTGTCGGTCGTTAACTTCGGTTATTCTCTAATCCAACACACGTTGTTGCTCTCTCACTTATTACAGGCTATAACAATCTTCTCTATGAGGGATATGAGGGATAATGCTTCACGATGGGCCATGTGCTACTCGCGCTAGGTTGGCACTCTTGAGTCATGCTACGTTTGATTTTACCATAAGCTGCCACGTCGTTCGTCCGACATGCATCGTCTTAAGTTTGCATCGTTGGTATAGAGCAGCTTACTACCTTTAAGGAAGCCTCAGATTGTTGCTTCCAAGACGCATGAAGCCTTGGGGTCAGCATGACTATCTGCATATTTACGTTGTTTGTGTATCACATCAGTCAGAGTAAGGCAAGGTGGCTTGCTTTTTCTTAGGCACACTACACACATGGCTTTCTTACACTTATTACGGCAAAGCATCCGAGGACTCTAAACTTCGAGGGGACGACACGTTAAACGAATGCGTCGATCGTAGACAGAACTGTATCAAGTACGGAACCACATTCCATGTCGTTGAGCTTACAGGCAAAAAGCCTGAGTCTCGGCCTCCTTATTATTCGTGGACTTACAGGCCTCAAGATCCCTTCTCGGCCAATCATTCAACAACGTGCCCTTTTGACAATTCTTCACTCGAAGAAAAGCATCGAGCCTTTGGCTTCTTACACAGCGGACTAACTCAGGAACAGCCGGCCTTGGGATCTAATCATTTCCCCCATCGCTTCGCGGCATTCATAGCATAATTCTGAGTCGCATATCCTTCTCTGCTGCCACACGTGGTTGTGCGACGAGAATAGTTGGGTCATGTAACAGAACAGCGGCACCTCGGCTTCTAATCCAATATGATGAGACGGTGGAGTTTTGCAAGGTCCAGTCATAAGAGTTTATACCTTACATACATGTAGATTGACGTAGCTACTTTGCAGAGCCTCATGATGCTCGTTGTCGTTACAGCTCGCGTATGGACAGATTCACTATCAGTGTCCTTTATATTCTCTATTAATGGCAGTATTCTATAAATAAATAATAAATAAATAAATAAATACAACATATAATGAAGGTCTTACCCAAGTATACTCAACTTTGACTATTCGTCCACCCCCCGGTCTCTTCTCCATCTATCAATCCATGTCCATCTCATCACCCCCTCCCTCAGGCGATGCGGAATATATACTATCCGAATACTCGTCATCACCCGATGTTTCAGGCTGAAAGAATATTCTCAATACCCAAGCCTCGATTGCGTCGTCATGCTCGCCTGGAAACATCTTTTTCGTGCCGAACCCCGCCTGGCGTGACAACTCTAGCAGGGTCGGACGATCTTGGGGGTCATGTCTCATACATGCTGCAATCGTTGTTCGAAGTTCCCTATCAATATTTCCGAAGTCGAAGTCGTTGAGTATTACCGGACAATAATGGAGCGGCTCAACCGGGTTTTGTGTCATTGGTGGTTGCCTTTGAGGTGCATCTGGCACCCTGCACCCCGTGATGAGCTGCCACATACTCTGTATAAATATTAGATTAGATTATCTCAAATTCTTGCTGTTTAACTCGGGAGTGTTACCCATGCAATTCCCCACACGTTCGTCGCCGACGAGTAGTTACCAGCAACCGGTTGTTCGGAAAGCTCCCAACCATTAGGATCCGTAGGTGCGAGATGTTCCCATTCCACACCGAATTGTTCAGGGGCAAAGTATCCTTGTTTGGCCATTCGACGTCTCTCGAGGTAATATACGTTCTTCTTGTTTTGCTTTATAACGCGGGCACATCCAAAGTCTGCAAGCTATCGATTACTCTTGTTAGCACAGGAAAACTTGTCTGATACGAATAGAATACCTTCAATCTAGGGATTAAATCATGCTCGCCGTCTCTGGCACCGAAGTCAGGAGGGGCGATGAATACTTGGAGGTCGTTAGTCACCGGAACCTACTGATAAGACAGCTTTCGTTACTCACTATTGCTGGGATCAATATCGAAATGGACCAAATTCTTGCGAGCCCATCTGCGTTTCTCGACAGGGATTTCTTCGAAAAGATCATTGCCCAAGGTTTTCCCTACGACAACATCTTCGCCAAGTTCTTTTCTCCTTGCTAGATCATCAATCTCGGCCTCATCTGCATGATCCTGGGGTCTCCCACGGCGCCTAGGGTGGAATTTCCGTGGGGGATACCTACAATAACGCGTCAGCTTTATGCTATGTGTATTATATGTGCCTACTATATGAAATGACCCGACGAATTCGACGGCTTTATGGCGTATGTAAATATCTGGGGATTCCTTACTCCATAGCGATACAGGCTTTAACCACTAATAATTTAATTAGCCAACAATTCGCAAAAGAAGGAGAAGACAAGCTCTTCACATACGACAATTCCAGAATGACCAAAGAACACGGTTAGGAATCCCCGCGGACATTCGGTGTATTTTAGAAATAGCGTGAGCAAGATCACCAAGTTGCATAAACTCGAGAAGGAGGAAATCCTTATAATCTAGGCGCCACGACCTGATAAATTCAGGATCGACTTTTTTCCCTTGCCCTATCACTTTAGATACTACCCTAAAGTTATGTTCCCAGGTTTCGATTTCACCGCGCCTTCTAGCCCGTCTCTCTTCGTGTAGTCTGAATTTCTCTAGCATCTGTTCGGGCTCGTTTTCCATTCGCCACCTCCGAGAGGGTTCCTCTGGAGGTGTGTCACTAGGGCTCTCATCGCCGCTGGATTCTCCCTCAGAACTTGAATCAAATCGGGGTACCTCCGCTAATTCAAATTTTGTTTTTGGAGGCATTCCTATCTCTACGGGGTCGATGGCCTGGATAGTGTGGGCCGCTCGAGACGTGTGCTAAGAGGTAGTTAGATAAAGCTTGTAATAGTGAGTAGCAGTGGATATAAGTTACCCTCATCATTTCCTCTTCTTGACGGATATCCAAACTAATCCATCCCTTAAGGCCTATTTTCAATACGATATCTCGGTCCTCACGCCCAACTTCTGCACCCCGCCACTTGAATTGAGCAGTTAGTCCCAAACCACCATAGCCTAGGTGTCTTATATAATCGAATCTTCCCTGCTGGAGAAAATAGTTTTTGGCCTGCTCGAGTCTTGTTCGTGCCCGTTCGTTAAGTTCCCTAACTCCCTCAATAATGTAAGGATTCTCATAATATGACGGAAAGGTTCCTTCTCGGAGCTGAGGTGAACCTCCTCTTGGAAATGGGTGTGCCAACCACCTCGCCCTGTTTCGGGCAAATTCCTGGGGGCTAGGTTCTCCGTAGCCCCATTGTCGGTATCGAGAGAACCTCCAATTCTGCGCTCGATACTTTTCCTCGAAAATACTGGGATCATAACTGACCTCATCTGGACCAGCCAAGCCTCCGTGTGCTGCCATTGTAGTTGTAGCTTATAATATAGAAGCTCTGACTAGCCTGTCAAAAGACATATCAAGAGTAGGTTCTACTGGATACTTATTGTTATGGCACTAAATAGATCTGGATAATATACGAACAAAGAAGGGGTTGCTTACAGGTGACATATCCAGCGGTTGCTGCCATACTGCTTGCGGGAAAATGCTTTGATCAGGGATGTGTAAAACAAAGCGTTGATAGAATTACATAGCAGTCCAGGGTGTGGCGTCTAGGATCTTTCATACTATAAGATATTTTAGGTAGCTATTCATATATAGTTAAACTTATCCGGTTGAATTTTTGATCCATCAAGAGCATCTTTGATACTAAACCTCATGTTAAGATTCCTCATTAGCCGGTTATTTAGAATCGTTGGCATCGTTAGTAGACTCCCATTGGACCATGGACGATTCCTACATGCGAACCTTGAAAGCTTAGCGCTGTTGTTGAGCCTCACGAGCTAGGGTCACATCACACGGTGAATGCGGCTGATTCCAGACTCAGCTGAGACCTACAGCTCTAATATGGTCCTGGGTCCTTGCTATCTGTCGTAGCGCGCATTGAATAATGACCAAAATCGCCCACATGCGAAACGAGGAGAGCATAGGCGTGTTTGCTACATGCTTGTTAGTCCCCTGATAATTTAATATGATGTTGCAAACGTCAGATGGATATCTAGATGTAGGTATATCTGATCAGCGTGATGCTATCTTTAGCGCATTCGAGCATTGATTCAAGTATTGATAACGACCCTTCAAAACCTGGGATAACACTAGTAAAATCACGGGGGTTCATGTTACATGTAGGTATCTAGGTTACCTAAGGCATGCATGTGCAGATATGATACTCCATCATGTCGGATCTTTTAACTCTTCGATGAGAAACGGAAGCGGAGTGGTGGAAACGGAAAGAACGTACTGGCGTCCCCGCTTACTAAAGGCACCTAACTGGTATGTAGAATACAAGAAGGGTTAGTCAAAGATGCAACAGATTCTATTCTCCTAACCGAATATGTTGTACTCACATGCTCTGTAATCCGTACTTATGTACCTACACACTTCATGCAGGTTTCGCCGTTTCATTTGGGTGGACTAGCTGGAACTGGGGACACTGGAAACCTCTGAGACGACCGGCTGCGGCTGGCCCTCTCAGTTGCAATCCTTTCGTCATCTGTCATAATTGCATTTTGATTGTACCGCGTACCGATGTTCCATGTTCCATGTTCCATGTCCAATGTCCAATGTCCAATGTTCCAGCCCGAAGTTTTCCAAGTTATTTACTGCACTTACGCCAAACCTCTTCTTCTGGTTGCGTTTTTAACTTATTATACACTACTTCTTCTTCTTTTTCCCATTCCGTCAACTCGGAAGTTTGCAGTAGGAATCCTGCAATTTTTCGCCCTCGTTGCGACTCGTTTACTATTGTATTCTTCATATCTCTTCCATCTTCTGTTTGTTTCTTTTTCTTCTAAGCTTGTATTTCACTTGTGGTTCTTGTGGCGACCACCTATCATCTCAAAATCCCATCGTTCCCACTTTACTGTTAGCTGCGTTACTTTCGTTGTTGGCCTGTGGTTCGAGAACGCCACACCAAACGAACAGTGACAACGAGCATAATTGAGACTCGATTGCTTTACACGAATTATACAAGGACAAATTACGACCCATAACATACCCTGCTGGTGCTGCAGACAGTCAACTAATTTTCGTCATTTTTGTTGTGCCGCACCCCCTCTCATTTCTTACGTGCATCAAAGTTGACCGTTGACCGTTGACTATTGACCCCGGATAAGCGCGTTTATACATAACGCCCCTCCTAACCCAACGGTCCGTCGTCACAATGCGTCGCGCTTCCGTAGACTTGACCGACCCCTCTCGAAATATCGAGGAATCAATAGGCACTCCAGACCCGACATCCATAGATTCTGATCTAGACATGACTTTGACAACAGATGATGAGGGCGCTAGAATATACACCCCGCCTCCTCACATAGCCGCACGATTTTATCGACCTAGTCAGAATCGTCGAAAAGACTCGGCCGCCTCGTCGCGTCGTAATTCGATCTCCTCTGCGCATTCGCGGTCTTCGCATGGCTTCAACCACCATGGCGGCCCGCAGAGCAAATACATTGCCCAGCAGATGCGTCGTGCCTCGATCCTCGAAGATCGCAAGGCCCGTCTTGCCGATAGGGCAGCGCACGCTGAGAAGGTGCGCTTGAGAGCGGCCATGGCAAAGGCAGCCCACCACAAGACTTCCAACTTGGAAGAGCGTGCGTTGGCTGCTGCTCAGGCTAGAGAGAAGAACCTAGCCGAAATCGTCGCTGCGTGCGCCGAAGAAGTAAAGCGGGCCAAAGCAGTGGCTGAGAGCATGAAAGAAAAAAGGGAACAGGAGCTGCGCAAGCTCAAGTCCCAGATGGAGGAGCGATTGGCTGAGGCGGAGAAGAGGAGGGAGGAATTACGCAGTCGCCATATAGCCAAACGTTCTAGAGGCCAGAGCATAATGACGAAGAGATCTGACACGAGTAGTTTGCCAGAGGAGGAGGAACATGAATCCTCAAGCATGAGTGATGTCGTGCTCATGAGCGAGGATGTAGCAGTGTCTAAGATCCAATGGTGGTGGAGAGGAGTACTGAGAAGGATGGCGGTACGCCAATTTTCCGAGCTCGGCTTGAACATTGATAGCGTCAGAGATACCTCATTTGAGCAAGTAACCGAACTTCTTGCTCAAGAGAGGGTCCTTCTGCTCACTTCGAGAGTCTTGCGCATCTGCGGCTTACAAGAGGGCGAACCAGGTTCAGTGGATGAGATGACCGCTGTTCGCACGTTCCTGAGCGCTTTCTTAATTTTAGGCCATCCTACACAGGTCCTTAGCAATAAGGATCATAGGGGAGAACAGGAGCAGGTTGGATCTTCTCAAGGGCAACCCATTCCTCACGATGATCTGGCTAATCCACAGTTACAGGATCTCGTCGGCAAGGCACGAGATTTGTTGATCTCCTTCGAGAACATACTTTCTCGACTGACCTTGATGAACAATTATACGGTTCCACCAGCGTTACGGGCGGCTTTACCGGAATCGTATGCGACATTCCACAATGCATTCATAGCATGGAAGGCTCGTGATTCAAATGCGTTGGTCGAAGTCATGGTCCTACAATTCGTAGAACTTGACGCAATACTCGAAACTGTTAAAGATGGCACCGAAGAAGCCGTTGCTGATTCCTACCGACAGAGCATCAAGGACAACCAGCTGATGCTGATGGTCCGAATAAAGAGGCTTGCCGGCGCCGAGCGAGGGAAGAAAATGATTTTTGATGCCGTCAAGCAAGCAAGGAAGGCTAGGGCTGCGAAAAGACCTGCGGGCGACATGAAACCACGAGCCACCGAACATGATCTTAGCAATGATAACTCGGTCGGAAGCAACGCAACAGCCGATCATGTTATTTCGTCTCAATTACAGACGCTCACGCCACCTCCTTCTCCACTCCGGGAGAAAGAGTTGAAATTCAACATAAGCCAGCCGACTTATCCCCCGATCCTCCCGGACAATCGAGTAATTGTCCACGAGTTGGCTATCAATCGGGAGTATCGCATTGAGTACCAGCATTTCCAAGAGCAGCATAAGCTTCGCATGGACCCCCTTTTTCAGGACCTAAAAACCGGCCCGAGGAACGAAGAGAAAGAATTTCATTATCTCATGATAATGGCCAACTACATCAGAGATAGACTTCAGCATCTAGTCAAGCCTGGCTCATCTATGCACACTTTTATCGGCGAAATCCTCGACACCGAGGTCTCACAACAGCAATTCTTAGCCGGTAGCTTTTCGTATGAGCGATTCTTCTCGTCTATGGGGTCTCTTCTCCCAAAGCTTTGCGCTCCGGTTCGTGACGACGAGGTAAAAGATTTAGTTGAGAACAAACTTAGTCAAGGACACGTTGTCGACCGCCTCGAGGCGCTCCTTTCATTTATCGATACTATGCTTTATGATTACGCGAACTACATGTTACAAGTTGCAGCACCAAGTCTCGTGGAGCACGCTTCTGCATACGAAACAAAGAGATTTGCCGAGGACCTGGAGGATGGCACGATCACGCTTCATCGCGCGGAGGCTTCTTGGCGAACTGCGCGCAATAAAGTGCATGCGGAAGTCTCGCGCCGTGACCCCGAGGGCATCAATCACCCACGTTCGCGGCTCACTCCGGACAAGATCTATTGGCAGATGCTATTAGACGAATTTACACAACCATCACCATCAGATGAAACTGTGCCGGAACCGCTCGCCCTCGATGCAAAACGTCGTGCTCGTATAGGCCGTCAAACGATACGCATCGTTACAGCGGGTGCCATCCTCCTTCAGTGCAAGAATATGCTCAAGCGCGATGTCCGAGCCCCTTGGAGGACAGAAGCCGGCCGCATCTTGACGGTCCTTGAGTCTATGGATGATGATTCGAAGCCACTCCCTCAGTCTACGGCTACGCACGGCATCATGGCGGCGCTCGAAGCAGGGCGATCGATGCCAACAGCCACTAAGACACACTTGCAAGCTCTTGTAACAAAGGTACTTGCTGCTAGCATGGATGCAAAACGCGACAACACGGACCCTGGAGAACCTGTATTAAGGCTGCTCTTAACACGAATCAGAGGCCACATCCTAGCTAGGTTGCAAGCCGGTTCCGCGAGCGAAAAGGTCAAGGCCACTAGTACAGCTGGGGAGAAACTCGCAAGCCTCGGGCTACCCGAGTTTGGGGAGAAAGTGCGAGAGATCGTCGATGAGATTGTTAAAGTAGGAGTTGTAGATCGAGAAGCTCATGGAGTATGGTGGGAAGAGGTAGCTGAGAAGGTGAGCAGAGAGGATTCAGTCCCTACGCCAGCAGCCGCGTAAGTGTGAAGAGTAGCAGCAGTTGGGAAATGCATTCGTCGTCACATGCGTGAGACGCGGAGTATACATTATCGAATAAGTCTTACTTATTGGCTCGGGTTTGGGTCTCTGGTTTCGGTTCAATTTCTGGACTGGCGTTTTCTTCGGGTATGCATTCAAATACGTTTTCAAGACGGATGATGTATTGTATTTTGGAACTGGATGGAACACCTTTTTGGAAGGATACCTTTTGCACCTTTTGCGTCAGCGCACATTTCGGGCTTGTGATATTGATTTAGCATTGCTTGAGAGCCTTAGAAACACAGTTCAAGCTTATTATGGTATAATGATGCTAGCGAAGAATATCCATACAGTCTGTACAATTACATTATGTATGCGGATTCGGGGGTTAGCAAGATACGCGTGTAGTATACGAAGGTATGGACTATAGAGATATGTATTTTCAGTATGATTATGTACCTCCTAGAGTCTTTAAGAGGTGATGATTTATAATACGTCGCTACCTCCTGAGAAAGTGATTACCTTATAATTCGTACTTGCCTCAGATAGGTATTAATAGGTACGTACGATAGGCACGTGACAGCGAGACAGCGGGGCAAACGCGAGGCGCGTATTCGGTTTGTCCCTTAAGGTTTATTCCTTAAGTACCTAACCTTAGATAATTAAAGTCACTTCTCATGCTCAAAAGCGCTCAGAGACTACAAATAACGTCTAAAGAAACTGCCCTTCTAACGACCTAGATGGCATTTCTAGTTAATTCTATATTTATATTCGTCGCCTTGTAACTCACCATTAACGACATTCAGAATTATGGCACAATCACAATTAACCGGTGAGTTTCTATAGGCAGCATCTCCTTAGCAATTCTAAGTGTAAGTTAATCATATACGGAATGCAGATGCGGATACCATCCGTATCCTCGTCGCCACTGATAATCATGTGGGTTACGAGGAACGAGATCCGATCCGTGGCGATGACAGCTGGAAGTCATTCGATGAGATTATGAATTTAGCCCGGAAAGAAGATGTAAGCAAGTCTTGTGTCTTAGAGTCCTGCTTATAGTTGCTTACAAAGTAGGTTGATATGGTACTACTAGCTGGAGACTTATTCCACGATAACAAGCCGTCCAGGAAGGCCATGTTCCAGGTTATGCGATCATTGAGGAAGAACTGTCTTGGCCTGAAGCCGTGTGAAATACAGTTCCTGAGCGATGCGAACGAAGTCTTTCAGGGTGCCTTTGGACATGTCAACTATGAAGATCCCGACATCAATATCTCCATCCCCGTCTTCTCCATCCATGGCAACCATGACGATCCTAGCGGCGAGGGTAACTTTTGTTCTTTGGATCTGCTTCAGGTCGCCGGACTCGTCAACTATTTCGGACGTGTGCCCCGAGCAGACGATATCGAAGCTAAACCAGTTCTACTTCAGAAAGGCATGACTAAATTAGCACTCTACGGATTAAGCAACGTGCGAGACGAACGCATGTTTCGGACGTTCCGTGATCATAATGTCAAGTGGTTTAGACCGAACCAACAATCAAGCGATTGGTTCAATCTCCTTGCCGTTCACCAGAATCATCATGCTCACACTGCTACCGGCTATCTGCCCGAGAATATGTTACCTGAGTGGCTGGATTTGGTCGTTTGGGGTCACGAACACGAGTGTCTGATTGATCCTTCGCATAATCCAGAGACTGGCTTCCATGTTATGCAACCAGGCTCCTCAGTTGCCACGTCTTTAGTCCCCGGTGAAGCCGTAGCCAAACACGTCGCCGTGGTAAGCATCACAGGGAGAGATTTCAAAGTAGAGAAGCATCGGTTGAAATCAGTCCGCCCTTTCATGACCGCCGAGATTATCCTAGCAAACGATAAGAGATTTAAAGGTCTAGATAAGAAGAAAGAAAACCGCCAGGAGCTCACGCGAAAATTAATGGACGTAGTCGAGGAAATGATCGAAGAAGCTAATGCCGAGTGGGAATCTATTCAGGAGGGTGATTCTCTAGACAGTGAACGACCTCTACCCTTAATTCGTCTAAAGGTAGAGTACACTGCTCCAGAAGGAGGCCATTACGATATCGAAAATCCGCAGCGATTCTCCAATCGGTTCCAAGGAAAGGTTGCAAATACCAACGATGTTGTGTACTTCTATCGGAAAAAGACGGCGCAGAGTAAGTGAAGTAACGGATTTTCCAATTAGAAATATTACTAATACGTAGTAGGGAGATCGGCAAAAGATACAGAATTGTCAGAAGAGCTATTGGCAGCCTTGGACGATATAGAGGACATTAAAGTCGGCAAGCTAGTTGAAGAATTCTTGTCTGCCCAAGCACAATCCCTGAAAATTCTTCCACAAGCACCATTCGGTGACGCAGTCAACCAGTTCGTCGACAAAGACGACAAGCATGCTATGGAATCGTTTGTGAGCGAGTCGCTCTCGGAGCAAGTGAGACAGATGCTACTATTAGAGGGCAACGAAGCCGACCCTGAAAACATGTATACAGCAATGGGGCACATTAAACAGATCCTCGAGACGCAGTATACTGCAGGCAACCTAAAACAGGCAAGACGACGTAAATATAAACCAAAGCCGGACCTTTGGGACTCTGATCTCGACGGTCATTGGGAAGATCAACCCCAGGCAATCGACCACGAGACAACTACCACTAAGACAACGCCCCAGATAAGCCAGCCCAAAGGCCGCGGGAGAAAAGCGGCGCAAGTTATAGAGGATGAGGACGACGATATGGAGGACGTCGAGCCGCAACCGCCAGCGCCGAAAACAAGGGCAAGAGGTAGGCCAGCAGCAGCAGCAGCAGCTAAACCTAAGGCAACCCCAGCGAAGAAAGCACCCGCCAAAGGCCGAGGTCGTAAAGCGCAGTTGTTCGAACAGTCGGAAGAAGAGGAGGAGGAAGACGTCGTAATGGATGACGATGATTTTGATCCCCCGCCACCACCGAAACGCACTACGACGAGAACCACGACGGCGAGGGCGACATCTACTAGGTCATCGCAGGCTTCGAAGGCTGCGTCTACTGCTGTCGCGTCCAAGGCGGCCCCGAAGCCACGCCAGACAAAGTTGAATTTTTCGCAGAAGGCGTCGCAGCAGGAGCCGTTGGAGATTAGTGATGATGAGATTTCGGATGATTTTGAGTCTGTGCCGGAGACTAGGACTCGGAGGCGTTGAGGGGATGTGCTAAGTAGAATGTGAAAACTTATTAATATTGTAGTTAAGCCAGATCCATGGCATATCTATCTAGTTGGCTACACGATGTGGCTATCTGAGATTACCACGATGTTGACGATGAAATCATCGGTTAGTTAGGTAATTATACTTGACGTGTCTAAGTCAGATATTAGATGGCACATCTTGAGGCTAGGTGATGGTAGGCGTTAGGGGCATCGCTTATTAGAGTCATAGTTCAGCTACGGAAGAGTAGGTACCTAAGGTATTTAGGTGGCCGCTAAATCGAGAAAAGTATTCCCAACAATAGCGCTACTACATATCCCCTTGGACACAACCCTATATATCATCGGGATCTCCAACACTATGAGTACCTAAGGCAGAATTACCTCAAGCAGTTCATAAGTACTAACATAGCTCAGCTATCATGGGGATATATCAAGCGCTTCGAGGGATCAGTTTCTACTTTACTTGAATAGGCGATGTTGGATGAGAAAGCTCATTTAGAAGTCATGAGGATTATTTGAAGTTTTTACTTTGCCATCGCAATTCGAGGCTCGCTTCTTTAGATGGAGATCCCCATCCTTAGTGTTGGGAATCCTGGCCGCCTGTAGGTAGTTCTACGTCCGTAGATATCGTTTTAGCAGATATTCGGAATTTTGACTTCGCTCGACTATACTAGGGCTGCGCTGCGTTGACGGTTTAAGGGGCCGAGCCGCGATTACTAAGGAGGCTAGTTGGCCTTACATCCGTGCGGTATATGGATTTAGATGGCCTGGTATGATATCACAGCTCTTGTTCTCTTCATTGCTGAATATAATCCCTTGGGGTTTATGTCTCTTTAGAATAGAATAAGCTATCGGGGGCGCGTTACAGTGATCATAGTGTCTGTCTATTTCCCTGTCTGTAGACCGGCTTAGAAATGCATTATGTACGACTAGGCTATAGAATTAAAGTTCCTTTAGGAGGCGCTCTAGAGTTCGCGGCTCATACGTTCGACCGTTTATCGTAGTGGTGTCCTGCGTATCTAGGCCATATAAACTCGGCAATACGTCGATGCTCAAAGCACCAGAATAAGGGGCTGCATATAATGCTCCGGGGGCGAGAATTGGAGTGGGATATCCCCAATATGTGGCATGAACGCCAGGGGTGAAAGGGAGCATGTCATTGTCATGTTTCTATTGTGCTTTAGCTTAGGGAGCTTGCATTGGGGATTCTCTCGCGAGGTTGGTTTCTATCCTAGGTTAGGACCTACGCTATGCTCCCAGACACCCACGTGTTGAATAGGTAGGTAGGTAGCCTTTACTATAAAAGTTTTGTCCCTTGCACCCCTGAGTACCAGCTGGGGGCCAATTAATATCCTGTAATACTAAAACTTCACATTTATTCATCCTTGAAGAATATTGTACCATCTAGCCTCTTGCTAATGTCACTTGAGTTATTAAATACCCCTCGTACGAATAATATGTCATTAATACGCCCCTTAACACCTCATCCAGCAGCATTTCTACGGTGGTGTAGGGAACCTAACCACCACTAGGTCTCGGTATACACTTATAGTTGGTTTCAAACCACCCACACACCCTACCAAATCCGCACACTTAAAGAAGACAACGAGACTACGCAGTCACTGGAGGTGTGGTGTAAGCCTGCAGTCTCATATGTCCGTAGACTAACAGTTAAAGTGCCCGCTGGATGCCACTTGAACACGCAATATGACGAAGATTTGGTTCAAGACGAGATCCGTTTTCATTGAGCACCGTCCCCTTTGAATATCACCTAGGGGTAGAAGACAACAGCATCTAAATGCTGCTTAGCAGAAAAGATGTGTCCCGTCACTGATATCTCCCAATGAACCCGCCGCAGAATCTCCAGGTCATCTAGGGATGTCTGTTCCCCCTTTCCAAGATGCACTTCACACTCCCGATCCTCCTATTCTCCCTAACCGCATCCACCGTCGCTCTCCCCGACAAGCTCCCCTCCCACCACAAGTCCAACACCGCGCACAAAAAACCCCCCCCCAGCAAATCCAAGCCCGACTCCCAGCACCAACCCAAGTACTTCCACGAAGCAGGCGCCACGCTCGAGCTGGGACACTACGACGCGCGGTTCTTCCGGGGCGTCGTGCCGTACGCGGAGCACGGCCCGGCGCTGCAGCGGCTCATCCGGTCGTGGCTCACGACGACGCGCGAGCTCGGCGTGGACACCTGGCTCGCGCACGGGACCCTGCTGGGCTGGTGGTGGAACGGCCGCGTCATGCCCTGGGACTACGATCTCGACGTGCAGATGCCGACGGCTACGCTGTCGTATCTCGGGCGCCATTTCAATCGCACGTTGCACGATTATCAGTTTATCGTTGAGGGGGATGGGAGGGGCGGGGAGACGATTATTGCTGCTGGTGGGAGTGTTGATGCTGGGGATGGGAGGGGTAATAGGGAGGACAGCGATCGCGGTGAGGACATCGTATATATCAACAAAACGTACCTCCTAGACGTAAACCCGCACCACGCGGACCTGACACGCGGCAACGGCGCCAACATAATCGACGCGCGGTGGATCGATACGGGAACGGGGCTGTTCGTCGACATCACGGGGCTGGCGGAGCGGGACGCGGTAGGGTCGCCGGGGGTCTGGAGCTGCAAGAACGCGCACCGGTACCGCACGCGCGAGATCTACCCCGTGCGGCGCACCGAGTTCGAGGGCGTGCCTGCGCGGGTGCCGTACGCGTTCGATAAGATACTCACGGACGAGTATGGCGAGAAGAGCCTTGTTAATACGGAGTGGGCTGGGTGAGTAAACCGTACAGCTTGTAATTTTGGAGTGGTAGATCCGTGTTTTATCACCTAGCTCCTTTCCGATATCCTGTGAAGGTAAACACTAGAGTAGAGATGCTGACCGGCATGACAGACATCGCTGGGTGCCGGAGCTCAAGGAGTGGGTTAAGAACCCGGAGCCGCCGCCGGGTGACAAGGGGAATGGGAATGGGAAGGAAGGCAAGACGGTTACGAAGCAGCAGCAGGATGGGAAGGCTGTTGTGGTGGTTGTGGAGAAGACGGTTGTAAAGGGGGCTCAGTAAAAGCTGCTATGCTGACGAGAATGCGTAGAGCTCTTGCTTATAGCAGATCTTCCCCTGAGTTTGGGTACTGGGAACGGATTTGGCTTATGGTGGGAACATATGGGTAAGGTATTAGATGTTGTAATTCCTATATATAAATGGACTTTCTCTTGTAAGTAGAACGGGATAGATATAATCTACGGTGCGCGTCAGCACTTATTAAAGACAGGTACTTATAAGCAGGAATATCTTGAAGAATATGTGTAGATCGATTACCACCATATTCGTCTTGAGGATGATGCGCACCTTGCTCCTTGCTGAGTTCATCGTAGTTTTCAGGGGTAATTAAGGGCAAAAGTTATACCACGAGTAAAAGCATCCCACACCCCTTGAGAAATATTTGTTATATTGTTCAAACAGCTCGTAGCTCGTGAAATATACGCTTATCCGCTTGTCTATAGATCAATCCAACTTAGACCATCCCTAAACGCCATAGCCATGCATAAATCGTGAAGCCCTCCCCCCTATATCGTCCAGCTTAGGAAAACCCGTAAGATAGGTACTTAGTAGAATCGTATACCCGCATCGTCTCAACACATCACCGATTCCTCTTCGCCTCCTCCTCAGCCTGTTTCTGCTTCTTCATACGTTCCTCCGCCGCCTTGGCCACGATCTCACGTCTACTCAACGCGCCCTGCCCCGCCGCAGCAGCTCCCGAACCTCCCCCTCCAAGCACAAACTCCCCGCCCGTCCACCCGCCATGATCATACGCCACCTCCTCTTCCGCCCCAGGCTCGTAAAACTCCTCGCCTCCCACATTCCGTCCCCCGCGAGTCCAATCCGCGCGCGCAACCTCCCTCTCGATCTGATGCGTCAGGTCCCAGAACGCGCGGTCGTGGTTCTGGTGCACGTTGTGCGCGAGCTCGTGACACAGCGTATTCCGAATAGTTTTGTAGTCGCGGTACCCGTCGTACGCATCCGTACGCAGACGAAGCTCGATGACCTCGCCCGCGTTGCGGTTCAGTCCCAGGATCCGCGTCGTGCCCTCGTGCGAAGACTCCGTGTATGATAATGGGTCCATTTCCGTGAGCAGGCCGACGCTGAATTTGTGCGTGCGCATTGCGGCGCGGATCCCCGGGTCGGCTCTCAGCCGCTCGAGGAAGGCGAGGGAGCGCTCTGGGTGAGGCAGGTTGGGGAGAGGGCGCAAAGTCGCGAAGGTGTATGTGCTGTCTTCGAGAACGCGCTGCGAGTCCCGCCGCGAGTATGCCTTGGGTAGATTGCGCCGCGCGGCGGCTAGGTGTGCTTGTCGCTGCGCTGCGCTTTGAGAGGCCGATGCTAGGGAGGCGATCTCCTCGGTCGATGTGCCGATTAGGGTTATCTTCTTGTCCTGGAGATCGGTGACGGGGCGCTCGGCGAAGGGGGCTCTGAGGAGGCCGAGTTTTGAGACCATGAGCTTCTGGTTGCTGACGGGGATGCGCAGTCCATCCTGGATTTGGGCGGCAAGGTCGGCGACGGTGGCGGTTGGGTTTATGGTAAAGTTGTGTGGTTTTCCGTGATGTGTGAGACTGATAGTGATCTCGCCGGATTCGGGAGACGTCTCATCTTGGTCTGCCATGTTTGTAGTTGCGTGATATTGGATGGAGGTTGGATCGGAGAAAAAGGTATTCTTTGTATTTGTATAGGGATACAGAAGGATGTTGATAGGCAAATCTACCGATGATAGACAGAGCTATACGTATAGGAAATGAAAAAATGTTAAAGAAAAACCAGCCTTACCTATTGGCTTCGAGGAATTTTATGATTTCTTTCTCGCCATTCCTATAGAAGATTCTACAAAGTATGGTTCACTTAACTACATTGTATGTGTTGTAACAGTAGCTTTGTAATCCGTCGGTACGTCAGAAGTCGGATGCCTCAAGTTGCCAAGAGATTCGATGGACCGTTTCCCACGTTTGTACGAAGTATCAGGTACGAGTCGATGCCGAGTCCCCGTTAGAGTTGACTCCACCATATAAATTCCAGCCAATAGGGAGATAATACATCGTGTGACATCATCCAAAGTGTGGCTAGTAATCTAATCTTGGATATTTTCGTTCTTGACAAGCCACAATTAAAAGACCAGGTAGCACAAGGCACTAGCAATTCTCTAGGGATCCAATCATACGTCAATCGCGTCGCAGGTGTAATTGTGTCCTTTCAAGAAACATTCTTAACAATAGTCTAAGTCGTTTCTGGCCTCTGCCGGTCAACATAACAGCAGCATAACAAGCTACCTTTAGTGAATCCCTTGTATAGGCTCAGTTCCTACATGATTATTTAAGGTCTATCCGTTGACGCGATTACGCCCCATTCGTTTGAAAAGCCTTAGGAGCTTTGCTCCCTCCAAGCAACCATGCCGTTAAACATCTTCCGAGTCCTGGGTAGGCACCAATGCGACTAGGTATTTCTCGTAAATATTATATTCTAACAATTATGTTTAGGAGACTTCTCCCATTTAGCGTCCATCGGGATCCTCTTACACAAGATGATCGAGCTCAATGTTAGTTGCGTCCCGCGGTTTGGAGAGTTTCGGGGTAATATCTAACAGGTAGCTATTTTAGGGCGCTTCTGGTATCTCGTTCAAATCACAAGCCTTGTATCTAATTGTTTACGTTACCCGATATCTAGGTATGTTGTTCTATGACAAGGCAGAAGGGTAGGGCTAACGAATTATCGGTAGATCTCTTCAGCACGTCGAGCATCTACAACATCATCTTCAAGATCCTCTTCATCAGCAGCCAGGGCTACATCATCTACCTAATGACCACCAAGTACAAGCCGACCATCGATCCGAGCCAAGATACCTTCCGCGTCCAATATCTTCTGGGTGGTGCTGCCGTCCTCGCGATTCTCCTGCCGTATAAGTATACGTTTTCGGAGATCATGTGGGCGTTCTCGATCTGGCTTGAATCCGTGGCCATCCTTCCCCAACTGTTCATGTTGCAGAGGACCGGCGAGGCTGAGGTCATTACCACCCACTATCTCTTCGCGCTCGGCATCTACCGCACTCTCTACATCCCCAACTGGATCTACAGGTACATCACCGAGCCCGACCACAAGGCTGACTGGATCGCCATCGTCGCCGGTCTCATCCAGACGGTTCTGTACAGCGACTTCTTCTGGATCTACTACAACAAGGTTCTCAAGGGCAGGAAGTTCAAGTTGCCTGTATAAGCGCTTTCGTGCGCATCTTGCTCCCCACTACGGTGGATGAATAACGTCTTTAGTGTCTCGATGTGGTCTGGATATTGCCGTGTCTACAAGATAGTCACAGGTCTAGCCCACAAGCGACGCCGGGCCCGGGCAAGTACCGCCCAGGTCTAACGGGCATGAGGTTGAGGAGGGTGGTTCGGATGATGTCTTAGTATCAGAACATGTCTTCACGGCGTGTCGGTGTGCATGGCTGGCGTTAGGTTAGGCGGGGGTTGACGGTTTCTCGGCCTTAAAGTGCTTGGCCGTAGGGAGTCTTGCTCTAGGCTTGATGTAACTGTACATAAAATTTGCGTTCTAAGGTAATGAACATTATTATGCTGGACTTACTAGTTTCTGAGTACTATAACTGATTTGTTTGGTGTTGAATTACAACTATGACTTTAGAGATAACTTTGTGGACGCTCATAATCTAGGAAATGAGACGCGGTAAAGTTGCTTGTTAGATGGTATAAATGGTATATATGTATATATATATATATATAGTCTCGGACTCATGTTCGAGACCAGGTATTTACAAAGTAGATATCGCAAGCGCCGACAGCTCGGCGGATATAAAGCTCCTAGACGCCAACCAGAGCGCTCTTCTAGCCAGCACGCCCCGTAACAGCGCCAAGATGAGCTCTCACCCCCCCTTATCCCCATCATTATCATATCACCATCCCCAACAACCACCCCGACAATTCCAGTTGCCACATAGTCGCTACTAATAATTATCCCCCTTCTCAAAATAATACGGGCCAACCGGCCTCCTCGGGACCGGCGCCTGGACCTGTAATCCGGGCGAGGAATTGCCGGTATTACTCGAGACCGCGTACTTGACCAGCGGCCGCGGCTGTAGATAACTATAACTTTGCTGCGGCTGCGCATCACCACTGCCCGTCGAATTCCCATTCTCGCTCGTATCCGTCGTAAACGAGTACAACCTAGTCAACCCCTCGCCGTGCCCCTGTCCTTGTCCCGACGCAGCCAAATGCCCACTACTACCGCCGCCATGTCTTTCCCTCTCCAGACTCCGCTGACTGCCCACGCGTACGAGATGCGCCCGTTGTCCACCGTTAAGACTCTGCTGGCGCGCGAGCGATAGCCGCGCTGATGTGGAGCGGGGGACTGTACCGCCCCCGCCCTCGTAGCTTAGTGGCGACGGGCGTCGGTCCGTGCGTGTGCTGCCACTCCTATATGGGCCGTCGCCTTCCGAGCTTAGCGGCGAGACAGGGAAGACGGGGCCGAGACCGTCGTCGACGGAAGGGTCGGAAAGAGGGCGCGGGCGGGAGCGCACGCGCGAGGTGCGTTTTGCGGGGGGTGCGGAGAGCTTTGTGGCGTGCTGTGTGGTTTGCGCCATTGCTGGGTATTCTGTTGCAGGTGGTGCGGTTACCGGTGTTGTTGGAGCTGGAGCGGATCGCTGCTTCATGTCTGGCGTGAAGTCGCCGCTGGAGTTGGCCGCTCGGTTGTGGTTTGTGGGTGTTGGGGAGGTGTATGTCATCTGGAAGATCGAGAGGTCGTTAGAGAGTGAGTGGGAGTGAGAGTGATTCATAAATCCGCGGCTCCCAGAGTTAGGGCTGAGTTGTGGTGGTGGTAGTGAGCTGGGTTCGAATTTGGTTTGAGGCTCTTGTTGTTGTCTCGCGCGCCGGCGCATGAAGAGATATGTGAGTACAGCTGAGAGCAATGATGATGCGATTGCGATTCCTATGACTAGGCCCGCGATGGCTCCTGGGGTGAGTGATGAGCCTTGGGTTGGGGCGTTACTTCCGCTGGCCTTGAAGCATTGTTAGTTATGTACATAGTTTAATCGCTAAGCTCTTTTTAACAGAAGAAGTAGGCTTATACGTACCGTAGCAGCGCTCTCTTGGGAATTCGCGACACCCGCCGTCGTAGCGGCCACTGCTGGTAATTCATCGATAGAGATACTAGCCGCTTGCGACGAAGTAACGAGGACATCAGTTGTCACTGGTGTACCAGCCTCTGTTGCGGGTGATATCGGTCCTAGAGTGCGCGCTGCCTCACGCGCGGATGAGATGGCACTGGATGCCGATTCTGAGACTTGCGCAAGCGATGTCGAAAAAGCAGCAGAAACGCTGGCTGCCACGCTGCTCGATACGCTGGTTGACACCCTGCTGGATATGAGACTGCTTACAACGTCGGCAGGTGACTTGGGAGTTTTGTCATCATCATCATCGCCCTCTTTACTCTTATCATCATTCCCACCGACCTGGCGATGTTGGAGGTGGCGGTCTCCTAATGCGGTTGCTGTCGGCAGAGAAAGGGCCACTGTAGTCGGGGTAAGCAATGCCGGTTGGTATTGTCTTCTTCGATCTTTGCCATTTTCATCATTCTGTATTATAGACCATTCCGATCTCATCAGCCTCTCTAATCGGTCCTCCTGCTCTCTCCTGTTGAGCGTCTCTGTATTAGTCGTGGCATCGCCGAGTCCTGCTCCCACCATCGACCAAAGCGACCACAGCAATAGGAGCGCAGCTCCAGATTTATTCATTTTAATACCCTATTATGTACTCGATGCCATTCTATGGGAGGGCGAGAAGTGAAAAGAACAGTCGTCTCCCCGTCTATAGGTAGTTGGCCTGTACTTGAGGTACTTGAGGGTTGTGTAAGACGCTTCCGGGCGCCCTATGGAAATGGCTGATCAAGTCATCTCAGCCCAAATTTTCGCGAGGGCATAGGTAGGTAATTGTTTCCGACCCAACAACCTAGGATAGATAATCCCCAACGGCAAGGCTACGAGAAGCGCTCCTTCGCGTCTTAGCCTTACCCAATCAGGTTACATTATATAAGAGTTGAAGAGAAAATCCGATGTTCTAATTCGCTATGACCCTGGTATCCAAACGTACAGGAAACAAATAAACGAGTCTGTTTTGGGTAGAGAAGATGGTGGAGGTGGCGTGAGCGATATTGTTTCTTACCACCCATTATCATGGGGTTGTTCGCGGGCTAAACTCGTTTCTTGTCAGCTCAAGGATTTCCCACAAGGGTAGGCTGATGAGGGTTAATGAGGATTGGGTAAGACTACGTGATCCTAGTAATTTCATCAGCTTAGCTTACCTGCTGCGACAACTAGTGTAGCAGATCAGTAAGCCCTACCAATATTTATGTGTCAATCACACGTGCTCACTTAAGATGATCTGCTGGGGAAGAATAATACTATGTAAGATCTACTTTTGTATGGAAGGTGTGGAAGGTGTGAAAGTTGGATAATACCATTGAAAGAAGGTGGATACAAAATGTGATTGGAAGTCACTCTTAGTCATACCTCCGAGTGTCCCCACTTATCCGGCCTGTGCACCTCCGGAGTTCAACTACACTGGAAGGAACCCAGCTCCGAATTGACTAATATGCTCCGCTTTTATCGCGGAGCTCCGTTCTTATTAGTCCAGAAGCATATGTACCAAGTTTCTTTAGGAAGGGAATAAGATAAACTCAGGCAAGAGCATTAGGTAGTTGTACAATGACAAAGTTGCAGCTTCAGGTTGAAATCATTCTCAAGATTCCAAGTTCCCTTACTATATAAACATTCCTACTTCCACTCTTTCTCCTAGGAAGTATTTTTTTCCCTTTCCTCACAACATCATCCTCAGCACATCTTGTCATCAGTCTATTAATAACTAGACACTGGTAAGTATAATTTCTATTACTATATATCTCTGTTTCTTATATGTTGCCTTTACATCTCAAGAATCCTTCTAACATTATAAATACCAGTGCCAAGATGGATGCTCCTACCGGAATCTGGTGCTCGAAGTGCCAGCATCCTATCCCGACGGAGGTTATCAAGACTGCCACGCCTGGCATTCTCTGCTTCGGCTGCACCTTGCAGAGCGAGGTAAGTAACCAGGTTTAGTTCATCGTCGGCTCTGCCTAAAGTGTATACTAAACCACTAATTTCGTAGGATGAACGCAGCTCCGTCAAGGGATCTCAATGGAGTTACCTTCTGAACCACTGGCATGCCGAGGGTGCACGTGTTCTTCACTGGCTTCGCAACGACTTCCATTCCAGCGAGCTCTTGACTTGTCTCTGTGCCTTGGCCAAGTACTACAACTTCAACGACGTAGTCCCCATGGTGAACAGCATGGCCTTGGAGCGCCTTCGCCACAAGTCGGCTCCGGGCATCTATGTCCGCCACGTCATCGAGTCCGACTTCCATGACGCCCTTGCCCTAGCCAAGAAGTGGAAGTTCAGACCTATGGGTGCCGAGTCCATCACGTGTGTGGAGTTGATGTGCTTCCACATGTCCATCGACCAGTACGGCTTCATCCAGGACAACTACGAGGTCCCCCGCTACGGATACAACGTAGGCGCTTGCAAGGATGGCCGGGACTGCAAGAACGTGCTGCCCCTCGAGGACCGCATCGTGGTCACCGAAGCCTACCGACTTCGCAAGGGTTGCAACATGGTCTACGCATAGTAGGAAGGGCCGAAATAGTCTAGGATTCTCTAGTACTTTAGCACAGTTCACGGTATCATGTCTCTGAAGTTTGTTCTTACTGGCAAAGATAAGTCTATCCCGGATAGACGTCTCAGCAAAATCAGGGATTGCTCCATTACACTGATCGATGAACCAACCCATTCACATGATCGAATAGCTATTATTATAGACCAAAGCAGCAGTTTCGCTTGCTTCTGTAGCACTGCCATCGCGGTGATTTGAGGTACCTACTCCAGTTCAATGACTACAGTTAAGCACTATTATCACAATGGTTCATGCGCGTGAAATATTCCTAGCCCTAACTTCACTTTCTAATTCAAATGCGCTGAATGGCGCCGTAGCAAACTTCGTGAACCAGTGACCTAAGGAACTTACTTGTTAAACATGACCCCATTCTGATCGTAATTGTTAGCTCCATGTTTGTGTAAAGGCTGGGGAAGTAGAAGCTGCAACGCCGGGGACGTGGTGGCAGTCTATTTCTCGTGATAGCTTCATGCGTTTTTACACCCACGCCTGCTTGTTTTCGGCAGTACCTAACAAACCTGTAGAAACAGTCTCGAGCTACTTCCCTACTATCTATCATCCTTGAAGAGAAAAACACTAATCATTTAGTCGTAGATTCGACTCTGGAAGTGCTGAATAAATCTGAGGCATTAACTCCCAGGTATGTACGGGATCAAAAACAAAACGAAAAGGGAGGTCACGGATGAGCGTCGGGAAGGTCAAATATACCGTTAGGTAGATGAAAAATAAACTGGGTGTAGTGATCAACTAAAAAAAAGATTGTCTGAACCCATCTGATCTGTGGTAGGAGATTAAACTGTATTACATACCGGTAACAAGTCGCCTGTAGGCCTTTGGTGAGAAACACACAACAATATCCAAGAAAGCTTCGAATTTGAACATTACGGGTTGTAATGTTCGTTATGGATGAGGTCATCCGGGGTTGCTTAGCATGTCCAGTCAGTAGTAGGGGACTAGATATACCTTGCGAGAAGCCTGCTGATGGCCGACCGTGCAGGGAACGCGAAAGACAACTTGAACTGTAATTTGCGTTAGCATTTTTTGCTCGTGCGAAGGCATCGCACCACTAGACCAAATGGGCTCGCTTTGGGGTGATGGTACGAGCTGCTATTTCGCATCATCAGTTGTCTAGCAGCTCCTCGGCAGATAGGAGAGGGAGGGGGGTTGCTCCGAGAGGCTGAGGTAAGCTTATTAGCTATTGCCTACACTATTCCTTATACACATCCTGCCAATGTATTACTTAGGTAGATTATCTGACCGGCTTGCCTGATATCCTCTCCTACCATCCTCATGTTGAGTTCCTTGGTGTACAAACTGGCAGGTGGGAAGTATAATCGGCGGCGGCCAGGTCTGCCGTCGTCGTTGGTACCTGGAGGGGAAGTGAGATAATGGGACGCGACAGTCACACGGCGAAGCATCTAAAGCACCGGTAAGTAAAGAAGAGATACAAATAAACTGCATGTGCTTTAATAAAAGCAAAGCTTGGTGCCTTTATACGTGAAGCATATTGCTGTTAATTTTAGGATTTTAGATAAGACATCCAGAACAATAAAGTTGTTTCCATACTTCCTAGCTCTCTGCCTCGTATTATTTAATAAATGCCAAATACTTGATAATGTAAGGAACTGACTACTACATTAGCTTTAGATAATATATTGTTATATGTTAATATTTATCGCTTGTAAGGCTATAAGTAGAGTACTCGAGTCATCTATAAGTTAGTAGATCACTTGAACCTAGCCCCTGAACTTTGCCGGGAGAAACTCAAGATTTGGTATAACTAGTGATATGTACTTTCTCAAGCACTTAACGCCACACCAACATCAAATCGTGTACAGATTGACCCAAAACTATATTATTTAATACATTGACCAATCTCCAATACAGTACCACTTAGGGTCACTACGGGTTTGCTTACTTTTCGATTATGTTAATTAGATAATATGTGTATTTACTATATAGCCTCCTTTACTAGTTTGTCTTTCTTCTAAGTGGATTTAAAAAGATAAAGGTTAAACTGATTGCCCCTTTAAGGCAAGCAAGGAGGCTGACCTTTGTTTATCGCTCCGTCACGTCATAGAAAATCCCCAAACGCTAGTTGTAATGTAGGTAGAAATATGATGGCTACACCTAAGCAAATGAGTTTATATTAAATAAACACTCAAAGGGTTAGTTAATATACGAAGGACCTTAATAAACAGGCTAAGGGGTGATTAACTAAGGCAGAAAGAAACAACTGAGCATCATCTACCAACCGGGTTCAAAAATCAAAAAAGAAAGTAAAAAATATTGCCAGGGGCTGGATTCGAACCAACAGCTCTCCCTTCAAGGATACTGCCCTTCCTCCGGTCAGCTTAGCAGGCACGAATAATTTAATTTTGCCACTTTCTCGATGTTAGGCCCGCAGGAATCCTCAAACAGTCATTGAAAGTGCTAGTGCTTAAACCACTAAGCCAAACGTCAAGATAGACCCGTTCAAGGAGAGTGCGCCTCGCCCTGGCTTGTGTTGGGTCGTCTGTTATTATGCTATATAGCTATTACTTTGGCAGGTGTTTGGTCGGTAACGCGTAGCAACAAATACTGTCGTGACGTCTGTCACTGCTCAGCCGGCTGATGACCCACATCTGGTTCGAAGGTACGTAACAGTCACTCGAGGATAATGCAGAAGTTTAACTACTTTGTACCTATGTATGTTTCTTTTCTTAGGAACATTCGTGTGTACCTTAGGTATTTCTCAAACCCTTGGCCTATGTTTCATATCGCTATGGCCAAGGTGTTGAAATCGCTAGTTTCGGTGCCCGCGATAAAACTACATGTTATGATATGAAGAAATGGTTAAATCATTGGCTCTATGAAGCTTATTATAGAGTATGTCTATAAGTTACCGGTTAGAACAAAATTACCTACGAAAGTAGCTAGTGACGTAATATAACAGAGCAAGGTTGACTAAACGATAAAGCGCATTTGCTTAATCAAGTTAAGTCTAGTTCTGATGTCTTTAAACTCCGGTACATCGAATAGAAGCAAACTTGGTTTGCCATAAGAGATTATATAACTCTGGATGGATGCGTTAGTTATGGTGCCTTATGAATCAAACAGCTTTTTCTTTAAGCTATGTCTCAATTAGCTTAGTTCATGTAGAATCGTATATGAGTAGAGTCTTACAATAACGTAATATATGTCTTATGAGGATAAGAGCTTTCAAGTTGAGTTGTCTAATTGTCTGAAGCAGGGTATAAGGTTAAGAGTATAAGAAGCTTTGACAACTTAAATGAAGACATATACCCATACCCCATGCGGGCTAGCTTCCAAAATTAAGTTAAGCTAGAAAACGCCTAATTTAGCGCGGAATCAAAAACAGACTTTTTACTTTTTCCCTTGTCTTGGTATTCCGAGCGATCTAAATGGCTTAAAAGACCTAAGGTTTTTCGCTACATATGCCGTGCAGCAGTTGACGAAATCTAGAACCCTCTTTATCCCATTTGCCAAACCCCAAGTTTTCCAAATATTTCTTTCGATCCTTCCGAAAATCTCTTCCTCTGCCGTGCTACCAAGCCTCTCGAGAACTTCCCGATTACCCACGTGTGCGCGCGACCTTTTTCTCGCCGAAAGAAAATACTTACCTATTTAATAAATACACCAGCCACAGCATATCACTTGCAGCAAAAAAATTAAAGCTTGCGAAAAGACCCCTCGGTCCAATTCGTCCAACCATAACAGCTCGAGACGACCCCGCGATTCCTCCCGATTGGACTGTGGCTCGGACTTTGATCGGTGGCACCGCATCAGCGCCATTGTCTCAAAGATTTTTTTCTTTCCCTTGCTTGTGACGCTGCAGGATCGAAAACTTTATTATTATTAAGTAACTAGAGCATCCAGCATCGTCTGGCCTCTTCCCCCCCTTTCTCTAATCAACATGGGCGACATGGCGAACGAAATCAAGCTGCTCTCGGGCAACAGCCACCCGAGCTTGGCCAAGGCCGTAGCCGATCGGTATGTTTCTTTTTTTTTTTTCCTTGAATCCTTCCTTACCTTTGGACGACGCAACCATATCAATTGGAGTTTCTCGGTTATTGGTGGCTTTCCTTCGGACGATCAAATGACGAAATTGGAGATCAGTACCGGGCCAAGAAGCAACCAGATATGGAATTGGCTAACGATAAGTACTTCGCGACTTTAGGCTCGGCGTTGAGATCGCAAAGACGATGAGTTTGAATTATTCAAACCAAGAAACGAGCGTCACAGTCGGCGAGTCAGTTAGAGACGAAGATGGTACGACCTCACCTTATCACAGATCCACGCGATTAATTCGGCCATGAGCTCACCACTTTTCTAGTCTTCATCTTGCAATCCACCGCACCGGGCGACATTAACGATGGCCTGATGGAGCTCCTCATCATGATCCACGCCTGTCGTACGGCCTCCGCCCGGCGCATCACCGCCGTCATACCTAATTTCCCCTACGCCCGGCAGGATAAGAAGGACAAGAGTCGGGCGCCTATCTCGGCCAAGCTTATCGCCAATATGCTGCAGACCGCCGGTTGCAACCACGTCATCACGATGGATCTCCACGCCTCCCAGATCCAAGGCTTTTTCAATGTCCCCGTGGACAATCTATACGCCGAACCCAGCGTCTTGCGATGGATTCGGGAGAACCTTGCCGGTCAAGATACGGTTATTGTCAGCCCGGACGCTGGTGGTGCAAAGAGGTAGGTCGATTATTATGCGCGCGCCGCTGACGACATGGATGAGGAGAAGCTGACATGATGCGATAGGGCTACATCCATAGCCGACCGTCTCGACCGTGGCTTTGCGCTCATCCACAAGGAGCGCCCGCGTCCCAATGTCGTGGGTAGGATGGTACTCGTCGGTGACGTAGTAGACAAAGTTGCAATTCTAGTTGACGACATGGCCGATACTTGCGGTACTTTGGCGTAAGTACCTCTATCCCCCAGTCTCTTCAAACGAATGATAATATTAAGATTACCCCTTTACAGCAAAGCAGCAGCCACTGTCAAAGACCACGGCGCCCGCGAAGTCATCGCCGTCGTCACTCACGGCATCCTAAGCGGCGACGCTATCGCCACCCTCAACAACAGCTGTCTGAGCCAGGTCGTCGTCACGAATACCGTGCCCCTCGGCGACAAGGTCCAACGGTGCAAGAAGCTCCGGGTCATCGACGTGAGCCCTACGATAGCCGAAGCTATCCGACGAACTCACAACGGAGAGAGTGTCAGGTACGTCTTCACACACAAATATTTATCTATATACTTAGCTTATTTCCCTTACTACGAGGGCTTTTCATGCTGACAAATCTCAAAGTTTCTTATTCACACACGCTCCGGTATAATGTGTATTTGCTCGTACGAGCACTTGTCGAGGAGAAGAAGAGGAAGAATGTGGCAGGTAACAATCCTGCTAAAATACGCGTGCGTTATTAGGGTGGACTCCATGGTTTCGGGAGTTTGAGATTGCATTTGGGAACCGCTTATGCGAAGAGCCAAGACTGGGACGCCGTAGAGCACAAAATCGAGGTCATATACGTACGGAGTTTATTATTTATTATACTGCATTTCACTACGGGATATACATGCATCATGTAATGCAATTCTGGCTATTTCTAGCCTGGGTCACGGCGAATTTGAAAGAACATGGTTGGGATAAGGAAGCATTATGTCACATAGCATCATGAGTACCCATACGGGGTTATAGCATAAACAACTCTGGATAAAACGGCGGTTTGGGAATCTTCATCCTAATTTTTTGTGTTCCGGGAATACATTTCATGTGAGGCTTTTGCCTATCTCATGACCAGCCACCGATCACCCCTGCAAAAGCCATTGCCACGATTTATGCCCTAATGCAAGAACCAGAAGACACCGACCAAACGCCTGTAGGTATTTACTTGCGCATAGAGCTTGCGCGACGCTTGCGAGCGTCAGCCTTGTGGGCACGGGCCTCGGCGACACGCTTGGCCAGAATCTGGGCGTACTCGTTCTATAGATTATTGTTAGTATACGCAGCAAAGGAATATTTAGAATAGTTAACTTACGGCCTCCTCCCTGACCTTCTCGGCCTGTCTTCGCTTGAGCGCAATGCGGTGACGCTTGTGCTGGAGACGCTGGGGAGTAACCAGGCGCTGGATCTTGGGGGCCTTGGTGTAAGGCTTCTTGCCCTCCTTCTTGGGCTGGATCTCTCGTCGAATGACGTACTTGCGGACCTATATAGCGGGAAAAACCAGAGTATTAGCCATCTTTTGGGTGTCCTTACAACACGATATTCCTCTCAGGCTCTGCTCGGTGGTATTCATTGCAAGGGATTCTTCTCTCTCATCCCGCAGAAGCAACGACCGAGCAGGCGATGACGAATGAAGGTATACTTACATCGTCATCCTTGCTGAGACCGAAGAAGCGGCGGATCTTGGTGGCACGCTTGGGGCCGAGGCGCTTGGGGTGGACGGTGTCGGTCAGACCGGGGATCTCGTTCTCGCCTTGCTTGACGACGGAAAGGGCGAGGACGGACAGGTCCATGGCGGTGATGCAGCCACGGACGGACTTTCGCTTGCGCTCACCGGTGCGGCGGGGGCGGTAGCAGGAGTGGCCTTCGGAGAGTAGGAGACGGACACGGGTGGGGTGCATGACACCCTGCTTCATCGGGAAACCTTGCTTGTCGTTACCGCCGGTGATGCGGAAGATGTAGCCCTTGAACTCATCGCCGAGGTTGTCGCCGGGGACTTCAGCGCCCATCTAAAGTAATATACATGTTAGTTTTCCCAAGATTGAAAAAGTTGCTGCGAAAAATGTTGAAGAAGCCCCTTGATGCTTGCACATAGTATATCGAAGGGGGATTAAAGGCTTTTCGAGAATTCGTACGAGTGGTAACGAAGGGTTTAGGTGTGACATACGCGCTTCTCCATGAAGTCACGGATCTTTCGCTCATCTTCGATCTCAATGAGCTTCTGGCTGCCATTGGCAGGGTAAGAGATGTTCAGCTTCATCTCGTCGGTGGTTGTCGCGGGTCGACTGTGGTTGGGTGTTGTTGGATGAAGTCGAGTCGTGAGAACACACCGAAAAATTAATGGGAATTGGAAAAAAGGTTCAAACTTGTTGTGTGGATTTACTTCGCCTAATCCGATTTTTCCGATTTTTCCTGCGTGCGAGAAGAGTGGAGACGCGCTAGGGCTACTGGTGCATGGACCACTGCGATTGATCTCTGATAAGGATAAAGGATACATATTAACTTTCCGAAGAAATCCCATTAACGCGACTGGATCCACTTAATCTTTTAATTCTTTATGAACTGCCCTTCATCTCATTGCTTCCATTTGGTGAGATGCTACTAAGGTACCTACCTAGATAGTCTTCTTAAAATGACATCTTCTATCAAATTGTACCCTAGGAAGAACGGTACTGGAACTCCTGGCCAAAGTCCACTCCCCCAGCTTCTACAGACACCTTCCGGTTTAGCTATCCTAGAGCTTCAAGGCACTATCAACGTCCCAGAAGACAATGAGGGCAATACCCAAGTAGCCATTGGACGGCTCGTATTTCCAGACTATCACCCAGAAACTCAAGACCCCTCTAGCACTGCTTGGATGAAACAGATTTATCTTTACGTGGGCGAGCATCAGAGACTTACTGGAGAAGCCAAGAAGCTACCGAAAGCTATGGCCATTATTAGAAAACGGACTAAGTCGGAGGAAGACGTAGAGATGGCTGACGAGCCATCGAACTCTTCTACGGTTGAGGAGCTGGAGGTGGTTGAGATTGTCAAGTACAAGCTTGTATTTTCTCAACGCCCAGAGCCCGTGGGAACTGGATGAAGACATACCAACGTATTGCCACGAGACTACGAACTAAAGCATATCCCCATTATATATATGTGGCTCCTGAGTCCGATCGGTTGCGTAGGTCGAGAAGTCTATCTCTATACCTTACGGTATCAAAGCCCTGAGCACAAGAAAATTCGGGAGCCGCATGCAAAATATAGAATAACAACCTACTAGCATCAACCGAACTAGGCGAGGGATATATTAAGTGAGCCTAAGCATTTATATTGATGATTATTGGAAGGATCCCTACGCTTAACAAGATGTGCATTGGGTACATTGAGTTTCTATCCGGAATACCCATGGTCCCATCTTACTATATATCTTACTATATACATCCCGGGGTTTCTCTGCTTGAGCTGCTAGAAAAGGAAATTGCACCAAATGCAACTTAGAAGCACTAACTCTAGAATTAAAGAGAATGTGGTGGTGAGATTTCTTAGGAGAAATGCAAAGAGTTGAGTTGCCACAAGATCCTCGTAGCTCTTCTAAATGCCTTTTGACTTACGAAGTATACTATATATCCGTACACAACAAATAGGCTCAATTAGTTTTTGATACACAATTCACCCGGATTACCTCCTGCATCTCTACCTTCAACATGCCACATGATATTTAGATGTACTTTGAACGTGATCTGTACATTGATGGAAAGGTACAAAAGTACATCATACTTAGGTAATCGAGCCTTAAATCTTGGCATGCTGGGGGATAAGCTGATAAGAAATGAGGCTAATCAAGAGACCCACATGAAATCGACCTTGCATATCGCGAACGGACCGCGAAGCTGTCAACTTCATTAAACTTTGACTTCATCCAGCCTTTTCAACCTTCCCAAGTTCATCTATAAACAGCTACCTGCGATTCCTTCTAGATAAGCGACACAGGATAGGCACGTTAATTTTGAAACTAGTTTTTTTGAGATTGGTCTATTTCGCCAAGTCAAAGTCGGTTTTCGTTCACGCAGGCTACGACGTCATCTCAACGTCGCGAGACGTACGAGCTACCCGCCGTTACAATCATTCGAACAACTCAGTCGAAGGTGGCTGCTGGAACTCGAGATTATACCGACTTGGTAACTAGAGACCCCGCCAAAGCTTAGACCACTATTCTAGGGTTTCTGGACCGTTTTTTGAATTCGTTCGATCGAGTGTTTCTTACGACCTTTGAACAACTTTTTGAAAGAATTTCTCGATTCCTCCAGCATCGATTCCTCCGATCAGTGACCTCCGACTATCTCGACTTCGCAAACATGGCAAGCGCACCTACGGAGAACGAGCAGGCTCCCCCCGTCGCCTCGCAGCAGAACGAGGAAGAGACTATTCTACCTTCGGAGCCGAAGATGCCGACTCGGAAAGATACTTCATTGAAAGAATTCTTAACTAAGATGGATGACTACGCGCCCATCGTGAGCACCCCATGGCCAACTACCGGTCATATAAGATGCGCTAACCATGCTGCAGATCCCCGATGCCGTAACCAACTACTACATGACAAAAGCCGGTCTTCCCCCGCCACCCCACACCGACCCGCGCCTCGCGCGCCTCATCGCTCTTGCGGTCCAGAAGTTCGTCGCCGATATCGCCGCCGACGCCTACCAATACAGCCGCATCCGCGCATCCAACACCAGCGCGAACAACCCGATGGGCAACCTCGGTGCGGCCGCAGGACTCCAGATTCCGGGCCAAGCGCAAGCCAACGCCAAAGATCAAGGACGCGGTGGGCCGCTGGGTATCCAGAGAGCGGGTTACGGTGGTGGCGGCCAGGGCGGTAGTCAGAACCGCACGGTCCTTACTATGGAAGATCTGGGTATGGCCGTTGGTGAATACGGCGTCAACGTCAAGCGAAGCGAGTTCTACCGATAAGCATCTGGGTATGTTGGAAGCTTACCAATCAACATGAATATCCGCCAATGTCATCCGGCTTAGGCGTCTAGAAGCCTCTCTTAATCCTCTCACCACAACGGGGGCGAGGAAATACGTCATCAGTTGAACCTGAAGCCATATCTGGATATTCACAAAGAAACTTTTGACGTTGTACTACACAAGCGGCGGCGCCGGCCCTACTATATTTTTTACGGAACGGCAACAGAATCCACGAAGGTCTACAAATAAGGAATGGAAGGTCACATTCAGGGAAAAGGTGTTTGGCGTTCAGGAATAGGCTTTTTCTTATGTTTTCCCCCCTAGAACCGGCCTAGTCGCGCCCGGAAGTTGTACATGTACAATTAGAAGCCGGGCTGCGGCCCGTCTAATTACTAGCTTTGCGTATAATGCACACGGGATAGATGTTACGAATTGACGTATCTTGCGTGTTCTCTAATGGTATGGTCGTGTGAGCGCGTAGTATACAGTAAACGGTAAACTCGTAAATGACCCCCCCCCTGAAAATGCTAGAACGCTGCGGTATGCCCACACCTCATCGTGCGTTTCCTGGTTTACCGTCGTGACCAGATGAAAGGTTTTCTCGTCCTAGACGGAGTAAAGTTAGTGTTAGTGTTCGCATAGGAAAGTAACCAATGTTTCCCGCGCTAATAATTCCGAGCAGAGAAACGGGGAAAATGGACCGGGACGTACGGAGAGAACTCGCCGAGCTTGTGGCCGACCATCTCCTCGGTGATCTCGAGGTCGTGGTATTCCTTGCCGTTGTACACCTGGAACCTGAGGCCGACGAAACTAGGCAGGATGGTGGCGGCGCGGGCTTGCGTGCGGATCGGCTTGACTTTTTCGCCTGGGAGGTGGCGTACGATGGCGAGGCTGTTGGGTGGGTGGGTGGGTGAGTTAGAGTCGGTCATGGATTGAATGGAACGTTTTGGTGGGATGGATGTCTTACGGTACGATGTGCGGCCCTGGAGGTGGTGATGGTTAGTTATTATTGCGTTTGAGTATAGGGTAGGAATGAGGGAAAGGGGGAAAGGGGGAATGGGGAAAGGCTTACCCTTCCATACGGATCGGCCTTTCAAGAGCCACCTTGTCGGCTGCATTTTGTCTGGATTTGGACAATTGATGCTGGTGATGGAGGAGCTCGTCGCAATAATTTCTATGTAGATGTACTTGGTAAATGCATATCCCCGGGTCGTGAGTAGAAGAGAGCACGATAACGGATTCATATTATTCCGTGATATCAGTTCATCGAGTTCGGTTTTATGGGGCAGCTCTCCTAGTTCGACAGGTACCTCCTACAAAATACTGACATTTAGTCTTCAAAGTTTATTATTCAAAATACATTTGATAGGATACCTAGGTACATATTAAGGTAGGGAGCTACTATTGCTTCATTTGAATCTATAAAATTATCAACAAACGTTATACTATTCAAATTCTATAATTGTTTCCTCGGATCCGACAGAATAAGTAAACGGAAACTTAAGTTGCTGTGTCAAGTGCATCCATCACCTTACTTTATCCAAAGAATACCTCAGAGTATAACTAGTTATGCACAATTAAACCTCGAGGTTCTAATAAGACGAGGACTATCCCTGGTAACATATGAGGACATATGTTGTTTCTAATTAACTACTTGACTCCGTAAGACAATACAGAGAGGTATGTACAGTATAAGTCGCCGTATAAAAGTCTACTCTGATTGGTCACGACAACTCTCTTATAATCCGACTTACTCAATCCAGACTTCCAGACTTCCCACAACCACGCCATCGAAAGTCTCCATAATACTGACACCACCCGACAGACGCGTTCCCAAATACATACGAGTCGGGGGACCTGGCTGCCTTTCCCATTTATCCCTGTGGCTATGTATCCGCCAGTTTAGTATTCGAGTCCCACGTCATTTACTTAATCCCCCTAACTTTTCTTTTTTTGCATCTCTCATGCCCCTGAAGACCTTCCGTCGCTACGCGGGAGGAGCCGTACCTTAGACCTTAGCATGGACCTAATATATGTGCGGAGAGCTAGGCCCCGCCCCCCTGGAAGCAGCAACCAGCTTCACGAGAAGCTCTGCAGCTGCTATCACGTCCTTTCGGCCCTATCTTTTCTGTGTTTTCTTTTTCTTCATGTTTCCACATTAGCACGTCTGTTCGTTTTTATGACATGTCCCAGCTCCATGATAAAAAAGCAAATAGACTAATAGGGCCCATGTTCACACCCTTGCAAGGGTCCGACATCGAAAAAACCCACCCTACCGAAAATTAAACATCATGGCCAAGCTGCCGGTGAACCGCTATGTCCTTCCGATGCAGAGTTCCTTGTTTTGGTCTTTATTGCACCACCCCCCTCCCCCACCAGGTCCTGCGAGGGACGAGTACATAGTTTCAATATGAGCCTCAATGGGCCTACATACATATCCGTAGATCTACGATCCCCTCGTGCCGTAATTACCTTTAGCGCCGGGTGGTGACCCCGGACGTGGTCGTTTATGCTTGCAATCTCCTTTACGTGGCGCGGAGCGTCGGCTTCCGCCCTGGAAGTATAAGAGGCCGAGCAAATCCACCTCTTGTCGTTGGATGTCGAGGTAGCTAGTGTACCTAGCTTTTGTCTCCTACACCCCACGTCGTACGTCTTCGTAGCAGTCTAGATAGATAGATACATATACCTAGACATCATGAGGTTCGCCGATCTGCTCGTGGCTACGGCCGCTATCTCCAGCGCCGTCGCGGTGCCTACCCAGACCAAGAAGCGCGCAAGTCCTTTCCAGTTCACCGGTGTAAGTGAGTCGGGAGCCGAATTCGGTAACTTGGCTCTTCCCGGACAACTCGGCAAGGACTACACTTGGCCCGACCATAATGCCATCTCTACCTTGATCCAGAAGGGTTTCAACACCTTCCGTATCCCGATCATGATGTTAGTTTCTACCCACTACGGAAATGAAATTACAAACGATGCTGAACATAAACTAGGGAGCGTATCATCCCAGACAAGTTAACCGGCTCTGTCAACGAGACCTACGCCGCCGGCCTTGACGACGTAAGTTCCAAACCCACACATATTCCATCCCACGAAACTAACCAACTCCCCAGATCGTCAAATTCATCACCGGCCAGTTAGTCTAACCCCTCTACCCCCTTTACTCCCGTCCCTCCCCCTATCTTCTTCTCCATACTCACAACCCCCCCAGGGGCTCCTACGCCATCGTAGACCCGCACAACTTCGGGCGATACTACAACAATATCATCACGGACGTGTCCGGCTTCGGCGCGTGGTGGACGACCATAGCTAAGCGATACGCGTCCAACGAGAAGGTCATCTTCGACACCAACAACGAGTTCCACGACGAGGACAACGCCCTCGTCGGCCAGCTCAACCAGGCTGCCATCGATGCCATTCGTGGTGCCGGCGCTACTTCGCAGTATATCTTCGTCGAAGGGAACTCGTGGACTGGAGCTTGGCATTGGGTGAGTCCCCCCCCTATTTGTCTCTTCATTATTGCATTATCGAGACGCTGTAATTGTTGTTATTGTTGTTGCTAATATCTGCACAGGTCTCCAGCGGTACCTCTGAAGCCATGGGGAAACTGACCGACCCCCAGGACAAGATCATCTACGAGATGGTACGCTCGCCCCCCCTTTCCCCAATCTCCAATATCTCCCCATTCTCCTCTCCCCCTCCCCCCATTCTCCTCTCCCCCTCCCCCCTTTCTCCCACCAAACTAACCCCCCTCCCCCAGCACCAATACCTCGACTCCGACGGCTCCGGCACATCCGAAGCCTGCGTATCCACCACGATCGGCAAGGAGCGCCTCGCCGACGCCACCGCCTGGCTCAAGGCCAACAACAAGAAGGGATTGATCGGCGAGACCGCCGGCGGCGCCAACGCGCAGTGCATCGAAGCCGTCAAGGGCTTGCTGGCCCACATGCAGGAGAACTCGGACGTCTGGTAAGGAATTATTTCCCCCCCCCCACCTTCTATTCATAATGTTGAACAACAACAACGAACTAATATATATAAACAAATAATAGGACCGGGTGGTTGTGGTGGGGCGCTGGTCCTTGGTGGGCTGACTACATGTACTCGATCGAGCCGCCGTCCGGATCCGCGTTCACGAAGGTGTTGCCGTCTTTGGCGGAATTTATCTAAATAGGGGGTTGTTATTGATGGGTGATGGGCGTGGAGGAACGATTGTGAGTTGAACATGTGAGGTACGCCACAGCTACTCGGGTAAAGAATTGTATATAGCACGACGAGAGCAGGGAGAAAAATCAAGATTATATATTGGCGTGAATTTGCTTCGCTGCCTCGTATCTCAGATATCAGTGCCACACGTGTTATTTTCATATCCCTATCCATATCCATGTCCTACCCCTTTCCACTCCCCTATAACCCAAACAGCTCGTTACCTCGTACCCCGTAACTCCATCATTCATCCAAGCAATTTACTCTGTCTCTCCAAGAACATCACCTTCGGCCTATCTATCTCCTCAAAGCTCAAATCCTTCACCGCAACAGAAATCTCCAAACCCATAGGTCCACCTCTCAAAACCAACTGCTTCTCTTCCGAATCCGCATACACCTGCTCGTACCACAGATGCAGCCCGTATGATTTCTTCAGCGTCTGGATTAGAAGGATCTCCACCGAGCACCACGCTCTACCGTAGTAGAACTCGTCTGCTATACTGATTACAGCGTCGCACTGGGTGAGGATCATGGGCAAGGCGTGAACGCCTGGCATAGGGTTGCTCTGGTTTATACAAGCGCAGTCCTATAGTCAAAGGAAAGTTAGCATCTACACTCAATAGCTAAGATGAAGTAAGGTAGTCCGTTACAGCTTACCAGCCAAATTCCCATTCTTGCCCTATCGATAGAAGGATGCAGCTTCAAAAACTCCTCAGTAGCAGCCAGCATCCGCTTATACTGCGTATTGACCTCGTCATCCGGCGACGAAGCCCCTCTCCATCTATACGAGAAGAAAATAACGAAGTCGGGATTCTTATACTCCTTCGATCCAGACTCGTCCGTAAATTCCTTGACTAGCCCATCAGTATGTTTCGGGAGTCTACCCAGGGAGCAGAACGCAGAGTAAGGCACGAAGGAAAACCCCGAGAACATCGCTTTCGCCTCCTCGTCGGCGCGGATCGATCCGGCGTATGCGCTACGCAGCTTCTGCATGCAGTCGTCGTTATGGCGGCGCGTGATAAGAATAGGTCGGAGTACTTCTTGGAACAGCTTGCGATAACCTTTTCGAAGCCTCGCTCCCATGAGCCACGCTTCGATTTCGTATGTGCTGGCTCCTCGTTGGAGGCCATTAATAACGACCTCTTTGAACTTGTCATTTCCGCAGAACACGGCATAATCCAGTGCCGTGTATCCTTGCTCGTCTATGATTTCCAAGTCCACACCAGCATCCACCAATTCTTTCAAGTACCCTAACTGTTCTTCCGAAGGCTCCTTGCAGAGCGCGATGGCGGGTGTGCATCCGGTGCACGTATTGAACTGTTCCATAGCTTCCTCGAGACGCCCGCTGAGTCGCAGCGCATGTCCATAGAAGAACCGAGTTAGAGCGACCACAGTTGGGTCACCAAATCCCGTCACGAGGACCAGGGCTTGCTGGGCTGTTTTCACTGCCTCCTCCAGGTTATTCCGAGCTGAGAGACAAAGCGAGAGACGAGATAAACCAATGATCTCCCAGTTTTTACCATTTTTCATAGCGCTAGATTCTTTAGACTTGCCTTTTGCAGATAATGACTGCTGGATGTTTCGAGCGAGCTGTACGCGCTCTTGAAGTTGCACAATTGCCAGGTCAAGAGTTTTGTCGTCGTGATCCCGTTGAGATATCTGATAGTTTACCATCCCAAGGTTTCCAACGGCACGACAGGCTTCAGCTTCAAGACCTAGTTGTCTCGCTGTATGGTACTGCATCTCGAACATGCGCATCGCATCTGTGAGGTTGTTCAGATGTCGATAGACGACTCCAAGCTCGCCAACGCAGTCTACACGCAGCACATTCACTTCCATATCAGTTATAACCTTCTCTAGAGCGTCCCTAGCAATTTCATATCTACCGAGACACCGGTTGACACGCCCAATTTTGTATAGAACCTCACGCGTGTGATAAGCCTTGTTAGGGAAGTTGTCGCCGTTATCGCATAGGCTGAGTGCGTTGCTGAAAGCTCGCAGCGCATGTTCCCATTCAGCATTGTGAATGTGCTTTTGCCCCTGACGCATGAATATTTCCCAAGACCTCACGGCATCGACAGTTAACGCCAAGGCCTCTGGTGTCACACCGGCAGGATCGCGAAGCTGCGTGAAGGAATCGCCGTCCTTGGGACCGAGAACACCAGCATCTTGGACAAATCCTCGTCGTGAGTCGAAGACAAAAAGGGTAGCGTGGAACCGATCGGCCGCGATTTCAGACCTGTGATACTGGGCTGCAGGAATCGTGTAACTTATTCCTCGGCCATGAACATTTGTCTCCAGAGGAATAACACGAACTAGTTTCTTGGTGTTGGTGATGGTCGAGAATGCTTGATTTGTTTTATAGTTGGTTCCTAAATTCTTACCATCACTCCATGCTAGGGCATATTCCGAGTGAGTGGCAGTTTCTAGATCTTTAACGTGCTCGACCTTGTATGAGTGGTCTATCCCTTCGCCAGCCAATATCCAACTCTGGGCAAACGCTTGATGAGAATGGATGGAAACGTCATGATTTCCTCTGCACCCATCCGGTAACCACACATGAAGCCGGAATAGCTCGTCTATGTTCCCGTTCTTGATCAAGCTGCAGAGGGCCACAGAGATAAATCCTTGGGCGCTTCGAGAGGCAGTGCAGAGTTGTCTTGTGAGAAACTTACTAGTGAGAGCGCTACGAATTAGTTCCCAGATGAGAACAATGTCAGCCTCGCTTACGGCTTTGCGAGCATCACCTTCTTTGCCTGTATAGAGCTCACGGAGATACGCAATGGCGAGTCCTATGTTAGCAACCTGTCGAGTATCTTCATCGGGAATTTTTGTTTCTATAGCGGTACGCCAGTCACCGAAGGACAGGGCAACACCATCTTCATGATTATTGGCGGCGGTTGGACAGACACTATGTATAATTCGACGCGGGATGTCTTCAGGTGATTTCGTCGCTACAGCCACCCCTTGCAGGATCCTGAGGAGGGATATGCTAGATACTGCAGTTCCTACAATCATTTTAGGTTGGCTCCATAAAAGCTGTTGGGTTTTGGATATTGGCCATGTGTGTGTATAATCAAAGCCTAGCAGCCTAGCAGCCCAATATTCCAAGTTATACTGGTCCAATGTAACCCTTGCTGCCCCTCGAGGTGCAAGAGAGGCGCAAGTATATACTCCACTTATATTAACGAATCATGACTTCAAAAAGGCTTGATAAAGGCTTGATACATGGCCTTTTAAGGATAGTATAAAAGAAGAAGTATAGCTCGGCTAAGCGCTGCTCGCTTAATATACCAAGTTGGCACTAGAGTCGTATAGTCCTACCTATTAGATACAGATAGGATACAGATATACCCTTATATCAGAACTTCTCATTATCTTAGCATTTACTCCTTATAAGACTGAAGACTTTAGACTTTCTAGCATCACGGTGAAGAATCCCGTCTGGGGATTTACTAGGCTAGGTTCTTAATACACTCGATAGCAAGAGCCAGTAACATAAATCAATAATCCATAAGTCATAACACCATTAATGTAAAGCCATGATCATTATTACTAAGTGAATCCTACTCTACACATGCTGCCATGAGAGGGTTTCGGCAAAGTCTCTAGTGGACTAGCTAACGCCAACGGCCTGCACTCCGTTGGCGAGGCTCTCAGAAGAATCTATATGCCGAATGCCACGCGGGAATCTCAATTCACCCAATGCCTCCTAATATCGCCAGGGGAAAAAAAAATCATGCACACCCTTACCCCTTATCCTCCTTCTCTATGCTGTACAAGACTGATGCAATCATGATGCTGGGGTATAACACGGCTATGTCTTGTTGTTGTTTCATGGACTTTGTAATTGGACTTGGTTGTCCTTTAGGCGAAGCCGAAGTAGTCACTACCAGCTGTGATGGCCTTGAGCACCTGCTTACGGAGAATGTCGTAGCTCTCATACTCAGGAATATCGAGCTCTGCGTAGCTGTTAGTAAATCATATCATGCCGAGAACAAACAGGACAATACTTACGGTTAAAGCACGTGTGAGAGCTTGGCAGACGGTCCTTGTTCCCGTAGTCGCGATGGATGTTGAATCGATTGACTCCGTTCATACCCTCGAGCTCCTTGAAGCCATTAAGAGGCACTTTACTGGTTCCCGTGACGAACTGTAGGAGCTTCGCGCGTTCCTCCTTATCGAACGACCGGACTGCGCGCCAGAACCACTGGATCTGCGGGGAGGATGGCGAGTAGTTGTGATATTCCGTGTTGCTCTTCCAGTCATCTATATCAACGTCCGGTAGACCAGAGATCAACAGCTCTAATTCCTGCTCGTTGAAGATAGATATGAGTTCAGCGGGGATGATTTCGTGGAAGCCTGTTCATAGGTTAGTCTAAGTTTCGGAAATGTCGAGGGAATTTGTATCTTACCTTTCAGGAAATTCTCCATCTGGTCCTTGACGGACGTTAGTAGCTTGTGTTCAACTACTAGGCGCACATATTCGTGCTTGTTATCTTCCGTCACAGGCACGTTGCGGCCGTGTTCTATGAGGTCGTGGATCCTGGTAACACCGAACTCATCATCCTCAACCGAGAACGTCTCAGTGATAATATCAGTGATGTCGTTGTTCAGCATCCAGGAGAGTGATTTGTAGTAATCCGGATCAAAGGACTCCATATCCTTGACCGAGACCGGCTTTCCTAGGATTCGTTTGTAGACCGCACGGCTGAAATAGCAATCAAGTAGACGGCCCTCGTATAAGGCCTTGCCGATGATTCTCCCGATGAACTTAAAAAACATGAGATGCTCATCGTTTATGCCACTGAGCTTGTTGGGGTGGAAGGTCGTTCGGTCGCTTGAAACAGGCACGAATAGGGCATAGTTGGCGTCGAACATCTGTCGTGCGAGAACCTGGAACCATTCCCTGGTGACACCGCCGGCATCTACGCCCTCTTCGCCGTGGAATCTAATGCTCAGCTTTCCGAACTTCATCTCCTCGCCTGTCTTGAAGTATAGTGACTTGAAAGAGTCGTGGAAAACGTGCTCTCGGCGAACTTGTAGCTGTAATAACGGATGTGGCCGCTGACTGACGTGCTGTTTATTGTGAACGCTGCGGTTGAACCAACTGCGCTTATTATCGAACTCCAGGACTTTAGGATTCTTGACAAGGTGCGAGAAGGTGCCTTTCATAAGGGATGGATTGTTGCGAACAAGTTCGTTCAGGATCCGACGATGCTCTTCCGTGAATGTGAAGAATAGACCTGCCAAATGCGACTCCGGCTGCGGGCTCGTAAGAACCAGGTCCTTGCTTGCCTGGGACGACTCATTTTGGGTAGTATCCTTGCAGACAACCATGAGGGCCTCAATCAAGGGAAGAAGAATAGTAGCTACGTTGAGCAGGCTATCGCGTTGACGAATTGCGCTCAGGCAGGCGCTCAGCTTCTCCCATAAGGCGTTGAAGGTTGAGTTGCGGTAGAGAGTAGCGAGTAAATCTTGCTTCTTAGTATTATCAGAATCAGAACCTTCTGTTGCATCCGACTTTTTCTGTGCGAATAAGTGATCGAGAGCTGTCAGCACTCGAAGAAGTTTGTTCTGGTCGGAAGCACCAGGAGAGAACTTGGCCAAAGCGACTCCCTGGATCTCAGTGCCTGAAGCAGCGTTCTGAATATGTGGTAATAGCTCGTCTAGGTGAACGACGATCTTCTCGCTTAAGAGCTGGGCCTGACGAGCGAGCTCCTCGCCAAATACCAGCATTGCCCCGGGAATCACGGACAGATTCTTGATAGTTGATAGGGTCTCCTTGAAAGTTTTCGAACTACACTCTCGAGCCACAAAGATCTTAATAATAAGAGTTAGGTTGTGTACTGGGATAACGGGCGGGTGTAGCTGCTTAATTCGCTTAAGCATCGCTTGCTTTTCTAGCGCCTTGGATGATTCGGCATCAGCAGCCGAGGTGGCAGAGGGCTCATTTTCCTCAGTAGGGCTACCTGCGGCATGTTCCCCCGCTTGCTCCGACGTGCTTGCGTTGTTCTGTTCTGTAGCCTCTGTGTTATCGGTTGCCGCGATCGTAGGGTCTACAGGCGCGGTTGTTCCGGGCTCTGCCGCGTTTGCGGCTTGGGTATCGATTTTTTTGATGGCTTCTGCGGCTTCTTTTTGTTTGCGATCCAGGGCGAGTAGTGGGCCCGTCACTCGGCTTAATAGTTGCGACAAGCTATCCATGATAGAAGAACTTTCCATGACAAGATCGCGATCGAGGAGAGCAAGCAACGAGTTGATGGCATACTTGTTAGCTTTCACATCTTTAGCTTTTCCTTTGCGGCTGAGACTACGTTTGATAGCAGTAGTGCTAACCCCTTCGTGCTCGGTGAGGAAGAGAGAAGGCACGTGGATATTCTGATCCGCAAGGTAGCATAATAGATCAAGACATTGCTGGACAATCAAGAGCGGTGATGTCTCCGAGCTCGTCTGGACGGAACCGGCGTTGCTGATATTTGTGAATGTACGTTTTAGACTTTGGGGGGTTTGAGTCTTAGTGTCGACTTCTTTAGGCTGCTTCGCTTTGATAGAGAGCGACGCAAAACTTCGTTCGACGGCGTCTACATCGGTTGAGCCTTCCTGCAAGATCTTAAGTAAATTGCTAACGACATCAAATCGGGTTTGTCGGTTTTCGCAGACATCCTTAAACAATGATTTCAAAGAAGTCTCTAGAGACCCGCCCTTCATATTGATGAACATTAGACGAAGTAAAGTATAAACGCCTGGTTTATCTAGCATTTGCACTACTGTTCTTCGGTGAGGCTTGTCTCCTTCAGTTGTTCCACTGGGTTGAGCACCATCTCGTGGCCGGCTGGTGCCAGAAGACGGTCTATCATGGTGGGCAATAGGGTTGGAAGACCGGACTAGTCGGCGTGCTTGAGCTGCGAGATCGGGCGGCAAAGAGTCGATAATATCTGCGCCTTGATCCATGAGAACTTGCTCTCGAAGCGCGGGTGGGAACGTCATCAATATACTGGCGGTATCCATGTCCTGAGCTTCGGCCGTTTGGCCAGAAATGGCTGTCTGGCGTCGCATCTCCTCTCGTTCTCGTCGGCGCTGTTCTGCCCGCTCCTGCTGAACAATCTCGATGCGGAGGTCATCTGGTAGAGCATCCAAGAACTCCTGGAATACCTCGGTCTGCTCCCCTGATCCTCCAGGTGCCTCTCGAGCTTCGGCTCTGCGTGAGCTAACTGTCTGAGCAATGACTTCTTCTCTGAATTCTTCAGGAAGTGCCTCCAGATAGTCGGGGTCAATACCCAACTCTGTAACATCCACTTGCTCGCCTCTAATTGTAGTGAATGCGCGCGGTTGGGTGGCGGCCGGTTCGTCTTCTGTTACAGCCGCTGGTACGTCAGATATCTCTACGCCTTCCATGGCTTCCGGCTCTTCGTGACCACCCTGCTCACCTTCCTGGGTAGTAGTCGTCTGGGATTGAGCTTGTGCAAATTCAGCCGCTGCTCGTTCACGTTCTTCGGCCTCCTGCTTCTCCCGAGCAGCTTTTTCCTCGGCCTCTTTAGCTTCCCGCGCTTTTCTCTCTTCCTCCTCACGCTTTTTGCGTTCCTCCTCTTGCTGTCGTTGACGCTCCGCTTCCTTGGCTTTGAGCTCCACCTCGTGTTGAATGGCTGGTGGTACAATATAGTAAAGAAGTGCTGGTACAAGGCGGTGAGACTTCTCCGTATATTGCATCCCGAAGATCATTTTGACTTCTTCCGTCCATCGGGTCATTGTTGATTCGGATGTGAACGAGGTTGCGTGGGTAGGCTCTTGGTACGTCTCCCTGCGATTGTCCGAGCGTGATTCGCGTGGTGTGCTAAATGGGAAATGTATGTCGTGTATGTCGCCACGTGGTCCCTGTGTTATCTGAAAATGAAAAGCTTGTCCATGGCGGTGTATCGAAGCGGGAAGGGACGCCACAAGGTCGTTGATGAGGGACATCGGACTGTCAATGTTACTACCTCCAAATAGACCTCCAGGGAATCCTAGTCGGACTAGGCCACCAAGGTGAGGCGGACGAGGAGATCCGTCTCTACCAGTCTCGTTGCCCCGGCGAAGTAGAGGATTTAACCCATCCTCGTTACTAGCAGGTCGTGGATCGTGTCGATTACGAAGAAAACCTCGCGGATCTATGTATGCGTTAGCGTATCAATACAATCTCAAAGGCGAAGGGAAGATAAGCTGTAGGGATGCGATATATGTATATGAGATGAGTTCTCGACGTACCACCGAAAGCCATTTCTCGAGATCCCATCATAAACGGGATAGGAGGGAAGGGACTGCGGGTGCCGTGTCGATGCCGATGATGGTGACCGAGAATAGCTCCATGTGGTTCTACCACAAGGGTATCCCAGCCCAAACTAGGGGGTCCAGCATCGCGAGGCGGTGCATCATCTTTGAAGAAAGGCAAATATTATCAGCCTCTTCTGGCTCTAGACTCATAGTGGGAATTGGGGAGAGGGGCAAATAACTTACTGGGGAAGTCATCCTCATATGCGTATTCATCCTCCATATCGTCTTCTTCTTCTTCGTCCTCTAGATTTAGGGTTAGTACATGATGTCGCAAATAGTATGGAACACCTACCATCTTCGTCGTCATCTTCCATGTAGCGTTCGTTGAGGGCATTAATCTCATCGGGATGCTCAAAGTTCTCCTCCTCGATAGCACGCATAATATTACCGAATCGGCCTAATCCATCGACATCGTCCAAGTCTCTCAGCTCAGCAGCTTCTTGGAGATCTTGAGCTTCTGCGTCGTAGTCAATCTCTTCTATGTCGTCGTCGTCATCGTCTTCTTCCTCATCATCTGTATCGCTCTCCCATCCTGAAACGCCATCATCCTCGAGCGGATTGCCCTCATCGTCAACAATTTCGATGCGGTCCTCTGTTTCATCCATGTCTTCAGAATCGAGATCATCGTCCTCGCTACCATCTTCATCATCTTCATCCATGTCATCATCTTCGTCGTCGTCATCGTCCATTGTGACTTCAATGACGCCATGGTCTCCTGATAGCCCCTCGATAGGACCCATGCCTTCGAGTTCCTCGTCGTCTCTTTCGCTAACGTCCTCTTCGCGATCTTCAGATTCATACCCCATGTCGTCGTCGTACTCGTCGTCGTACATCTCTTCATCGTCATCTACGCAAGTTAGCACAGTCAATTAATAATAAAGGAATATGAGCACATACCATCTTCCGAATCTTCTGAATAGTCCTCGTCTCGATCTCTGCCAGGTTCTAGCATACCAAGAGCTGAGTTTCGATAGAGATCCGGAGTCTCTTCTCGATCATCATCGATATCTGAGAGAGAGCTGGCCGAGAAGGTCTCCTCGTCGACATTCTCCTGGGTCGGTACGGTAGGGATGATGTTAGAGTGACTTAGATGAATAGCGGTGCTGGTCAAGATTCGCAACACGCGAAGAAGATACTTAATAGTTCGCTTCACGGGTGGAAAGGCGAGATCGATGTCGGCAATAGAGGATGTGAGCGCGGTAAGGTAGCCCTTTTCATACATAAGACGTCGAATTTGAGCCTGCGATCTTTCAACAGGATCATGAACATTTCGAGATGACGCGGGGGTATCCTTGTCCTTGTCGCCCATCATCAGATGCATAACTTCTGCTAAAGCTAGCATTTTTGCATATCGACTATCAAATGGTTCATTAGATGTGGCAGCATCCTTGTAGGATCTGAGCACCGTATCCAGTACGAACTTTCGCACAAACAGCAGATCCGGCTCGTCGTCATAATCATATTTGTCTCGGCCCTGCTCAACAGGCTTCTCTCCTGTCTTGCTTACGAGGGCGACTAGGAGGTTCAGTGTCTGTACGGATGTGGCGTATCTCTTCTTATACAAAATCGCATCCGCAGTGCTGTCCATGTGGCTCGAGTAGAGCAGATCATTGAGAAGATAATTCAAAACACTAGATCGAGGTTTGACAGGAGTATTCGCGAAAAGCGGCTGGCTTCTCTTGAAGTTGATAAACTCAACCTTCGTGCGGTTATAGCTCTGAAGTAGCTCTGCCAGACAATGTAAGAGGAAGCAGCGATAGATGAAGATAGGATGTTCTTCAGCCTTAAATGTAGGCTTGGCTTTCTTCTCTTTACTATCGGCCGTGCGACCTTCGGCTTCAGTAATTCCACTGGAGATCCCACCAGAAAGGGAAGCAGATGATGCTTGATCACCTGGCTTCTTGGCATCCTTAGGAGGCTGCACAGGCTCCTTGTCGTCTACTTCCTTGTAGTTTAGTAATTCACATAGTAAGAAATGGACAACGCCATCGGGGTTCTCGAGCACAGGACGTTTAGTATCCGGTTGGTGAGGCTTAGAAGCGTCTACCATCTGCTTATCTTCACCCTCGGTGGACGGTTTCACATCTTGGATAGTCAAATCCTCGGTAGCTCGGACAGTAGGTGCCACATCATCTTTCGGGGTATCCGATTTTGTTTCCTTGAGAACTATCGACTGCCCACGCCCGTGGCCGTTCTCTGAGGGAGACCATCGGCTCAACTTGACCGTCTCATCTGCGACCTGGATAAATAACCTCGGATCACGAAGCGCCAGCTGGGAAAAACTCCTGATAAAACCAGCCGCATCCATGGGTCGTGTATTTCGACCGGCGACAAAGTAAGCTCTGATTTCACTTCTCATTATTTGTTTGATAACTTCCTCGTCTTCAACGATATGCCGGAGAATTGTCAAAATATAAGACGCGATTCGAGTTTCGTTAAGACGCGCCGATCCAACGCCAGAGAGTTGCTTAGCGGTGACAAATAACCGCTGCAGATTCTTCTTGTCGCCAATTAGTCGTGCTATAGAACGATCACGAGTTAAAATGACCAAGATTCGTAGGACCGATACAGCCAACGACTCTTCCTTGCCAATCCGAGGTAATATCTCTAGTACTGAGCTCAGGAGCTTCTGGCGTTTATCTTCTTTCACGTTGAGATCCTTGGGAGTCCATTGTAGTGGTTCAATCGGTTCGGTCTCAGATGCTTGAATCTTCCATTTTATTTCTCCAGGCTGCTCATCGTCACTGAGGAGAATCTCAAAAATAAGGAGGACATAAGGTATCCAAGGGGAAAGTTCATCAGTAGATGGAGAAGTTGGGACTTCAAGGAACCGCAAGAACTCGCCCACATTACCCTTCAGTGTGTCAACGGTCGCTCGGAAGAAACTCTTGTCCTGGAGGAGAAGAGAAAGAAGGTGAGCATAAGCCGCAATGCTTCGCCCGTTATCCTTCAGATCATCGTCCCCTGCGAACGACATAAGAGCATTGATCAAGGTCTCCCCTATTTCTTGCCTCGAAGACAGATCATCGCCGGGGGTTCGTAGAATGATGGAGGAGATCAACTCGGAAACCTCGTATGTTGAGTCGGGGTGCGCTCTTATGACGTCTAGGCATCTATCAATAAGATTCTCGCGTAATTTGGCACGTTCTTCATCCAGATCCTCCTTAGCAACGACACCTCTCTTCGCAAGGTCTGCCTCAGTGTTCGCCTCCGCTGAAGGGCCCTGTGCAGGGGTGGTTGATGACGACGCTGCTCCATCATCATCCCGCGGAATCAGAGGAGGGACGGGTGTATCTCGGCCATTGTTGTTTGACAGAGTCACGACCTGCCCTAAATCGCCCAAGATGTCCTCGTCAAGTAAAATTCCGGACGGTATTTCGGGAGTTTGGTCTAAAACCATTGGGTCATCCTCGTTAGAAGCCTGCTCACTCGCCTGTACGAAGGCAGCGAGCTCATTGGGTACTGCGTTCTCCGGCAAATCCCGCTCAGGTATGGGATTCCGGGTGCCAGCAACGCCTGACTCGTGTACTCTGCAGTACTCGACGGCTAACTGCCGGCTACCATTGGCCCGATAAATGGCCTCTTGAGCAAGTTCTTCTGAACAGGCCGTGTCACTAATGACTTCTCTTACATGATCGGCGACAGTTGGCCAAGAAAATCGGAGCGACTTCGCCTGGAGATATGCTTGAGGGGTGTTCTGCAGAAATTAGCAATCAAATACAACAACAATTATGGAAACCAGTAACAGACCTTGTCCGAACGCTTATACGCATTGCTTTCAGAGTCGGCGAGGGAAATGGACTTCAGGATCAAGATAATCTTCGCAAGGATGGGGGCTGAGCCTTTCTCAACCAACGGCGACTCCCAGAGTTCTCTCATTACCGGCAGTATGGCCATCCGCAACTCAACCACCAAGTTCGGGGCAACTAGAGAATCAGCTCGTCTATCGCTGCTCCCAACGCCCCTTGGAAGGACATTAATCTGGCTCACAGAATCTGTGATGACCTTGCCATTAACTGCCATGATGTACAGATCTAAGATCTTCTTCATGCCGATAACAGCAAGTCGCGACATGGAAGAGTCCTCCCCATCTTTGTCCTCTTTGCAGATCTCATTCTTGAATGTACGCAGCATTGAGTTCAGGAGTTCCAGCCCGCCATATTTCTTGAATGCGATCAGGACGGGCGCGATTATCTGGTTTGCAGATTGCCGCTCCGAACGAGCTAAATAAATTAGTATTAGGCATATCAAGAAATTGAAATACAATGTCACTTACATTCTATCGTACGGTTTACCAGCATTTCATGAACGGCATGCAACATGATGATCCAATAGTGGAAGTCCTTGTAAGTCTTTTCACGATCCGGCAATTCAAATTGCTCCAATATTGCCTGTGCCAACTGCTCTGCTAGTTGCATGTGGTGGACTCGTAAGTATAGATCTCGTTCACGACGAGGTAACAGAGCCTTCCCTAGGGTCTGGAAAAGCGGGAACGTAGCAGGCATCAATGAATGCAACAAAAGACGGAGAGTTCTGTAATTCTGATAGCGCGGACTTGACTGTTCACTCTTGGAGGGGCCATCGTTGGAGCTGGTGGTCTTGGTTGTCGAGAGCTTCCACAGAGCGCTAGATGATAATACGTCTGGTAAGCTCGAGTCATCGGGCTCGGCGGTGATAACATTCCCACTACTCGACGCAGTGCCGCTATTAGATTGACCTTGTCGGTCCACAGAATGGCCTGTCTTTCTGGTCGACCAATGCTCAGGAACGCTGCTAGAAATAGCCTCCTCTTCTAAAATTACCGCGCGCAGTAAGGGGCCAAGAGACTTGATCAGGCGGCCATAGTAGTCGAAAACAACAACCGGTTGGAGTGTGACTGTCTGCGATCGCGAGGAAAAGGGGAAACACTGATAGAGCGTCTTTATGAGAGACTGGGTATTTAAGAGTGCCTTCGCTAGTTGAGTGCCACGAGAAAGCTTATCTGCAACGTCGTTGCTAGCCTGATCCGCTAGGTTCGTGTCTGCTTGAAGGAACGGCAAGAAGTACGAGCCTGGCTCTTGAGCTTGGGTAATCGGCTGAAGCACATCGACCTCGGCCTGAATCCTTTTTAATAGAGAAGGTAACCCGACAATCGGAGTTGCCTCGATCAGCTGGGATACAACCGACTGTAAATTTCGAGATGCTAGAGAATCCCCAAAGTCATGCGGGAGACTCGGTGAAGTACTAAGATCAAGAAGCAACTCTATCCCACCATTGTTGATCAGATTCATCTTGAGGTTCGTGTTACTAATATATTGGGACAAGAAGTTGGAAATTGCATAGATATAAGGCGTGATAGATGTATCAACCGTGGAACTGAATGATGTTGGTTCTTCATTTTCCGCTTGCTGCGCGATTGCATCAGCCATTTCAACATCAGCGTCATCCCCAGTAGTAACAGCCTTGTCTTTGCCTTTATCCAATACGGCCTCTTCAGATTCGCGCAATAGACCTTCATTTGCAATTACTTCTCGGCCTTTCGAATCTTTCACGAGAAGCTTGGCTCCCCATTGAGAATCCCTAGCCTTGACCTTGGCGAGATGGGCGACTCGAGCAACCATATCTAAAACGGCATTTGCTATAGCTGGTCTAAGTGAAGGGTGATGACGGGCAAGCTCATCGAACCCACTACCAACATTAGAGGCCACGCTCTCATCGGCCGCCATCACTCGGACGTGCTCGGGGCTCTCAAATATCTCGAAGTAGCTGTCGAATGCGCGAGACGCGACAACCATCTTCATGCCAACATTATTTAAAGAAATGGCATTCAAAACACCTGGCACGTTCGTGATGGGTTCGGAGTTTGGTAAAATACCACGGGCTAAACCATCCCGAGGGGCTTCTAACTGATCCAACGACGGAGGGTGCGGACGATTGTCGGGTTCAAGGAGATCAGGCGTCGAGCCATCCGAAGGCGATCCGGGGCTCTCATCCCGAGTTTCAGATGGGCCCGAGTCTGTCCCACCGGTTTGTTCTGCCTGCACTGGACGACCTGTCAGAGCTTGTAGATAGCTCTGGATCAAGCCCGCTTCAGAGATAGCGGCGAAGCTCGTAGGATCGTTGTTAAGGAAGTCGCTCAAAATAATGACGGCATTAGTCCACACTATAGACCCGAACTTCGTCATGTTCTCAATGATCTCGCGCATACTGCGAAGTAGTGCAGATTTATCGACGAGGTTCCTCAGTAGTCGATCAGTGTTTCCACCGAATGAAAAGGCATTGGACATCACATGGTGGATGAACTTCAGGATAAATTTTAGGTTCTGTTGCTGATAGAAAGGTATCTCGTAATCAACAACCTGAGAACGATGGGTAGCGGGTGTTCCCTTGCCCTCCGTGATGAGCTTCCCTGCGAGTTCAACTTCATGAGTAACTAGGTTGGTGATAGCATCAAGGCCACCGGCATGTATCAAGGTCTGGAATGAAGTCTGGACGTTGTACACCAGACTGTCTAAGAATCCTACCAAAGTGCCGTATGTGCGTTCTGCTATATTAGACCTAATGTTGAGGACTTCGACCATAATGTCCAGCAATCCAGCCGAGATAATCTCGGGCGTGTTACGGTTAGTATTGTTAGCCATGGCCATTGTGATATGAAGTGTAAGAGAGAACAGGTTGTCACGCCATTCGTCTTCCTCACTATACCGCTCTCCAGAATCGTCATTCTTCATCTCGTCGACGGCCTTCCTAATAACATACAGCAATACGCCGTGGTTCACAGTCGCGTTCAATGCGGAAAATATATCAGGCAGCTTGTTATGGAAACCGGAAATGGCTTCCAGGAGTGATAACGCGATCGACTGTAAATCGATAGGTACTACCGTAGCGCCATCGGCGGCGGGGTGAATCAGTTCCGCGAGCTGGTACACAAGCTGAAACCGTCGCGGCTCATCGTTATCCTGCCTAAGGACTTTCTCGATGAAGGTGGGCTCTATGTGAATATACGCCAGGTTTTGGATAGCCAACAAACGCGCTTTCAGTGCCTGTCGTCGAGATTCGACAGACCCCGTGAGAGCCTTGGCAACCCTGAGACGGTTCAAAAATTCGTACTTGGTCTCTTTCGGAAGGTCTGCTGGAGCCCTAGCGAGAAGTTGATAGATCGATGTCGAGCACACCGAGGCATGAGATATCTCCAAAGACTTCTGTCCAGGCGGAGAATTCTCATCCCGACCTACGGCTGGGGGCCGAGAGGCGGAGGATGGGCTGTCCTCCGATGCTCCCTGACGACTTGTACGGGGTGTAGACTGCGTTGCACCAGTTGTGCTACTTCGCCTCAGAGGCGTCGGCGTTGAAGGCACATTCGAGGTTGTAGCTCGATCAGGTAAGGACGGTTGCGTCGGCGCCTGAGAAACGTCGGAAGTAGGATAGTACGTGAGCTTAACGTCGCCCCAGCCACTCCAACGTGCTTGAGAACCCGAGGATTCGGTAGAATCCGCCTTCGCAAGAGCGCACAGGTCGTTTGCATACATAGTAGCTACATTTTTAGGGCTTCCGCCGTGAGTCTTATCCTTATTCTTGCTGGAACCCGGAGTGGAGAGGAGCGAAGGCTCTAGGGATTTAGAGAGGGGCGTCTTGACAAAGGGTTGTGCAAGTTGTAGCACACGGTCGAGATCTATGTTGTAATGGTTTGAGAGGAGAGATGGGTGTACTTGTCTGGCTGAAATCCCATGGATGCGTTTCACTGACGCCTGATAGCGCTGGGCCAGTTCCACGCCGACACGCAGAGTGGCACAGATGATGGCGAAGTCAGTACTGTTTAGAAGGTCGTTCAAGTGAGGACTGCTGCCGTAGATGCTGCGGTTTCCACAGTGATCCAGGAGCATCTGAGTGAACTTTAGGATAGCCACGATAAGGTCGACATCGCCATCCTTGCCATACCCCAACTCCGTTAACTTTTCTGGGTCGCTCCACTGTTCCTCGCCGTCGACTGAGCTAGATGCCAATAGAACTTCGCAACCAAAGTCTCTACTCTGGGGGCCCTCGTTCAACTTGTAAATGGAACAGAACGATTCCAGGAGCTCGTCGAAGCGATTCAGTAACGGGATCCAGTGATATAAATCACCTCTCGGGAAAGGCCATCGTGAAGGAAATGTCGCAAGGACGCTGGGTAGGAGAGGTAAGGGTGTGGAGGTCGCATTATTAACGAACTCCTGCAACCAAGGAGACTAGAGAAAAATCAGCGGACTGCATGGGAGAACAGATAATATGCAAGAGTACTTACCATAGTCTCCTTGTGCTTAGCTTGCATGGTCTTCGATATCTTTCCCATAGTGAAGGCCGGGGCGGCAGAGCCGCAAAGAATATGTCAGCTCCCCCTCCACTACTAAAATTTAGGTGATCGGCGACGACAATTTGACTCGCAGCGCGGGAGCGTCCAAAATAGCTTGGACGGCTCCTCCAGTATGGTGTCTCGAACTACTCGTCGGTGCACAAGGCGGGGTGACGGAGTGCAGGGCCTTGTGGGGTGTGTAAGTTGCAAGGTTGAGCCTCGTCTCGAATATCAGCCTTGTGGGTATCAAAAAAAGAGATTCGGTTGCAGAAACGGTCCGATGAATTCACGGCTGACTCGGGAGATGGAGAAATCGATGAAAGATAGGCTCCGGGTGTCGCAGAGATGCAGATTAAATAGTTGGATAGCAGGTGGACGGTGCGCGGATGAGGGGCGACTGATGATGGATGATGTGAGGTGTAGAGATATGATGTCCGGCACAGTTCTCAGGAAGCTGAATTTTAGATAGGTCCAAGCGGGTGCAGGCCGCTGTACCACAATTTTTTTCTAAGATCAAGAAGAACGTGCTAAGTCGTGTTAGCTTGGGATGAAGTAATATGATTCGCACCAAGTGCCTGGATATCTACTTGACTTGGTCGACGATGAGATGCAGGTTTGGCGGAGTCGAGTTGATAAAAAAGAAAAAATAGGACTAACTAGCTTAAGAGGTGTTTGAAAGTTCGCGGCTGATCGGCCACTGCCTTTTGCGTAATGATTGCACTTTGTGGGGGGGTGGCGCTTGCCGTAGCAGCAGTGATTGTAGGTAGGTACCTTAGAGGTAGGTGCCTGTGCAAGTGTAAGAGTGGGGTCGCGGCCGGCGGTATGATATTGTACCTTAGGTGTAACTACCTCCTACCTGAGGTCATCAGGTGCTTATAAAATAAGCTCGAGTACGTGCATTGCAAAACGCACTCTCAACCTTCAAGATGTATTATCTAGGTATCTACACGTGTTAGTACATACTGTGTTTACTGATACTCGCTGACAATTGAGAATCTCCATCTCACTACTTTGTTTTTCTCCTCTCTTTGTCATGGACCGCGTTCAGCGACAATTCAAACGAACATCCCCTCATGATCGATATGAGCCTATCAGAAAATGCATAGTCCCTACTATTGAGAGGTAGTATTATAGAGTCTAAAACAAAACCATTGATTCATCGTCAGCAGAATTTTTCAAAGGTCGCAGCCCAACGTCTAACAAGTCATAAGTCAATACTACATGTATTCTACATACTCGCATGTATTATACTGATGGGGACCATTGCTGCCCAGTGCACTCGTGGAGACCTTATTGAGTCCTAGTCGAATCGCCGGGGTAGTTTTTCTGGGTAAGGTATTTATTGCCCCATGTTACATGCACATTGCTTGGATATATTCAATTGAGATGTTGCTTCACAAGATTCCCTGGGTCCAAACCCCCTAGAGCATATTCCTTCCCGTCAGTTTTATCAATGACCGGAATACCTCGAACCAGATTATGAAACTATGAAACAATGCTAACCTAGACAATAGCTATCAACAGTACCTGTGTTATCACCTAGCAATTAGTGACACTCACATCCCGCATACGTAACCTACCCAGGTAGCAATATTAAGGCCATCCTACCTTCAAGAGACGAGTATAGGTAGGTTTATAGACATTATATAATACATATAGATTGGATTATCGACCCCGCCGTAGTCGTACATGGAGATCCGGTCCGGCATTGGTGTTAGAGCTGCTATTATCTGCATGTAAGTAAGATGTCTACACGTTAGCAGTGCCATGGTACAGCGTACAGCGTCAGACTAGATCCCCGCATTGTCCCTTGAGATAAGTTGAAAAAGATTACTGCCAATCACCGGGCTTGTGGTTTAGTGGTATAATACTCCCTTAGCACGTGATATTCAGATCGTGATTTTAAGATCAGTGATTTTGAGATTCTTTGTACAACTTGGGAGTGGTCCGGGGTTCGATTCCCCGCGAGTCCATCTCTGAGAGGTTAAATTCCTCTTGTACCACTCTTTTTTTCAATATTTTTGGTTCTATCCCACTTCCACGAATATAAATCTCACAACTTCATTCCGTCCACAACCTCAAAATTGGTTATAATTATTTGTGAAATACACATGTAATCAAGAACGTCTTATTCTAAAAACTTCGTCGACGACCTCAATTATCAAAACATGCAATGATTACGGACTTCCGAAATATCCGATGCAGGCAGTCAACCAGCCATGCAGTCAGCAAGACAAATAAACATATTATGCGAGTAATGAACCTCACCGCGGTAAAGTCAACGGCATTGATTGAACTACCTAATTCGCTTTGGATTACATAGAATTCGCTTTGGATTACATAGAGAAATGTCGGATTAGCCGAACAGCCAAACTACCTATTGCTTCTTAAATTCTTCATACTGCTCATAGACTGACAGCTCAAACTGCGCCATCAACTCGACAATCTTCGCGTCTCCCACCGGTATCAGGTTTGTGAACAACGCGCCACACAAGCCGCCTTTTCTATCAATCCACCAGATCAAATTCGGCATGCCACCCCAAGACATAGTCCCAGCCTGCCTTCTGCCAACTTCATCTTTAAGGCCGATCGCTCCGCCGAGTCCGTAATCCATCACCTGGTGGTCTATATCAAATGTGTTACTAATAGCTCGTCGGGACTCCTCGTCGGAATGGAGTATGTTGTTCAAGGTCTCCTTGCCCTCGGGTCCCAGCTGCGGCCGGAACATCTCCTCGACGAGTTCCTTGCTCAGGACCCGGCCGTCGTTTGCGCATAGGCTCTGTAGTATGTTCAGATAGCTATCCGCGGATCCCCAGCCCGCTGCTCCGCCGTACGCATCCTCCCTGTCCCCGTATTGGAAAAAGTAGCCCTCTGTCGTCGGATGTAGCTTTCCGTCCTTGTCCCTAAGAGTCATTCCCACCTTGCGCGACTTTGTCTCTGGCCTTGAATCAGGAGCAAAGGTTATATGATGCATGTTAAGCGGACTCCAGATGTTGGCCTTCATGTATTCCTCGAGGGACAGTCCGGAAAATCGCTCAACAAGTTTACCTGCCCAGTCTATGCTTGTGCCGTACTGCCAGCCTTTTCCAGGCTGGAAAACGAGCGGTCGCGAGAACTCGGTTACGATGTCCTTGGGAGGGCTCGCAGGAGGGCCTGTGAATTTCTCCAGCTGTTGGAGCTTGGGGGAAAACATTTCCATGGTAAGTCCACTGGAATGGGAGAGTAGTTTTCTTTATCCAGGAGTTAGTAATTATCAGCTGAGGTAAGGTCATAACACACTCACCTCAAAGTGACTGGCTCTTTTCTGTCTTCAAAAATGGGTTTCCCTTCCGCATCAAAATCCTTCAAAACCTTCAACGCGGCGACTTCCGGGAGCACCTTACCGACATCCTCATCTAAACCAATATGTCCTCGTTGGACTTGTTGCAAAGCTGCTACGGATGTCATGAGTTTCGAACAGGATGCCATCCACACAACACTGTCTGTCTTGAATGGCTCCCCGTGAGCCGTCTTGCCAAATGATTTCTCATATCTAAACTTCCCCGTGGCATCAGCAGCCACAAGGGCCACGCCCGGGATTTCGCCAGCCTGGTAGGCGGCCTCGAAGACAGCCTCGTGGGAGAACTTGGCCATTTGATACTCTATGTGGAGAAAGGGGTTTTATAAGTAGAGCGTATATATTAAGCTATCCTTGTGAGTTATTGAGACTAGTCGTGATCGATCAACGGGTTCCATTTTGGTTTCTATCGCAGCCTTATATATATTCAGAAAAACCAGTGTCTCTGTCTAGTCACCGTAACATCGCCGAGGAGCCACGGCGGCCAGGTGTGGATCCTTTAGGTAGCTATGAGGCTAGGTACAGGATGTGCTTATTAGCTTATCGAGATTTTATCAATTATTATCAATTACTTATTAATTTAGGTACTTAAAATTTTATCGAAACGCCTGCTCGCAAGCTTGCGGGCCGTTTCCACGTGCATGCTCGGTGATGATTCATCTGGCGTAGAATTATAGTGCCGATGCCTGGTGGGATTAGTGATGAACGGGCGAACTGGAGGCCGCGTCTATACTCGAATAGTATAATGGTCACTGGTGCAGCGCTAAGATCGGCCAGCTTTGAACTTCATGAACTCCCGGGAATAACTCACTCCGCAGCCCCTACGGAATATATCCGGTTTCAGATATAAGCAGTAGCCTACATGATTTTATTTATTTAAGCAGGAAGCCCTCTACTCCGGTATATATTATTTAAGCTAAAGCGAGTATTTCCCACTTGCAGTTCTATAGACTTTTTTTCCGAATGCTTAACCCAAAGGTTTTACTACTTCATAACTGTAAATCATTAACATCTTCAATAAGGTAATCTTTGATCCTAATCAGTGAGCATATTATATGTTGAAACCTTATAAAACATTCACCTGAATAGCTTCCTCAACTCAGTGCTAGCTCCGGTAGTTACCTGACATCAAGCGCTATCTAGATTGATCCAACCCATTGCTGAACTGATGCTATACAAGATGCGAGGAAGGACGAGGAAAGCAATTAGGCCGCCACCCGACTGCGAATATAAAGGATACGGGGCAGCTGGCGCATATTCACTAACTCCTTTGTTCTAGGGGTCTTGGTACCTAATGTAATAAGGGCTGTAAAGGATTTAAAATATAATTAAGATTATTAATAATTTTTTAGGGTCTTAAGGTCTTTAATTCTCTTTTTTTTTTTAAAAAGAAATTTTAATTTATTTATAAATAATTTAAAGTATATATTTTTTAGTTTAATTGAATTTTTATTAATATGTTAACTTTATTTATATATAATTATATGGTTTTATAATATTTTTTATTTAATAAATTTTAAAATAATTATTTTATATTTTTTATTAATTATTTTTTTTAATTAATAATTTTTTAATATTATTATTTATGTAATATTATTTCTTTTTTTTTTAAATTTATTTTTAAATTAAAGTTTTAAATAAAAAGTATAATTTTTTTTAATAAAGTTTAAAAGTTTATTAATTTTTTTAAATTTTATTAATAAAATGTTAAAATTATTTATTTAACACTTTTATTATTAAAGTAATTAAAAGGTTTTTAAGTTTAATATTTTTTGGTTAATTAATCTTTTTATTTAATTAAATATTTTATATTTTTTTAAGTTTATATAAAATTTTTAACTTTATTTATATAATATTTTTTAAATTTTATTAAGATTATTTTTTATAAAATTTAATTAAAATTAAATAATGTTTAATTATTAATGCAATAAAATTTAATAAATAAAGTATAAAATAAGTTATAAATTTTTTATTTTTTAAATAAATGAAATTTAATAACGGTAAAAAAAATTATTTTTTAAATTTTAAAAAGGTTTAATATTTTTTTATTTAGTTTTTTAATAAGTTATTTAATTTTAATATTTTTATTATTTAATATAATTAATTAATTTTTTTTAAATTTCGATATTTTTTTTTTTTTATTAATTTAATCTTTTATGTATTAATAATTTTTTTTTAAATATTGTTATATTTTGGTATAAATTTATTTTATTTAATATATATATAATTAATTGTTTAAATTTTAAAAAATATTAATAAATGGATTATAAATTATAAAATAAAAATTATAATTTATATAAAATGGTATTATATATAATAATATTAATTTTAAGTTATTATATATAAATTTTATTATTGGTAATAAATTTTTTTAATTAATTATTTTATAATTAATAAATGTTTAAAAGTAAATTTTAAAAGTTTAATTAAGTTGTTTTATTTAATTGTTAATTTAAAAATAAAAAGTTATATTTATTTATGGTTTAATATTTATAAATTTAAAAAAGTTTTATTATAAATAAATAATAAATTTAAAGTTTTGGTTAAAAATAATATTTAAGGGAATTTTATATAATTTTTAGTAAGATTTAATAAAAATTTTAATTAAATTTATAATTTTTTATTTTTATTTTAAAAAATATAAAATATATTATTTTGGTAAATAGGTTAATTATAATTTAAATAAAATTATAATTATTAAATAAAGGTAAATTAATGATAAAATTTATGGTAATAATATATTATGGTATATAATATAATTTTATAAATTAAAGTAAATTATATGGAATATATTGGTTTATTTTATTATATTAATATTTTAAATATTTTTTTATAAAATTTTATATAATGATTTTAATATTAAATTATTAAAAGTTTTATGTGATAAATTTTAAAGTTTTGTTTATTTTTATATATTTTATTATTAAAATATTATGTTTTAATTTTATAACTTTTTTTTAAAATATTTAAAGTATTTATAAGCATTTTTTTTTATATAAAAAATTATTTTATAATTTAAAATTATTATTTAGATTATTTTTTTTTTTTATATATAATAAGTTATTTTTTTTTATTTTTTTTATTTATTTTATAAATTTAAATAATTATTTTAAAATTAAAAAATTATTTAAATAATTTAATATAAAAATAATTATTATTAAATATATTATATTAAAATTAAATAAATATAAAAAATATTTTTTTTATAATATTAATATAATTAATTAATATTTAATTTTTTTTTTTAAACTAATATTATAATAATTTAAATAAAATATTGGTTTTTTTATTTTATTTTTTAAAATAATAATTAATAATAAATTAATATAATAAAAGTTATTATATTTATTTTACTTATTTTTTATTTAAGATTTTAATAATTATAAAATAAAATAAGTTTTAATAATTAAAAAATATTTTAATTTAATGTTATGTTTTTTTAAAATAATATTTTTATTAATTAAAAAAGTTAATAATTATAAGTAATTTTTTATTATATATTTTATAGTTTATTTTTGTTAAAGTTAATTTTTAAAAATAAAAGGTTATAAGTTAAAATTTTGTTTTTATATTTTTTTAAAAAAAGATAACTTTAATAATAAAGTTTAAAATATTAGTTTTAAAAAAGATTTATAATTTAAGATTAAAATGAATAAAAATTAAAGTTGATATAAATTTAATTTTTAAATCTTTAAAAATTTTATTTATTTTTAATATTTATTTTTAATTTTTTTTATCTTTTTTATTAATTTTTATAATAAATTTAATTATTATTAAAAATCTTTTAATAAATTATTTATAAAAGTTTATAAAATTTATAAATTATTATAATTTTTTAAAATTAATTAACGGTTTTTATTTTATAATATATTTAATTTTGTTTTTAAATATAAAGATATTTTAAAAGTTAATAATATAATTTAAAAATTTTATTTCTTAAATTATTTATTTATATTTATATAAAATAATTATAAAATGGTATATAGTAAATTTTTTTAAAACTTTTTTAATTATTTTATTATATTTTTTTTAAATAATAGTATATATAAATAAATTATTAATATATACCAATAATTTATTATTTATTATATTTTTAAAAATATTATTTATTATAAATTAAAAGGTAATAGGTATATTATTTAATCCGAAAAATATGATAAAATATTTATAAAATTTATATTTATATTTAAATATTATTTTCCATTTATTATTTTATTAAATATAAATTAAATTAAATTTAATTTTTAAATTTATTTTAATAAATTATTATAAAGTTTAAAATTAATTTTATATTTCTAATATAAATAAAATAAAATAATATATAAATATTATTATTATATTTAATTTTTAATAATTTATTATTAAGTAAAATAAATTTTTAAAATTAAATTTTGGTATAAAAAATATTAAAAATATATAAGAAAAAGTAGATTTACAAATATATCCCATATTAAGTATATTTTTTAATTATAGTTTAAAAATATTAAATTTTTTTTTACTTATAGCGTAAAAGGGGCTTTATAAAAATATTTTTTTTTTTATTAAATTAATAATATAATTTTATAATTAATATTTAAAAAAATGTTTTTTAATTTTTTTAATTATTATAAATATAAATTTTTTAAATTTTTTAAATATTTTTAAAAAAAGGTTATTATAATTATATTATATTAATATAATATATTTAATAATAACTTTTTTTATATAATAACGTTAATAGTATTTAAATAAGAAATATATTTTATTAAAATTTAAAAAAATATTTACAAATTAATAAATTTTTAACTATTATTATAAAAAAATAAAATTATATTTGTTATTTATAATATTAAGTTTAAAATTTAAATAAGTATAATATTTTATTTAATATTTAAATATTAAAAAGTTTATATAATAATAATTTTTTTTTTTACATAAATAACATTAAAAAATATAATTATTTTTAACATATTTTTTTTTATTTTAAAAAGATTTTATAATTTAACTTTAAATATAAATATAACAGATATAATTGTTTTTATATTAAATAATATTTTTATAAAAAGTTTTTATTTATTAAATATTAATATTATTTTTATTAAAGGTTTTTTTTTTAAATAAAGTTTCTTTTGTTTTTTTTTTCATAATCCGTTAAATTTTTTAATTAATTATTTAATTATAATAAACCAGTATAGATAAATATTTTATTTTTACTTTAACATTTTATAAAATATAATATAAAAAATTTTTAAAAATTTAAATTATTATTATTAATTTTAATAATAAAATAAAATTAATTAATTTTTTTTATTATTATATTTATTTTAGTTTTTTTTATAAATAAAAAAATTAATTATTTATTATTATTATATTTTTATTTAATTAAAGAAATTTTGCGATTTAAAGGTATTAATAATTTTTTATTATTAATATTTTTTTTAACAAAATAAATAAAAGTATTATAAATATTACGTTTATATTACCAGTATATTTTTTTATTTTTTTTACGTTAATTAATATTTATTTAATTAATTTTTTAAAAAGTTTTTTTATTTAAAACTTATTAATTATTTTTAAAATTAAATTTTAATTTATTAATAAATTTAAACTAATTTTTATTTTTTAAAAATTAATTTTAATTTAAATTAAAACGGGTTTTTTTGCCATAATTTTATTAATTTAATTTTAAATATTTTATTATTAAAGCGGGCTTTTTTTTTGTTGTTAAAAATCTTGGGTTAGTTAATATATTTTTATAAATTTAA